AATGTACCAGGGGCATCTCATGGGGCCCCCAGGCAGTGCCCGAGTTTCCAAATGTACAATAACATGAGCAGGGGTGGACTGACAGTTCATGGGGCCCCCGGGCAATAGGGGATCATAGGGCCTCTGTGTCCTTGCCCAAACTCAAAAAAGCCTATGAAAAAGGTACTGGGGGCATCTCATGGGGCCCCCAGGCAGTGCCCGAGTTTCCAAATGTACAATAACATGAGCAGGGGTGGACTGACAGTTCATGGGGCCCCCGGGCAATAGGGGATCATGGGGCCCGTGTCCTTGCCCAAACTCAAAAAAGCCTATGAAAAAAAGGTACCAGGGGCATCTCATGGGGCCCCCTACTGACCCCGGGCCCTCGGGCAGTGCCCGAGTTTCCAAATGGTCAGTCCGCCCTTGAACAGGAGGTTCCATAAAGGAGTAGGACAGGTAAAGTGGAAGTGTTGCCAGTAACAGCCAATCATAACCCATCAGTCAATGGTCTAACATAAGTGAAGAACCCGATTGGTTGCTATGAGCAAAACACCGACTTTTCCTCCCCTCCACTCTTAGTCTCCATGTACACAAGCCTACCCTGGGTAAACGCAAATCGTGGCAAAATTTGACACCTTTTGCGGTTTCCCGCGGTCAAAGCGTTCCTATCCTGAACGCGATTCTTCCACGTTCAGGAGAGGGAGGTTTAAACTCACCTAAATGCGACAGCTCCTAAACCCTGCTAAAAGCCTGTGTGTACATTGATACATAGGTTTTTATGGAGTTGAGTTTAGGAGCTTTGGCAAAAAAAAAAAAAAAAAAAATGCCAAAAGCTCCCGTGTACATGAAGCCTTAGAGAATTCCCGGTTCCTCTCTGGTTATTCAGCAACTACATGCCCCAGCATGCCTCACACACAGTGACGGCCTGCCCAAGGTTTGTATACATATATAAGTATATATACATTTAATTATATAAAAGAAAATAATATAAGTGCTTTACACTAAGAGCAAAGAAAAAAAAAATAATTTAAAAAACACAAAATATGGCATTTGACCTGAAAGCCTTAGCTTAGCTTAAATGTCCGCAATGCGACTTTTTACAAACCAATGTTAATTTTCATGTAAAAGACTGTTTGTACAATGATTCATTCATCTACTTACCTACAGTTTGTACAATTATGGAACATTTGCAAAAAGTCATAGCGAGTCCCTGTGTCACACCAAAAGAGTCTATACAGTCAGTTCATATACAAGTCATATGGTTACGTGTTCTTCAATCAAATCACTCGGTGCACATCAATCCTTTGCAAGCCTAAATCTTTGATCCTAAAATCGTCCAGGAGCCGTGCTCTTCTATGGTGGGCTTAAAAGAAAATAAAAAACAAAACCAAAAAAAAAAAACTCAATCCACTTGGGGCGCCTGGATACACAAAATTAAAATCCAAATCATCCTTCCTAGGGTGTCCTAAAAATAAAACATAAAAGAAAATGCGCTGAAAAGACATTAAACACTACAACACCACAAAATATACTACGTGAAAGATGTGTGCAGCAAAATGTTTCCTCTCATCACAGTTTTAACCCCTTCCTGCCCTCTGCAAAGTCTCTTTAACCTCCTCGGCGGTCTGATTATTTCCGATTTTTGTGCTGAAAAGCGGTACCATTTTTTTGCATGGAAATATGTAGTTTTTTTTGTAGGCTGTAATTTTTAGGAATAACTCCCTGAAATCTGTCCAAACAAAAGTCTAGTAAACATTCTGGATATGATAAAACTTGAAACACGAAATCATAAATTATAATTTAATAAATAATCATAAAAAATAATAATATAATAATATATTTAATTCAATAATATAATCAAACTAAAAACACTGAAATTTGAAATACAGAGGCAAATTCACACATCGCTGAGCAAAGTCGCAAAATCGTTTTCAGTGTCTGATGAGGAATTTCCCCCACGAATCATTATCACTCAATTCTGCAAGTGGTTCTGATTTACTATCGCTGTTCTCTTTTGAAACGCATTTTGACGTAAAGGGACGCTTTTTGGACGCCATGGACGTTTCTCAGTTTCCAGGCAGAAAGAACAGTCAAAATGCAGGCAGGGCGCCGGACAAAGCACTCAGGACAATATGTATGTGAAATGGTTTGAAATGTTTTACTATATAAGAATAATTTTTTAAAAAATGACATTTTTAAAAAATTTCAAATTTGCCGCTGGTTCCGGCGCTCGTACGTCCCGACGTCACAGGGACCGGAACACAGAAGCCGGATGCCGGCATCGGCCGGAGGAGATGGCCGGGGACGCTGCAGGGGACGCATCGTGGTAGCGAAGGACAAGGTAAGTGCTGCAGTGACTCCATGAGCAACGTCGCATGGTAAGCCTGACTGTAACTCGGGGTTACCGCTTTTGGTACTGAAATTTTACCCCGAGCTACACTCAGGAATACCGCCAGGGAGGTTAAGGGCTAGTTGATGCTAGATACAGTTCAGTGCGCTTTTTTCTCCTTCAAAAATGCATGCACAGTGTTTTCCCTGTATTCCAATGGCCCTGGTTCACACTAGTGCAGTCAGTTCAAGCCAGTTTCCAGTGCAGGAAAAAAAAAAAAAAAAAAAAAAAGTAGAACATGCTGCATTTTTTCTGCACAGAACCATGCTTGAACATAGCAAATTGCGGGTGGCACAGTGGCTTAGTGGTTAGCACGTCTGCTTTGCAGTAAATGGGTTATGGGTTCGATTCCCGACCATGGCGCCTCCTGCATGGAGTTTGCATGTTCTCCCTGTGCTTGCGTGGGTTTCCTCCTCTGGGTGCTCCGGTTTTTCTCCCACACTCCAAAAACATGCTGGTTGGTTTATTGGATCCTGTCTAAATTGTCCCTAGTATGTGTATGTATGAATGTGAGTTAGGGACCTTAGATTGTACGCCCCTTGAGGGTTAGGGACTGATGTGAATGTACAATATATATGTAAAGCGCTGCGTAAATTGACAGCACTATAGAAGTATCTGAAATAAATAAAAAAAAAATTGCATCAAAACATCAAAACTGCATGTGGTGTGAACTGAAAGCAAAAACGCATCCAGTATGAGTCCGGAGTGCATTTTTGTAGTGTGAACTGGCCCTAAGGGCTAGTTCACACTAGCTGCAGTCCAGCGCATTTTTTTTTCTGCATCAAAACTGCACCGGAACAGAGTGTGGTGTGAACTGTAAGCAAAAACGTATCCTGCGTTTTTGTGGTGTAAGTGCCAGTTCACACTGCATGCGTTTCATTTGCTTTTTTTCTGCATCTAAAACGCACAGAAAGTAGGTTATATGGTTGTCAATGTCATAGTTCACATCAGTGCTTGCAGTTCCAGCGCATTCCAGTTGCAGAAAAAAAAGAAAAGTTTCACTTGCATGGACAGCTCCTTTGAATGCAAGACGTAGGTTCAGAGAAACAGATTCCTAATGCAAATACCACACTTAGAATCAACTCCAGACCTTTTACCTGCTGAATTGATGGCGAAATAACGAAGGAGTAGCCCACACCTGGCCATGAAACAGCTTTTGATTCAATTGTCCAATTACTTTTGGTCCCTTGAAAAAGGGGGTTGGCTACTCTTAAGATTCAGCCAAATGCAGCAAAGTTGATTGGACGGCACTTCACAGTACAGATGGACAATGATCCAAAACACACTGCAAAAGTAACCCAGGAGCTTTGAAGGAAAAGAAGTGGAATATTCTGCAATGGCCGAGTCAATCACCTGATCTCAACCCAAATGAGCATGCATTTCACTTGTTGAAGGCAAAACTAAAGGCAGAAAGACCCACAAACAAAGAACAACTGAAGACAGCTGCAGTCAGAGCCTGGCAAAGGATCAGAAAGGAGGAAACCCAGTCTTTGGTAATGTCCATGGATTCCAGACTTCAGGCAAAGGATCAGAAAGGAGGAAACCCAGTCTTTGGTAATGTCCATGGATTCCAGACTTCAGGCAAAGGATCAGAAAGGAGGAAACCCAGTCTTTGGTAATGTCCATGGGTTCCAGACTTCAGGCAAAGGATCAGAAAGGAGGAAACCCAGTCTTTGCCTGAAGTCTGGAACCCATGGACATTACCAAAGGATCAGAAAGGAGGAAACCCAGTCTTTGGTAATGTCCATGGATTCCAGACTTCAGCAAAGGATCGGAAAGGAGGAAACCCAGTCTTTGGTAATGTCCATGGGTTCCAGACTTCAGGCAGTCATTGCCAGTAAAGGATTCTCAACAAAATATTAAAAATGAAAATTTTATTTATCATTCTATTCAACTGTCCAGTTACTTTTGGTGCCTTGAAAAAGGGGGGATGGCTACTCTTAAGAGCTGTAATTCCTAAACCCTTCCCCCAATTTGGATGTACATACCCTCAAATTACACCCGAGAGTGGGCACTTTCAGCCCATATCCATCATATAACTATAGTTTTAATATGTTTTGGTAAATACCTGAAAAAAAAACTAAAACTGAACCGAATTACCTGCCTGTCCCTGGCTTCAATGCTTTTTGAATCACCTATCTAGAACAAGCACACAATTTACTAATGTGAATCAACAATCCTGATCTTCATGCTTGTAACAAGTGACTCAGAAAGAACCAAAGTCAGGGTGTCATTGTGACAGCCAGGAAGCTAACATTCAAAAGAAAAGGGCAGCACCCAATAAAAACGTCATAGCGGGTTTCTTTCAGCTTAAAGCCCAACCCTGGCATAAAATATAAAAAAAAAAAAACTGCTTGTTTTGTCGAGAGGCAACCAGAAAGCTTATACTCACCCGATCCTCCACTCCAGCAGCAAACAGAGTTGGGCTTTATATGATAAACTGAAGAAAAAGAATACTATGACACCTAAATATTCACAGATATAGGATGAACATTTTCATGTGCTAAAATCCAGGGGTCCACAATGAAGACCCTGTGCCCAGAAACATGTTTTACAGGTTGATTCATCCAGAAGTCCCTGCTCAGAACTCAGAGCAAAGCAGCCATTAGGAACACATGATATTCCTACCTTTCTATGCATAGTAGCAAGGAGAAACCAAGAGATCAGTTAAAACCACCAGCTGGTCATCCGTAAACTGCTGCTTGTGCTCTTGCCAATTGTCAAGGTGTGTTCTCCGGAAGTTAGACAGGGTTTTCTTTACCGTCATCTGAAAACAAACAAGGTTTTTTTTTAAGTTTTTTTTTATTATAACATGCATATTACTTGGAAGTCCCATTGTTTTCCGAGGGCCTGGATTACATATCACTATATTGCCAAAAGTATTGGGATACCCCCCCCCCCCAAATCATTGGATTCAATTCAGGTGTTCCAGTCACCTCCCATGGTGTATACAATCAAGCCCCTAGGCATGCAGACTGTTTCTTCAAACATTTGTGAAAGAATGGGTCGCTCTCAGGAGCTCAGTGACTCCAAGCGTGGTCCCGTGATAGGTGGTCACCTGTGCAATAAGTCCATCCGTGACATTTTCTGGCTACTAAATATTCCACGGCCAACTATTAGTGGGATTATAACAAAGTGGAAGCAACTGGGAACAACAGCAACTCAGCCACCAAGAGGTTGGCCATGTCACATGACAGAGCGGGGTCAGCGCATGCTGAAGTGCACAGTGCGCAGAAGTCATCAACTGTCTGCAGAGTCAATAGTTAAAGACCTCCAAACTTGGCGTGGCCTTCAGATTAGCACAAAAACAGTGCGTAGAGAGCTTCCTGGAATGGGTTTCCATGGCCGAGCACCTGCATCCAAGCCTTACATCACCAAGTGCAATGCAAAGCGTTGAATGCAGCGGTGTAAAGCACGCCGCCACTGGACTCTAGAGCAGTGGAGACGTGTTCTCTGGAGTGACCAATCACACTTCTCTGTCTGGAAATCCGATGGATGTGTCTGGGTTTGGTGGTTGCCAGGAGAACGGTACTTGCCTGACTGCATTGTGCCAAGTGTAAAGTTTGGTGGAGGGGGGATTATGGTGTGGGGTTGTCTTTCAGGGGTTGGGCTTGGCCCCCTAGTTCCAGTGAAAGGAACTCTTAAGGTGTCAGCATACTGAGACTTTTGGACAATTTCATGCTCCCAACTTTGTGGAAACAGTTTGGGGATGGCCCCTTCCTGTTCCAACGTGACTGCACACCAGTGCACAAAGCAAGGTCCATAAAGACATGGAGGAGCCAGTTTGGGGTGGAGGAACTTGACTGGCCTGCACAGAGTCCTGACCTCAACCCCATAGAACACCTTTGGGATGAATTAGAGCGGAGACTGCGAGCCAGGCCTCCTCCCCCGACATCAGTGCCTGACCTCACAAATTTGCTTCTGGAAGAATGGTCAAACCTTCCCATAGACATCCTCCTAAACCTTGTGGACGGCCTTCCCAGAAGAGTTGAAGCTGTTATAGCTGCAAAGGGCAGGGCCAACTCAATATTGAACCCTACAGACTAAGACTGGGGGGTCATAAAAATCATGTGCGTGTAAAGGCAGGTCGACCAATACTTTGGGCAACATAGTGTATGTGTAGCAGTACAGGACGGAAAACAGTTTAGATACAATTCTCATTTACCGATGTGCGTCTGGGGGCCCATACAAGTCAATAGATGAGCAAGAAAACAAGATACAAGCATTTACAGTGGCAGAGAAAAAAAAAAAGTATGTGAACCTCTTGGAAACTACTGACTCCAATTAGCTTTTGTTGAAGTAATTAGGCTATGGGTTCACTTACTTTTTCTTCCAGCACCGTGAATGTTTAATGGGTGTGGTGGTGGGGAGGGGTGACCTGGTTTTGACAGGTACCCACTCCCAAGTTCTCCTCACCTCCTCCCTGCAGTCTTTTGGGACATTATTATTATACAGGATTTATATAGCGCCAACAGTCTGCTCTGTGCTTTACAATATACAGTTGCAAGAAAGTATGTGAACCCATTGGGATTACGTGGAGTTTTGCATGAATTGGGCATAAAATGTGCTGTGAACGTCATCTAAGTCACAACAATAGAAGAACACAGTCTGCTGAACATAATACTACACAAACAGATGTTGCCATGGTTTAATTGCACATAACATGTAAACATTCACAGTGCAGGGAGGAAAAAGTATGTGAACCTTTGGACTTAATAACTGGTTGACCCTCCTTTGGCAGCAATAACCTCAACTAAACGTTTCCTGTAGTTGCAGATCAGACCTGCACAACGATCTGGAGTCATTTTGGACCACTCCTCTTCACAAAACTGTTTCAGTGTAGCAATATTCTTGGGATGTCTGGTGTGAATCGCTCTCTTAAGGTCATGCCACAGCATTTCAATCGGGTTGAGGTCTGGACTCTGACTGGGCCACTCCAGAAGGCGTATTCTGTGCTGTTGCAGCCATTGTTTTGTTGAATTACTTGTATGCTTTGGGTCATTGTCCTGTTGCATCACCCATCCTCTGCGGAGCTTCAGTTGGCGGACAGATGGCCGTACGTTTTCCTGCAAAATGTCTTGATAAACTCTGGAATTCATTTTCCCATCAATGACAACAATCCGTCCAGGCCCTGAGGCAGCAAAGCAGCCCCAAACCATGATGCTCCCTCCGCCATGTTTCACAGTGGGGATGAGGTTTTGATGTTGGTGTGCTGTGCCTTTTTTCTCCACACATAGTGTTGTGTGTTCTTCCCAAACAACTCAATCTTGGTTTCATCTGTCCACAGTATATTTTGCCAGTAGTGCTGTGGAACATCCAGGTGCTCTTTTGCAAACTTCAAACATACTGCAATATTCTTTTTGGACAGCAATGGCTTCCTCCGTGGTGTCCTCCCATGTACTCCATTCTTGTTTAATGTTTTCCTTATTGTAGATGTGTCAACAAAAATGTTAGCATGTGCCAGAGATTTCTGTAGGTCTTTAGTTGACACTCTGGGATTCTTCTTTACCTCATGCAGCATTCTGCACTGTGCTCTTGCAGTCATTTTTACAGGACGACCACGCCTAGGGAGAGTAGCAACAGTGCTAAACTTCTCCATTTGTAGACAGTCTGTCTCTTACCGTGGACACATGAACATCAAGGCTTTTGGAGATACTTTTGTAACCCTTTCCAGCTTCATGCAAGTCAACAATTCTTGATCGTAGGTCTTCTGAGAGCTCTTTTCTGCGAGGCATGGTTCACATCAGACAGTGCTTCTTGAAACCCGTAAACCCAAAACAGGTGTGTGTTTTTTAAGAGCAGGACAGCTGTGAGCAACACATCCAATATCATCACACTGATTGGAGTCAAGGTTGGCTCACTCCTGGCTCCAATTAGCTCTGGGAGAAGTCATTAAGCTAGGGCCTCACATACTTTTTCCTCCCTGCACTGTGAATGTTTACATGTTATGTGCAAGTAAACCATGGCAACATCTAATGTTTGTGTAGTATTATGTTCAGCAGACTGTGTTCTTCTATTGTTGTGACTTAGATGACGTTCAGAGCACATTTTATGCCCAATTCATGCAAAACTCCACGTAATCCCAAGGGGTTCACATACTTTTTCTTGCAACTGTATAGGGAGACAATACAGCAACAATACCGTTCAATACAAGAGGGTTAGGAGGGTCCTGCTCCTCGGAGCTTACAATCTAAGAGGGAGTTCACAAGTGGTTTGTCTTTTGTTACTTAGAGGTGGTTCAGTTCATATTTTAAGGCTAATTACTGCAGAAAAACAGTTCATTCCAAGGGGTTCACATACTTTTTACTGCCACTGTATATAAGGCGCTTTACAGACTGCAAAATGAAATTATGCATTTTCATGTACTGCCAAAGCCTGGTTACTGGCAGCCCCTGGCAATGGGCTATGTGCTCTTGCCTCATTATAGGGGAAAAAAAAAAAACATATTAAAAAATGCGCGATAACTTCTAACATGCATAGAATCTAGCAGTGTACACACTAGACTTGAAGTATTTGTGATTTGCCATTACCTCTATGGGCTGTGGATCATTGAGATGTGCACTCAGATCCATCAGCAGTTGTGGCATCCATGTCGGGACATCATAAGGGCTTGATAAAATGCAGGCACTGAGCCCCAGAACACCAGCATGGCGCTTCACCAGATCTGCAGACAGAAATACAGATTGGTAAGTGTCAGATAGATTCCCCAGCTGGAGGGTAGCGAGGTTACAGAGTGCCACTACTGCGACACGTGTTGTATGACAGACATAGGAACATTCAATAGAACATTTCTGCTCTGTGTAATAGAGACTTGCTTGTGGACTATAATGCTTGTCCTTTTTTTTATTATTATTATACAGGATTTATGTAGCGCCAACAGCTTGCGCAGCACTGTACATTATAATGGGGGACAGTACACGAGACAGTACAGTAACAATACAATTCAATACACGAGGGGTTCGAGGGCCCTGCTCCTTGGAGCTTACAATCTAGGGGGGAGGGGATAGTGGTACAGGAAAAAATAGCTGTGGGGGATGGAGTGGTAGGAAGAGTGGGGGAGATCAGCAATTAGCTGAGGGCGGGGTAGGCTTCCCTGAGGAGATGGGTTTTCAGGGTGCGCCTAAAGGTGAGGAGAGTAGGTGAAAGTCTGATGGATTGGGTTAGGGATTTCCAGAGGATGAGGGAAGCCCTGGAGAAGTCCTGGAGACGGGCATAGGAGGAGGAGACCAGGGAACTAGAGAGTAGGAGGTCTTGTGAGGAGTGAAGAGTACGTGTTGGGTGGTATTTGGATATCAGGTCGGTGAGGTAGTTTGGGGCAGTGTTATGAACAGCTTTGTACGTCAATGTTAGCATTTTGAATTTTATCCGTTGGGCAATCGGAAGCCAGTGGAGGGATTGGCAGAGGGGGGTGGCGGATACGGAGCGGTTAGTAAGGTGGATGAGTCTGGCTGCAGTATTCAGGATCGACCGAAGCGGGGATAGCCTGCGGTGAGGTAAGCCAGTGAGGAGGGAGTTACAGTAGTCAAGTTATAATAATAATAAGGGAGTGAATGAGTTGCTTAGTAGTTTCCGGGGTTAGGCACGGATGTATTTTGGAGATGTTGCGGAGGTGAAGTCTACATGAGTTTGTCAGCGATTGGACCTGGGGCTGGAAAGACAGATTGGAGTCTAGAATGACACCAAGTACTCTGGCTTGTGGGGTGGGACTGATGGTGGCGTTGTTGGTTGTGATGGAGAAGTCGGGGGGGGGCGCGGGCTGGGGGGAAAACTAGGAGCTCGGTTTTCGAAAGGTTCAGTTTGAGGAAGTGGAGTGACATCCAATCCGATATGTCGTTCAGTAGGCTTGTGATTCGGGCGGAAACTGAAGGGGTGAGGTGAGGGGTAGAGAGATAGATTTGCGTGTCGTCGGCATAGAGATGGTAGTTGAAGCCATGAGAGTGTATCAGTTGGCCAAGGGAGGAGGTGTAGATGGAGAAGAGAAGGGGCCCGAGGACAGAACCTTGAGGGACCCCAACAGAGAGGGGGCGTGAAGGGGAGGTGGCAGCATTATAGATAACACTAAAGGAGCGCTGTGATAGGTAGGAGGAGAACCAGGAGAGGTCGGAGTCTCTGAGGCCAAGAGAGTGTCGTTTTTTTGAGGAGGAGGGGGTGGTCGACTGTGTCGAAAGCCGCAGAGAGGTCGAGGAGTAGGAGCACTGAATAGTGGCCATTAGCTTTGGAAGTTAGCAGGTCGTTGGTGAGTTTGAGTAGGGCAGTTTCGGTGGAGTGTAGGGGACGGAAGCCGGATCAAGGAGGTTGTTGTCGGTGAGGTGTCCTATATATAATGCAGCTATAAGCACACCGAACTGTGTGGAAAATAAAAAGTAAAGGAATTGTAAATAAGAACAAGACAAGGCAGAGATGTTCTATCCTTGCCATTCTCTTAGATTAGGTTCACACCTATGTGTTTTCTACTGCGTTTTGCAGAAATGCCCAGCAGTCCATTTACCATGATTTCCTATAGGACACGTTTTTTTTTTAAACACAAAACACTGCGTTTTTGGTTCCATAGACTTCAATGGAGATGCTGCAGAAAACTATGTAGTGCATTTTTTATTCGTTTTTGCATTTTATTCTACCCAGCAACAATTTGAAAAAGAAAAAAAAACAAAATGCAAAAAGCATAAAAAAATGTGTCAAAAACGCATGTGCAAAAATGCACCACAAAAAGCACTGCAGAAATGGATCAAATGCAAACTGCATAGGTGTGAACCGAGCCTTACTGAAGATTTCAAGTTACATTAAGCAAGGATGTTCAATTTATATCGCCAGACGCCCGGGATATGTAGTTACAGGCGCTGGGCAGGTAGTTTTTATTTACCTTTAGCCCTGCTGCGGGCAAGCAGCAGGGCTCACCTGGCAGGTGGAAGCATTCAAGCGGCAGCCCACAGTGCCAGATGCAAATCAAAAACCCAAATCATATCAATAATAATACCTTCAAATAATAAGTGCAAAAAAAATACACATATAAATATGAAATATATAAAAAAGATTTTAAAATAAAAATAAAGTGTCCACAGACATAATGGGGTTTATTTACTAAAGCTGGAGAGTCCAAAATCAGACTCCCTTCTGCATAGAAACCAATCAGCTTCCAGGTTTCATTGCCAAAGCTTCATTGAACAAGCTGAGGTTAGAAGCTGGTTGGTTTCTATGCAGAAGGGAGTCTGATTTTGGACTCTCCAGCTTTAGTAAATAAACCCCATAAAGTCCTTTTCCCAAATTCCTTTGTGCTACAACCAAGAAAAACTTTCTCCTTTAAATATGTGCTTCCACCATCCACCAGTTTGTTTTTAAACCAAAATTTTTATTTTTTAAAATCTTTTTTATATATTTATTTCATATTTATATGTGTATTTTTGTTGCACTTATTATTTGAAGGTATTATTATTGATATGATTTGGGTTTTGATTTGCGCGGTTTATATTGTTTTATATCATTTGGTGTGTTACACTAGTGTACAGCAGTAGTTCATACTTTGTTGGGGGATTTTCTGTGGCGCAGGAGTTTTTTTATATAAATACACAGTGCCAGATGACCTATAAGGGGCTTTAAAAAGCGTCACCTATAGAAAATATAGGGTACTAAAGTTTGTTGCCGTTTCACGAGCGCACGCAAATTCAAGGTTTGACATGTTGAATATCTATTTACTCTATGCAATCTCGTCTTTTATATTTAAAAAAACAAATTGGATAATTTATTGCTTTTTGTGCCCTAAAATTAACTGAAGTGTAATTTTTACAGAAATTTTGCGTATTCCTGCAACCTGTGATCATATCGTGTGACATAAAAAATTGGAACTACCGCTATTTTATTCACTAGGGTCTCTGATTTCAGAAAATGTATAATGTTTGGGGATTTTGTCTCATCTTCAGGCTTAAAATGATTTTTTAATGTGTGCAAAAAACAAAAACGGCTCTGGCAGCGAAAGGGATAAAGGATAAGCCCGACACTCCCCTTTCCTGAGGAGCAGCCAATCGGTGCTCATTACACTGCAAGGTCTCTCTCCTCCCTGCTTGTCCCCGGGTGCGGTGCTGGAGACAATCAGGGAGGTGTGGAGGAGATAAACAGCGCAATGTTACAAATATTAAAACATTTAAGTCGCCAATGGTTAAATTTTTTTTTTATCAGGACAAGTAGATTGTCATGAGGGACAAGTAGATTGGGGCACCGATTTAGTTCCTGGACAAGTGGTTTTTTCAAAAATTTCCACACCCCTGCATTAAGTGATTGTAAAGCTTTGGATTTTTAAAAAATTTAAATATATATTTCATACCTACCTGCAGCCCCAATCCTCTTCTTCTGAGGTCCCCCGCTAGCGCTCTTGTCTCATCAGTCCTTGGTTGGGACTTTGTTGTTGTTCTTGTTAGAGTTTTATGGTTTAGACAGCAACGCTAAACAAGCGATTGGGCGGCCAATGGTAAAACTATTCCCTCACTTTTGTGTGTAGTTACTTTGCTATGGGGGCACTGGAGCAGGCTCAATCCCAAGCCACTGCTGTATGTACCCACCATAGAAAGCGCTCTCTCTAGGGACACTTGTGTGGACTCGATCCCAAGTCACCCTGTCTATGGCTATAAAACACAGACAAGCCAGCTTGGCCCCTGCCCCCCACACCTTCATCACAGAATTTGATTGACAGCAGGAGCTAATCTGCCCAGTGAGGAGGGAGAGAGCCGCTACTCTCATGAAGAGCGCTGGATCGAGAATGGGCTCAGGTAAGTATAAGGGGGGGAGGAGGGGTCTCATCTGACACCGATGGTTTTTAACCTTAATGAATAGAATGCATAAAAGTGAAATTGGAACAAAAAAACAAGCTTGGTATACTTACCTGCTCTGTGTAATGGTTTTGCACAGAGCAGCCCCAATCCTCTTCTTCTTGGGTCCCCCACCGGTGCTCCTGGCTCCTCCTCCTTAACCAGTGCCCCCAACAGCAAACTGATTGCAATGGAGGCACTGGTGTGTGCTCATTCCCGAGCCCTGCTCTATGCATCCCCAGGTCACATAGAGCTGCGGCTCAGCACCGCCCCCCACTCTCTCATTGGCTCACTGGCAGTGATTGACAGCAGTCCTGTGCACATTGCTGGATCATGATTGTTTTCAGGCCAGTATTACGGGGAGCAATAAAAACTTTCAGCCTTTACAACCACTTTAAAAGTAAAAAACATTAAGGTTTTAGAATCACTTTAAGCTGATCATGTACGTATAGATTCATTTCGCACAGCCTGAATGGAAAAATTAAACAGATTCCTCCATCCATACAGTGTAGATGGACGAATATTGGGCAGCACAGTGGCTAAATGGTTAGCACTTCAGCCTGGCAGTACTAGGGTTGTTGGTTCGAATCCCAGCCATGGTACCACCAGCCTGGAGTTTGCATGTTCTCCCTGTGCCTGCGTTGGTTTCCTCTGGGTGCTCCGGTTTTCTCCCACACTCCAAAGACATGCTGGTAGGTTAATTGGATCCTTTCTAAATTGGCCCTAATATGTGTATGTATGAATGTAATTTAGGGACCTTAGATTGTACGCCCCTTGAGGGTTAGGGACTGATGTGAATGTACAATATATATGTAAAGCACTGCGTAAATTGATGGCGCTATATAAGTACCTGAAATAAATAAAATAAATAAATATCCCGCTGCAGCTATCATATTCAGACATCTGTCACTGCTGGCTGTAAAAATACCCAATCAGTGCCGGTATCTGATTGGATTCAGGCGCCGTTCAGTTGACATTTTTCCTGTCTGGCTCCTTTGATTGTTCAATCAAAGGATGCTGGGCAGAAGTATGCTGAAAGGCCCATCCACAGAGCAAATTTCAGAGTGTTCATCAGGAAGAGCTCTAAATGTGCTTTGTGTTCGCTAGCTCTAAACACTCCCTGTGAGAATGTATGTAGATCATTCTAAATACAACGAACATTTCTCTAAAACAGTTTGCAGCCTGTCTAGACATTCTATATGGGAGATTTAATGTGAGTATCACCCACCTATCCCTCTGAGTCTTTCAAATATTCCTTCGATCATCACCTACCAGCTGGTTTGTCCTGGCTGACTACATCTGCGCTGACAGATTTTTTCCTTGACCACATTATATTTTGGAAGGTCGAAGATTAGGAATTTATTTTCTAATGCTAGGACAAAAGCTTATTGTTTAGAGAGAACCCCCCAGTCACCAAATCTCCTAATAGTGTACACATAAGGCAGTATGAAGTGTTGGGTAAAATAATAATACCTGCAGAGGGTATAGTGTCCACAGCCGTACCCAGGTCTCTCTTGCGTTTCTTTGGCAATCTGGTTTTGCAGAGCTGCTCAAAGTGTGCTTGCATAGAGACATCCATCGTCAGAAAGCTGCACTGCAGAAAGCCACTCAGAGTGGTGGCAGCCATCTCTCTCACCTGAAACATAGATAGCAACATGCACACCTATCATATACATATATGTTATACACTAAAACATGTTCCCGGTATAAAGCAAGGCAAAATTAAAGTGATATTAAAAGGCACATTTTCTTTTTTTTTTTTTTTAAACATGTCATACATACCTACTCTGCACCGAGCTGTGCATCAAAAATGAAGCTTGGAGAGCAGAGTCAGCTGTAGCAGGTGAAGGGGGCGGTAATGCATTTCGGAGCATGCTCAATGGGCTCCTTCTTCAGACCTGACCTATTGAGCATGCTCCAAAATGCATTACTGCCCCCTTCACCTGCTACATCTGACTCTGCTCTCCTAGCTTCATTTTTGATGCACAGGCACATCCTGTTCTCTACTTCCTGATCCTACAGCCATAGTTTGCTGTTGGACGGCTGGATGTCCCACCTGGATCTAATTACCACACGATGAGTCTTTTTAACCGTTTATCTTGTAAATGCAATTTATCCATTGTTTACTAAATAAATTGTCAATACTGCACTTAGAGGCGCCTTCCTCTCATTTTCTTAGCACCAGCACATAGCCAATGATTGACAGCCTCAGCTATGTTCCTGTGTGAAGGGGGGGGTGTCCCTTCCTTCCAATCAGCTCTCCTCTCACTGAGCTCTGCACAGTGTAATTTCAGCAGTTTTCGAACAGCTCAAATGTTCTAAATTCTGGACTTTGAACAGCTGCAGATAAACAGGTTCAACTTATGTAGGAGGATTTGTTTCATTTCGGTGTATCAATGGGTATATGTAAGGGTTTTCAACCACTTTAAGGAAGACTTCCTTTTAGTATTGGTTGTATAATGAATGGCTAAACTGTTTAAGTGAAAGCTTAGCAGTGCATATCTTCATGTCTCTGCAACAGAAAGTGTTAAACACGTTACCGATTAATCATTATTAATGAGAGGCCACATTCACTAATAAGTACATATTGTTACATGTTAAAACGTAAACAAAGAGGCTCATCTGCTTAGTGAACAGGCCGGACCGGCACGCTGCATGTAATGTGCCACATTACTGCAAATTATCTCCTTGAACATTATGTTCTAGAGCCGGGCAAATCAGTAAGTGTAGCGGCAAGTGCTGTTCTAATTACACAGACCAACTTGACAATAAGCTCATTTGCACGTCCATCGCGCATTATTAAAATGTGATCTAATTGATTAAGAATCGTCAACCATATGAAGAGGGAAAGTATGTCAGAAATTCTACTGACAATTTGCCGGCTCCACTCGGGGGACGGCATTAATAAATGAAACATGAAGAGAGGATGGAAATGGCAGAACGAGAGGAGGCATGGCTGCAAAATGAACACACTCGCTGGGGAACGTGACATTTGTCTCTCGCTGTTCCCGAAACTCAATTCCAGTTTTTGTACATTCTAATTATTCTCAGAGATGCCAGAAATGGGTCAGTCCTTTTCTCCCTGCAGACTCCATCCTTTGCATATATGGAAATGGTTTAATCTGCTTTGTTACCATACTGTACTTACTAGTTCTATCATTTGGAACACTAACAGCTACTCTGCGCAAAGAGGTACCATTTCTGTTACACCATATGGAAAGACTGGGCAAGCACCAAACAGCTTTTTCAATTTGTGTTTTTCTGTGTTGGCCACTTCTTGATAAATCCAGCAATGTAACAAGATAATTGCAGAGAAGAGTCCTAATGCAGGCCATAGACGGGTCAAAAAATGGCCATTTTTTAAAAAAAAAAAAAAAAACAAAAAAACAAAATGAAAAATCGGTTGTTCAATAGGCCGACGTTACCACCAACGGTAAAAAAAAACAAAAAAAATTGGACGATTTTCGTCCCGTCTACGGCCAGCATTTATTAATTCTGTCCCTTGCAGAGAGCCCCGCTATTATATTTGACATGAAAAAATATTGTGGTTGCAACATTGTATCTATTTGTATCCATTTCAGATACAGATGTTTTTATTCAGATACAAATAGATACATTGTTGCAGCCGCAATACTTTTTCATGTCAAATATAATAGTGGACTGGAATTCTTTTTCTTCTTTCTCTTCTCTTCTTTTTCTTCTTCTTGCAGGTCACGGCTCATACGCAGATTTTTTATCGGTAAAAAGATCGGCCGATTTGCCCATCATTGCCGGGAAAATTGACCGATTTTTTTCCAACTTCACCAATAAAAAGAATGTGCCAAAATCCCAAAAAACGGCCGACCAATTAACCCACAAACGGTGTGAAAATCGGCAGATTTACGACCCATCTATGGCCTGCATAAGGCTCTCTATGGCTCAGGTAACTCAAATGCATCTTTTCTTCTTTGAAGGCTCTTGAATGGTGACCTTTTCAGTCCAAGCAGCTATGCAGCCAAAATATGTGCCCATTATTAGTAGATTGTTAGCTTCATGGCCAGAGGTGAGTTTTTTCTTTTTTTTTTTTTTTTTTTTTAAAGTAGAACTTTAAGCAAAACTTTTTTTTCCCATTTTGGATAGAGCAAGGGAGGGTTATAACCCGTCAGATTTTTTTTTTCACCATCTGTGTCCCATTGCAGAGATTTGCCTTTACTTCTGGCCCCATAGCCAAAACAGGAAGTGAGAGGAAATCCCTACAAATTAATGATTTCCTTGGGCGACCCCAGGTCACCAGAACTATTGTACCCATTGGAATATTTCCCCTCTATTACTTTACTGGGGACAACCCAAAATTTTGAATTTTCTTTTACTTTCAATGATAATGGTAAACAGGACCAATAGAGAGGGGGAATCTCCCTAATGGGGACACCGACAGCAATAAAAACTGACAGGTATTCCAACCCCCCTGCATTCTAACCAAAGCTTACAAAAATGTTTTGCCTTTAGTTATATTTTAAGTTTACTTTTTTTACACATTGCTATACACACCTGTCAATCTATAGGCTAACGTGCTTTTATCACAGACATGACATTCTAATAGAATAGGGGATCAAGTTTTCTAGACTGCATTGTCCGCAGTCTACAAAAATGTAGTAAGTCATGCAAAGGGCAGTCAATAGTTCAAATCAGTTCTATACAACCTGTCCATTTTGTTTCTACTTCTCCAACATCTGACTTCAGTAAACTTTGTTTAACCATTAGCCGCCCGGCCAATGGCCGTTTGGCGGCTTCAAAAGTGTTGCTGCATTCCGGGTGCACGCCATTTGGCGTGCTCCCGCACATGCGCAGTTTGCGCAAATGCAGAGCGGCGCAGCAGCGCGATCTGTCACCGGCTGTGTACCTCGGACACGGCTGATGACAGATCCGAGTACCGGCTCCCGTTGCTAGTACCATGTGACCTGCTGTGACCAATCACAGCAGGTCACATGACAGTTGTATACAATGGATGGCTTCATTCATGCCATCGATTGCATACTAGTGCCTAGCTGTGAATGGTCACAGCTAATCACATGCACATGTCATGTGATTAGCTGTGACCAAATCACAGCTAAGCACAAAAAAAAAAAAAAAAAAAAGCTGAATGAATCGATTTCATTCAGGTAAATGCTTGCTTATAGCAAAGTAATTCTTTGCTATAAGGAAATTGTGTAAAAAAAAAAAAAAAAATACTGATCACTTCCCCAAAGTAGTACAATGTTACTATGGTAACATTGTACTACTTTGGTCATAGTAAAATATGAAAAAAAAATCTTAAAAAAAAATGTAATAAAAAATTAAAAAAAAAAAAAAAATATATATATATATTTTTTTTTTCATACTGTTACCAGTCAGTGTCCCTGTTCACCGCCATGACAGTTATATGATGACGCTGTACTGCACTGGTGACAGTATGTAAAAAAAAAAATAGTGAAAATTATTTTTTTAATTTTTTCATTTTCCGAAAAATTATGACAAAAAAAATACAACTTCAAAAAACTCGCCATGCCTCTTATGAAGTACGTCGGACTGTCTACTCTGCAAAAAGGGGTCATTTGGGGATATCTGTACTATTCTGACATTCTTGGACCTCAAGAAATTAGATTGGCTGTCAGTACTTCAGGATTGATCAATATTCAGATCTATACCATAGTTTGTGAACTCTATAACTTTCCTACAGACTAAATAATACATCCTAATTTGGGTTATTTTCACCAAAGACATGTAGCAGAATACATCTCGGCCTAAATTGTGTTTTTTTTTCAAAATTTTTGGTCCTTTTTTGTTAATTTAGCAAAAAATAAAAACCCCAGCGGTGATTAAATACCACCAAAAGAAAGCTCTAGTTGTGTGAAGAAAATTATAAAATTTTAGTGTGGGTACAGTGTTGTATGACCGCGCAATTGTCATTCAAAGTGTGAGAGCGCTGAAACCTGAAAAATGGCCTGGGCAGGAGGGGTAAAATTGCCCGGTATTGAAATGGTTAATGCTATGAGGAAAAGCCCTAAAGTGATAATAAACCATTACATATATTCATAAGCTGTACCTGTGTCTGCAGCCCTCTCTTTTCCAGATCCATTCAAATTATACAGATCAAAGGATATTTCTCAGCTTCTAGAAGGCAGAGAGTGGTGATCTAACATCACACAATGCACAGCACAGAGCAGAAAGCTGAGTATAATCTGAGACCAGAGTGGAGGGAGTGAACACACGCCCTCTACACAGTCTCATAGGGAAACCTGCACAGCTGAGGCTGTCAATCAGCTATGTGCTAGGGTGGATGAGGCATCTCAAAGGTTGTCAGGATAAACTATGGGTGTTCAACCTGTGGCCCTCCAGCTATTGCTGAATTACAAGTCCCATGACATTGCAAGACTGACAGTTACAAGCATAACTCTCAAAAGCAGAGGCAAGATGGGACTTGTAGTTCCGCGACAGCTGGAGGGCCACAGGTTGAGCATCCATGGGATAAACGGTCACAAGTGACTCATGCTGACATCAAAGGAAGGACAGAGCAGACAGAAATTACACGGGTGCTTTGAATTGAAGAACGTGACACTGTAGAAGGATATGCTTTGTTCATTTCTCATTTCAGAAGTTTACAACTACTTGAACATACGACTTACTGTTTCTATATACCCAGTGGCTTTGATTTGCTAAAAATGGAGAGTGTAAAATCTGGTGCAGCTGTGTATGGTAGCGTGGCATTATAGGGTTAAATCAAGTGGTGAAGAGGTGATATACCTCCTCCTCCTATCAAATGTCCTCTGAAAAACACTGCGACTGGAAGGAGAAAGTTTGAGATCAGTACAGCATTTAGGATTTACACTCACCGCTTGCACCAGCACTGGAGCACTCTTATGAAGAAGAGTCTATATATTTGTTATTAACGATGCTGGACATTGGCTATTGAACATGCTTTAACAGTAGATGTGGATTATTACACTGATCACTTGTCGGTATAGTTATACATCCCTACATAGGGACCCACTTTGTATATATCACTCTAATATCTTGGGTTGGTCCCTTTAGGGGACAGGTATCGTCAGTTACTAAGGTTCCAAATAGGACCATAATATTGCACGATTTACCACATATTAGACACCTGATAGATCCTGTCAGATCTAACACAATATTAGGATTTATCTTGCTATTGTATGTATGACTGCGTGGGTTTCCTCCGGGTACTCCGGTTTCCTCCCACACTCCAAAGACATGCTGGTAGGTGAATTGGCTCCTGTCTAAATTGTCCCTAGTATGTGTATGTATGAATGTGAGTTAGGGACCTTAGATTGCACGCCCCTTGAGGGTTAGGGACCTTAGATTGTACGCCCCTTGAGGGTTAGGGACCTTAGATTGTACGCCCCTTGAGGGTTAGGGACCTTAGATTGTACGCCCCTTGAGGGTTAGGGACCTTAGATTGTACGCCCCTTGAGGGTTAGGGATTGATGTGAATGTACAATATATGTATGTAAAGCACGGCGTAAATTGACGGCGCTATAGAAGTACCTGAAATAAATAAACTGCCATCTATATTTTGTTTCTATATATTTAAATTAAGGTGGTTACAATCCATTTCCTTTGTAGATTTATGACATAGCGCTACACCATTTTTTATTATATAGTACAACATGGGTGTCTGTAGATCTTGGCCTAGAAAGAAGAACAGATACAGAGCTTCTGTGGTTTGCAGCGTGCATGTGCAAAGACAGGAAGAGCTTGCCTGGGTAGCAGAGTAGCGCAGGAAAGGGTCAGGATATATCCTAGGCGACACTCTCCCACCAGAACCAATCCTCCCCTTTGTACAGATCACCTCCCCACCTTCTCCTAGTTCTTGCTGCTCTCCACATGGGCATCTGTGAGCGTACCTCTCTGACCCTGTCAATTTCTTCAGTGAGGCCGCAATATGTCCGAATCTGACCTAGCCCTTTGTTTCCCAGCCTGACTGTCCTTGGTCTGCCCTTTCAGTCATTGGATTTCAGTTCCTTTTGGAATTATGGGTGACTCAGTGCCACTCATGGGGCTCCCGGGCAATAGGGGATCATGGGGCCCCTGTGTCCTTGCCCAAACTCAAAAAAGTGAAAAAGGGGGCATAATAGTCTGCTTGCCCAGTTTCCAAATGCAGTCCGCCCCCTGCCTAGGAAGCCATCCACCCACCAAAGCAAAGTAATATTTGTGCAAACTCTCCCAACAGCTTGCCTACTACTTGCAACAGTGCTGAGGGCTCTTGAGAGCTGTACTGAGCCAGGGTGCTGTGATGTCTTCAGGAAGTTACCAGCGGGTTGAACGAAAAAAAAAAAAAAAAAAAAGAAAAAAGAAAACTTTCAGATTCCTGCATTAAAACAAACAATGTGTGATGCAGGATCTTCCCTGCTGCAATTCTGTATTCTGACAGGTGGGACTCCCCCCTCCCCCCCTACCAGAACACACAGATCAGCACTACAGTCTTTGGCTACAAGCGCTGATCGAATGCTGGTTTTTCAGGATAGTTGGACAGAAATCAGTAGTTAGACCAGCTTCTGTTGAACAGACAGCAGTACACACAGACTGAAAGTCAGCTGGTTCCTGCTGAACTGGCCTATTTTCGGTCTGTGTATACCCTGCTTTAGTGCGTGCGTTTATATAGCCGCCCTTGGGAGACAGACAGTAAGTTCCTATGCAGTCAGTGGGACGCAATTATCGCACATCATTGCTACAAAAATATGAGAAAAAAGTATTATATAGTATCTAGCAGCTTTTTCAAAGAGAGGTTATCCCTATTATTACATTACTACATTTCGGGCTCACTCAGGCATGGTAAAATGGCCGATTTACACATAATGCACATTACCTCCAATTGTTCATCAGCCATTAGTTGTAGAACCAACCACCTGATGCCTTGAACAGCTTCTTCATTGTGAAGGAATATGAAGAGGTTATAGAAGACCATTGTCTGGATATACGTCAGGACTGTGTATCTGGCATGCCAAGAGCTGCTTCTTGCAGTCTGAGGGAAAACGAGATCAAAACAAATATATCATATTTTTATAGTAAAATTGACTCTCTCTTGTTAATTAAGGGATATAGCTTAATGAGAATTAACCATATGCTGTCCACCCACAATACTTTTACTGAGAGTGGGCGGCAGCTACGGGCCCAGCTGGGGCTGAGCCCTGAAGCGCCCAGCGGTGCAGTCCGGTGGACACAACGGATCAAAGCATTCAGTAACCAGCAGCTGTGAGTGGCCAGGGTATCATGTGACCGCTATGACCAATTATAGCGATCACATGGTTACAATGTAAAACAAAACAGTCATGAATGCCTTTCATTCATGACTGATTACCATTGTGATGCTGTGATTGGCCCATGGCTATCACATGGTACCTGGCACCCTGTAGCATGTGCTTAGCTGTAGCCAATCACAAATCACAATAGTAAGCAAGCTGTCATGAATAAAAACCATTCATGACAGCTAAAACTATTGCTTATAACAGTGATCATCATTGTTGATTGCAATAACAGCATAATAAAAAATATCCCTGATAACCCCCAGAGAAGTACAGTGTTACTATAGTCACACAAAACTACTCTGATGAGAGTATGTAAAAAAATAGATCTTATAAACAGTAAAAGAAATGTAAACAAAAATGAGTAAAATGTATTTTTTTTTTTTTTTTTTACATACTGTCACCAGTCGGTATCCCTGATCACTGCCACACAAGACATATGATAACGCTGTACTGCACTGGTGAAAAAATTGTGGGGAAAAAATTTATTTAATTTCTTAATTTTCCAAAATGTGACAAAAAATCACAACTTCAAAAAACTCACCATGCCTCCTACTAAATACCTTGGACTGTCTACTTTCCAAAAAGAGGTCATTTGTACTGTCCTGGCATTTTAGAGTCTTACGAAATAAGACAAATGTCAGTACATAAGGATCGATCAATTTTCAAATATAAAAACCCAGTGGTGATTAAATACCACCAAAAAAAAAAAAATGTGTGTGAAAAAAATGATACAAATTTAATATGCATACAGTGCTGCATGACCAAGCAATTGCCAGTTAAAGTTCCACAGTGCTGACTAGCAAAAAAAAAAAATGCCCTGGTCATTGAAGGGGTAAAACGTTCTGGCAGTCAAATGGTTAAGCACCAACAGGAGAAATGAACACTAAGCACACAGAAAACTAGAGGTCAGCCCCTCCCCGTATTCTGCATCAAAATATTCCTTTTATTCCTCCATGTCAGGTTCCAGTTCCTGGACACAAAAAGGTCTTCTTCCATCCGCTTGAGCTTAGGGAGTTTTGTTTCCATCCTCCAAATTTATTTTTTGTTTTCCCGTGTTAGGTGGACTTTTTTCAGTCATTTTAGGCATGGCTTCAACTAAACGTTTTCAAGGTCTTTATTCAATTTGGTTTAAAGTTTCAAAATTCAAATACGGCATTTGTCCGATCTTGGATGTACAGGCTCTCTATGCCTTTGTTAGTTTTCAATGATTTCGGACAGAATCTATTTGGTCAGTTACTGCCTCTGTTCATTGAAGAGTCTTCTTCGCATCCATCAAAAAAGTCTGCAAATTTACATATTCCCATCTTTACAAAGTCACCAGCAATTTATGTTTTGCCATTGTTGACAACCACCATCAGTTCTTGGCCCTACCCTTCAGTCTCATAAAACTCTTTATACCAATGCTGTGTATTCCATTCAATGGATAACTGAATGATCTTCTGCTATTACAAACCACCCCTCTGACCTTGGATTCCAATGTAGCAATCACAATGCAGACCTTAGTTAACCATTAGCCGCCCGGCCAATGGCCGTTTGGCGGCTTCAGATGTGCTCCTCCATTCCGGGTGCACGCCATTTGGCGTGCTCCCGCACATGCGCCATTTGCGCTAGTGCAGAGCGGCGCAGCAGTGTGATCTGTCGCCGTCCGTGCACCTCGGACACGGCCGATGACAGATCCGAGTACCGGCTCCCGTTGCTGGTACCATGTGACCTGCTGTGACCAATCACAGCAGGTCACATGACAGTTGTATACATGGATGGCTTCATTCATGATGCCATCCATTGTACACTAGTGCCTAGCTGTGAATGGTCACAGCTAATCACATGCACATGTCATGTGATTAGCTGTGACCAAATCACAGCTAAGCACAAAAAAAAAAAAAAAAAAAAAAAAAAAAGCTTAATGAATCGATGTCATTCAGGTAAATGCTTACTTATAGCAAAGTAATTCTTTGCTATAAGCAAATTGTGTAAAAAAAAAAAAATACTGATCACTTCCCCAAAGTAGTACAATGTTACTATGGTAACATTGTACTATTTTGGTCATAGTAAAAAATGAAAAATTTTTAAAAAAAAAAAAAAAATAAAAATCTTAAAAAAAAAAAAAAATGTAATAAAAAATTAAATATAATAAAAAAATAATAAAAAAAAATTAAAAAAAATAATAAAAAAAATAAAAAAAAATATATATTTTTTTCATACTGTCACCAGTCAGTGTCCCTGTTCACCGCCATGCCAGTTATATGATGACGCTGTACTGCACTGGTGACAGTATGTAAAAAAAAAAAATAGTGAAAATAATTTTTTTCATTTTTTCATTTTTGGAAAAATTATGACAAAAAAATACAACTTCAAAAAACTCGCCATGCCTCTTATGAAGTACGTCAGACTGTCTACTCTGCAAAAAGGGGTCATTTGGGGATATCTGTACTATTCTGACATTCTTAGACCTCAAGAAATTAGATTGGCTGTCAGTACTTCAGGATTGATCAATAATCAGATCTATACCATAGTTTGTGAACTCTATAACTTTCCTACAAACTAAATAATACATCCTAATTTGGGTTATTTTCACCAAACACATGTAGCAGAATACATCTCGGCCTAAATTTATGAAGAACAATTATTTATTTGTAAACTTTTATAACAGAAACAAAGAAAAATGTGTTTTTTTTTCAAAATTTTTGGTCCTTTTTTGTTAATTTAGCAAAAAATAAAAACCCCAGCGGTGATTAAATACCACCAAAAGAAAGCTCTAGTTGTGTGAAGAAAATGATAAAATTTTAGTTTGGGTACAGTGTTGTATGACCCGCGCAATTGTCATTCAAATTGTGAGAACGCTGAAACCTGAAAAATGGCCTGGGCAGGAAGGTGTAAAATTGCCCGGTATTGAAACGGTTAACATTGCATTTAATCATGAACTTCAAGAAGTCATCTCTGATTTCATCTTATTGCTTGAAGTATTTGAGTCTTTTCTAGGATACATTTCAGGCCAAGGTCTTCCCACCGCAGGAGAAGATGAAACTGTAGAATTAAATTCAGCAAATTAAATCCCAAAGTCGGTCTTCTCTGTGGAGCTGCATGCGAGTGCCGGGATTGATGGTATACCCCTTTGAAGCAGTCCAATTTGCTCAAACTCCAGTCCCAAATTTAGCAATAAAACATTTCCACAGCATGGCACAAATTCACTCTCTCTATGGAAAAGACGATATGTTTGCATTCTCAAACCAAGCTGAATCTGCCATGGCAGCTTCTGTCTCCAACATTGTTCCGGGGGCAGGTTTTTTCCCCCCCCTACATTGGAAGGCTGTCACAATGGACGACAGCCTTCTGGGTTGGGGTGGAATCCTGGATCATTTGTCTGTTCAGGGTTGTTGGTCTTAGGAGGAATCCAAACTTCCAATCAAGATCCTGCAACTATGATCAATTTGTTGGTTGTTACCTCACTGACCCCCCCCCCCCTCCTTTGACTGGTCATCCCGTCTGGATTTAATAAGGCAAAACCACAGCTTAAATCAATTATTGAGGGACACCAGGAGTTCTGCAGCAACTGTAGAGTTTATGCTGTCAAGGTGGAGTTACATGTTTAAGCGATTTCTGCAGTACACATTCCTGATGTTAGATAACTGTCAGGAGGAAATTCTCAGCAAACAACTTGTGGACCCATGGAAATAGTCTCTCCATCCGGAGATGTTGCTGGACAAATTTCTGCATTGGAGAATGCCAGATCCAGCAGATGTACTGCTAATGCTGTAGGATCAGTACACCCTGACCTATGCATTTCCACCTTTGAAAATGTTACCTCATCTACTTCAAAAGATCGAGAGGGAGAGCGTTCCATCATTCCCATAGCTCTGTGCTGGTCTCAAAGCATGGCACCTTGTTTATCTGTTAACCGATGCTCTGTTGCCTCTACCAGATCTGAAAATCTGTTATCTCAAGGATAGGTATTCCACTATGCTCCTGAGTCGCTGACTGACATCCTGGATGATGAAACCCCGGTTATGATGAACAGGGGCATTTTGCATTTTGTAATATTGACTAAGTTAAAGGCTTGAAAATCTTCCCACAAGGTTTATGATTGAATGTGAAAACCCTACATTTGCTTGCTTTGAGTCTATGGGGGATTCTCCACATGCTTGTTTGGTGAATCCTGTTTTTTCTATTCTGTAGTTGGGGTTAGAACAGCACTTGGCTCCTACCATTAATGGTCAGGTATCTGCACAGTCCACGGTCTGCAACGTCCTCTTGCTAAAAATTCTCTGATTCAAATTACTATACAAGGTGCTACAAATGTTGCTTCCCTTAATAAGTCTCCACTCCAGCCATGAGATTTAAATCTAGTATTGTCTGTGTTACAATCTTGCTTTCAAACTTATTCAGAACATATATTTGACATTGCTACCCTTTCTTGTGGCCATCACTTCAGCCAGGAGAGTTTCTTAGGTATCAACACTATCCTGTAAGGAGCCCAATTTGATCCGATTTTGATCACCCCAAAGGGATTTCTCTCTATTGAACAAATGTGGTGAGGGCCTTTCTGGTTTACCTTTCTGGGGGGGAGGGGGGGGGTCTCTGGATTCCAGTTTTACTATCTCTAAGTGGATCTGACAGGTTATTGAACAGGCCTGAAGATATTATTATTATACAGTATTTATAAAGCGCCAATAGTTCGTTCAGCTCTGTACATTACAAAGGGGGACAGAACATGTGACAGAACAATACCAATACAATGCAAAACATGAGGGGATCGAGGGCCCTGCTCTTTGGAGCTTACAATCTAGGAGGGAGGGGATAGTGGTACAGGAGGAGATAGCTGTGGGGGATGGGAGTGGTAGGAAGAGTGGAGGAGGTCGGCAAGTTAGCAGGGGGTGGGGTGGGCTTCCCTGAAGAGATGGGTTTTCAGGGTGCGCCTAAAGGAGAGGAGAGTAGGTGATAATCTGATGGGTTGGGGCAGGGAGTCCCAGAGGATGGGTGACACCCTGGAGGCGGGCATGGGAGGAGGAGACCAGGGAACTAGAGAGAAGGAGGTCTTGTGAGGAGCGGAGTATGCGTGCTGGGTGGTACTTGGATATTAGGTCGGTGATGTAGTTCGGGGCAGTATGGTGGACGGCTTTGTACGTCAGTGTTAGAATTTTGAATATGATCCGTTGCGCAATCAGAAGCCAGTGGAGGGATTGGCAGAGGGGGGTGGCGGAAATGGAGCGGTTTGAAAGGTGGATGAGTCTGGCAGCCGTATTCAGGATCGACTAAAGCGGGGATAGCCAGCGGCGAGGCAGGCCAGTGAGGAGGGAGTTGCAGTAGTCGAGTCGTGATATGATGAGGGAGTGGATGAGCTGTTTTAGTGGTTTCTGGGGTTAGGAACGTGCGGATTTTGGCGATGTTGCGGAGGTGGAGTCTGCATGAGTTTGTTAAAGATTGGACTTGGGGCTGGAAGGATAGGTTGGAGTCCAGAATGACACCAAGTACTCTGGCCTGCGGGGCGGGTTTGATGGCGGTGTTGTTGGATGTGATGGAGAAGTCAGTGGGGGGTGGTGTCCGGGCTGGGGGGAAGAAAAGAAACTCGGTTTTGGAGAGGTTCAGTTTAAGGAAGTGGAGCGACATCCAGTCCGATATGTCGCTCAGTAGGTGTGTGATTCGGGCGGAGACTGAGGGGGGGGTGAGGTGGGGGGTTGAGAGATAGATTTGTGTGTCGTCGGCATATAGGTGGTAGTTGAAGCCGTGAGAGTGTATGAGTTGGCCAAGGGAGGAGGTGTAGATGGAGAAGAGAAGGGGCCCGAGGATGGAGCCTTGAGGATACAAGGTAAAGTGCCTTCTTTTCCTGTTAAACCCCACTCCACTAGAACAGTGTTTCTTGGGCTATTTGTCACATCAGGCTGCAGGGCCACAAATTTCCAAGGCTGAGACCTGGTCTTCTGTACTTACTTTCTCTAAGTTCTACAAGACCAAGTGTCAGTTAAAAAATTCTGCAAGCGATTATTTAATGCTTTTTGTTTCCCTTTGTTTTTTTTGTTGGGCTAGTTTTGTTTTATGTGTGCCCACCTCTCAAATTGGAGTGCTTTTGGATGTCCCTAGGTTGCCTAATTATCAACCCGTGTGCCTCAATAGACAATAAAGAAAATAGGATTTTTGTAATTACCATTATTAATTACCAAATTATTTTCTCTGAGTTCACTGAGGGACTCAGTGATGCCAAAGCTAAAAATATTTTTTTTTACGTTAATGCATTCCTTGCACAGGGAGGGGGGGGGGAGAATAGATCCAGTGCTGCATTTCTTCTCCCATCTCTTTCTCTTCACACAGGAACTCAAACAAGCAGCATAGTGGCTAAATGGTTAGCACTTCCGCCTGGCAGTTCTAGGGTCGTTGGTTCGAATCCCAGCCACGGCACCACCTGCCTGGAGTTTGCATGTTCTCCCTGTGACTGCGTGGGTTTCTTCCGGGTACTCCGGTTTCCTCCCACACTCCAAAGACATGCTGGTAGGTTAACTGGCTCCTGTCTAAATAATTGTCCCTAATATGTGTACGTATGAATGTGAGTTATGGACTTTAGATTGTACGCCCCTTGAGGGTCAGGGACTGGATGTGAATGTACAATATATATGTATGTAAAGCGCTGCGTAAATTGACGGCACTATATAAGTACCTGAAATAAATAATAATAATAAACAGTAGCAGGAGCCAATGGCTCAAATGCAGTGAGAAGGAAGTGGGTCCTGCTGTGTACGTTTATGGGGCATGGCTCCAAAGACACACAACTCGGGAACGCGCAGACACTGTGTGCCTCCATAGCAAGCGGCTTGGTATGGGGACACACAAAGGTGTGGAGAAACCAAGATCGCTGCCGTGGGACCCTAGAAAAGGAGGATGGGCGCCACTCAGTGCAATAATACTGCACAGAGCAGGTAAGTATAACATGTTTGTAATGTTTGACTTTAGTCACACTTTAACTCCCTCCCCTCATATGCAAACCTTCACTCTTTGGACTGCTTGGTACAGCTGAGCAGGAGAGGAGTGATAACGTCAGGATGGACGGCCTTCAGTTTTCTACGTGCCTAGTGTCCATTTCTCCTGTAGATAGCAGGAGCCAATGGCTCAAATGCAGTGAGAAGGAAGTGGGTCCTGCTGTGTACGTTTATGGGGCATGGCTCCAAAGACACACAGCTCGGGAACGCGCAGACACTGTGTGCCTCCATAGCAAGTGGCTTGGTATGGGGACACACAAAGATGTGGAGGAACCAAGATCGCTGCCGTGGGACACTAGAAAAGAAGGATGGGCGCCACTCAGTGCAATAATAGTGCACAGAGAAGGTAACTAACATGTTTGTAATGTTTGACTTTAGTCACACTTTAACGCCCTCCCCTCATATGCAAACCTTCACTCTTTGGACTGCTTGGTACAGCTGAGCAGGAGAGGAGTAATAACGTCAGGACGGACGGCCTTCAGTTTTCTATGTGCCTAGTGTCCATTTCTCCTGTAGATAGCAGGACAAACCTAGGTTTCTAATCATCATCAAGGTGTGTCCTTTCTATTTTTTGACATAGGTTAAACTAACATTAGAAAAGAAGACAACATTGGAAAACTGATAAACAGCTTCTATGAACATTAAGTTGCACCATGCCACTCACCTGCTTCAGCACCTCAAGAGCCATGGGCACTTGCTCGGGGTAGAGTAACCCTTGAGACATCAGGGATAAACACATTTTGGCATCTCTTTTTAGCTCGTCATAGTTTGTGTCGTTTTCAACCGGTGCAATCTGACGAAAAATAATTTTGTTAGCATACTAAGGCACTAATTCCCCTAGTTCTACAAGGTGGCAGTGCGGACAGGTCTAGTATTATAGGGCTGACAGTACAGAACTCTGCAATATTGGGCAGAACCAAAATTCCACAGACACAGCAAAGTTTTGCCTACTCTACAATATGAGGAGCACTAGAACATTTACAATGGCCAATTCTGAGATCACTTCATACAGTGATACAGTCTTCAGTTAAATCTACTTCTAAAACTGAAAAGTGAATTTGTCAGATTCATCAATGTATTCAGACTAATATTACCACATTATGGTGCCTGCAAGTTTCTTTGAGAATTTCTGTGCAACAAGGGATCCCTGGTTCAAGATATACAGAGTGTTTCTAAAGACCTTTCAGGCTCTGACGCTTAAAGCGGAAATCCACTCTCTTAACCACTTCCAGTCCGGACACTTTCCCCCCTTTCCTGTCCAGGCCAATTTTCAGCTTTCAGTGCTATCACACTTTGAATGACAATTGCGCTGTCATGCAACATTGTACCCATATGAATTTTTTTAGCATTTTTAGAGACAGATAAAACTTTATTTTGGTGGTATTTATTCACCGCTGGGATTTTTTTTTTTTTTTGCTATAAAAGTAAAAATAAAAATGAAAAATTCCAAAAACTTTGAAAAAAAAAAAGTGTTTTTCTTATACAATTTTGCAAATAAATAATTTTTCTTCAAAAATCTTGGCCAAAATGTATTCAGCTATCTTTTTAGTAAAAAAAAAAACCCAAAATTATTTTATAGCTAAAAATTATAATTTTTCAAAAAATTTTTTTTTTTTTACATTTTTATTTTTTTTTTTCATATTATTCATGTTTTTTTTTTTTTTTTAAACATACTGTCACCCTAGCAGTACAGTGTCACCATACTACTTGTGGGGAGTGATGAGTTCTTTTTTTTTTTTTTTACACTGATTGCTTTTACACCCATAAAGGCTGTAAAATCAATCAATTCTCCTCTCCGGCTGCATTCTTGCAGCCATTGAGAAATACTGGGTGAGCTGTGATTGGTCACAGCTTGTCAAATCGTACAAGGCTGTTGTGAATAGCCCTGTATCATGTGACCTCTGTGATCATTCACCGATTTCACTAGTAGTAAGCAATGATGTCAGAAGTGACATCTTGCTTATTACTATTCATGTGATCACCGATTGGCCAATCAGTGATCACATGATCGGGACCTCACACAGAGGTCTTATACTGCGATTGGTGTTCCGCTGTGCCCAGATTGCGGTGCCGCCCGTACAGGCTAAAATGGCCGACGCGTTTATGAAAGGCAACTCGCCCCTTCACTGCTCCCGTCATTTATATACATGGGCCGGACGGGAAGTGGTTAATCAACATTGACTATTTTTAATCTATGTGCTGCTAGCCATACATCCCAGGAGTCTTCAGGATGGGAGGAGGGCTTTTCTCAGCTAAGCACACCCTCCTGCCTGAGCTAAGGGCAGATGGATTCCAGGAACTAAATGCTACATAAATCATCTGCCCTTATTCAAGATGGCCATGGCCATAAATGCCAGGAGGTGTATCTCAAAGTGATTTCTTAGAAAAATAAAGCATGGAGACATGGATGGATGGGGGAGTTTGCGTTGAATACTAAAAATGAATCAAACAACATTTTTGGTTTGTGGTGCTCAGATGCAGTGTAGTTCCGCTTTACAGGTTACGTTCACCCTTCGTAACATGTTACACTTATATTCAGGGTGTAATGTGCAACATACTACTTAAGAAAACAACTCCAGCCCCCCCGGTTTCCCGATGTGACAGCTAGCGGGGGATCTTCTCCTACTGCTAGCTGTCACAATTTTTTAAAACGTGTCTGTGAGGGGCTCTGCCTGCCCAGCTGCGTCACTCATTCACAACGTTCTGTGAATGGAAAACTACAAGTCTCGACAGCCCTTGCGGCAGTCGGCTTGTAGTTTTCAATGAACGGCGCTGTGCATTAATGTGGTAGTTCACTGTGTCTTCCTGTGAGAATGTATCTGGCTGTCCATATGAGGTACAAGCAAACAGATACACAGAAAGATCTGCAGAAGTTTTGCATTACTGGCTCCTAAAACAAAAAAATAGTAAATGCACATTTTTTTTACCTGGAAAAAAATGTGCATTTATTATTTTTTGTCAAAAGGTGAACTTATCCTTTAATAATGTTGAATTGTGCTGGACACGAGAGGGGGGATATGTGACTGCACTAAGAGCATGTCTGGCCTATATGGAAACAGCACAAAAGGGAGTAAATGGGAACAAACTGCATATGTCCTATAATGTGTAGTTTATCTTCATACACGGACCTTAAACAACAATGGTAGAAGTTGTAACTGTTCTGGGACAGCCGTACAGAATGACCGTCCAGCACTCGCCATGATCCACTTCAGTACTGCAAGAAGAAAACAGAATGAGACTGCACATATCTAAACGTAACTATGTAAACGTAAACATACAATCTCACTTAACATTACATTTTTTTTACATTCCCACCATTAAAGGATAGGGGCACCTTTTCAGGAAAAAAAAAAATGTGCCTTTATTACCTTTACCTGCAGGAGCCTGGAAAGCATTGCACTCGTAATCTGTGGATCAGGGGTGCAATGTCAGGCTTCTGCAGACAAGCCCTGCAGCTTTCAGCCCCTAACTCCATATGGGCTGTCTGTTTGAAAGCTGCAGGCAGGGGTGGACTGACAACTCATGGGGCCCCTGGGTAATAGGGGATCATGGGGCCCCTGTGTCCTCACCTGCACTCAAACCACACCCAAAAAAAGCCTATAAAAAGTACCAGGGGCATATCATGGGGCCCCCTACTGACCCCGGACCCTCAGGCAGAGCCCGAGTGCTCGAATGGTCAGTCCGCCCCTGGATGCAGGGCAATTCATTCAGAACTATGAGCCATCAGACACGGTGACCGACGGTACTTGTAGTCCATTCATTCACAGGAAACTGTGAATGAATGACATGGGCGTGTGGGTGGAGCTCCGCACTTTTCAAAAAGATCCCCCCGCCTGTTGCCACACTGAGGGGGAAGAATGGCAGAACTGGCGGCAGGAACTACAACATGTTATATGTTCCACCCTAAATACAGGTGGAGCATGTAACATGTTCCAAAGGGTGATCTTAGCGGTTAAAACCTGGTCAAATATATCTTTGGATAAGAATGGAGCATGGAGCATCTCCAATCTGTTCAAAATAGAAAAAAAAAAAAAAAAAGGATTTGCCTGTAGTTATACATTAGGAATAGTAAAAGTGCTGTAATATCCATAGTTTGCTAGCTTCCCAGAGACCTCTACCTGCCCGGTTTCCATGCGAGTAAATGATGCAATAGGGCTCATGATAGGTTACAATAGATTTAGGCCTCAAATGGTCACTTACTTGTCTTCATCATTTTAATGCCCTGAGTTCTCTCATCCTGTTCTTCAACCCCATTCTCCTCCATGACATGGTTTTGTATCTCCTCATCGGCCTCCATGAGAGGCTTTAGCTTGTCAATGACACGGGCAGTAAATTCAGAGATACGTGGAGACTTGGTGGGAGCGGTGTTTGGCAAGCAGACATCGATCATGAAGATGTAGGTCAGAACACTGTAGTGAAAATGGCAAATGTGAAAATCCCTCCAAATTTTTTATCAATCCATGGATAAAACAAAGCTACAGCAGAACTTCGCCTTCAGCTGCTTTCCCTTGCCAATCACACATCACATTTTGCCCATAACTATCATGGGCTGCCTCACTGGCCAGTAGGAATGTGTGGGAGGTTGGGACAGTGGAAGAGCAAGCTATATCACTAGGAGGAAGAGCGAGACCTATGCCCTCTAGGTGCCTGCACTTCATACCTGCCAGCAGTTTTTTTTTTTAAATGTGCCATTGACTTGTAGGTGATCCAAACATGTTCCCACGTTCTATAATAACCCAACGATGTGGGAAATGTACAGGAATAGATGAGTTTCCTGCATCGCATAGAAATCGCACTGTGTTCACGCAATCTACTGTGGGTGTTAACCACTTGCACTCCTGAGGATTCACCCCCCTTCCTGACTAGGCCGGTTTTTGTGTTACAACGCTGCATTACTTTAACTGGCAATTGCGCAGTCATGCAACACTGCACCCAAATGAAATTTAAGTCCTTTTTTTTCCCCACAAATTGAGCTTTCTTTCGGTGGTACTTGATTGCCTGTGCATTTTTTATTTATAAAAAAAAAAGTCTAACAATTTTGAGAAAAAAAAACAACAACATTTTTTTTTTACTTTTTGCTATTAAACATGTCCAGTAAAAAAAAAAAAAAAAAAAAAAAAAGAAAAAAGAAAATCACGTTTCGTCATAAATGTATGATAAAATGTATTCTGCTACATGTTTTTGCTAAAAAAAAAAAATCTCAATACGTGTAAACTAATTGGTTTACATGAAAGTTATAGCGTCTACAAAATGGAGGTATAGATACTGGAATTTATTTTTTTGTTTATTTATTTTACTAGTAATGGTGGCGATGAGCGACTTATAGAGTGACTGCAGCAGGCATTCTGACACTGGGGGGAACTGACTTGGTGTCACTGACATCCCCAGTGACACCAATACAGTGATCAATGCTAAACAAAAGCACTGACACTGTACTAATGGCACTGGGCAGGAAGGGGTTAACATCAGGGTTAATTGTGTGCAGGGAATGTTTTAAATGGGGGGTGGTGTGTGTGGGCTTTGTTGTAATCACACTGCTCTGGATGGCTGTGCACAGCCATCCAGAGTAGTGTGCCTGAGCTGACAGGGAGGAGGACTGTTAGTAAAGAAAGCAGTCCTCCTCCCCATCGGAGATGCTCGGTAATCACCGGCGAGGATACACCGGCTGGGACCTGGCGATTGACAGCTGTGGCTGCGAATGGCGGCGCGGGTAGGGTATGCGTGCGGCTTGCATGCGCCCCCTACCTGGAAATACAAAATCATGGATATATACACGATTTTGCGCATCCCTGCCGCCCTGTAGCAGTATATCTGCTATAGGGCGGTCGGGAAGTGGTTAATGAAAAGTTAATGACACTCCAAAAGCAGGTCACACAACGCACTGCATTTGCCTGGATTAGATCACATGGGTATAAACACCCATGTGACCCAATTCCGGTGTGGCAAAAAAAAAAAAATATGCCTGCATCTTTTTTGTGTGGATGCAGTGCGATTTGAGCTACAAAAAATGATGGTCTCAAATTGCAGTGCAATTCCTGTGTGAATCACATGCGGTGTGAGTGTGAACCGGGGCTAATTCACAAATTATTTTGAGAAGCTGCTTCTTTTTACAACAAACCATCTCAATGCTACTAAAGTTCAGAAAAGTGGAAACCAATTCTTACGAACTGAATTCCTTACCTTCCGATCCTTTCTCTGACATTCTTGTACACCTGGGTTAGTTTAGGTTCCAAATATTTAAGCAATCGGTGCAGCAACTCTGGAACTCGCCACTCTTGCTGTGCAAGTCCTCCCTGAAGCACATACAATCGGCTGAAGACAGGAAACAATGATTATTACTACTAATGTGCACATTATCTGAGGTACGGACACACATTCCAAACACTGACTTTTATCAAATACTGGATCTACTGAATGTAAACTGGAAATAATACAATGTGCTGGGCATTCTAAATAAACTATATATAATGGACATCAAATAAATATGCTGCAAAACTAAACCATGGTTCACACCGATGCGACTTGTCACACAATTTGACAGTTTCATATCGTGTGACAGGTCTCACCCTAATGTCGGTAATGGGGGGTGGGATGGATGAAAAAAGCAGGAGAGGAGAAGTGTATACAGTGACTGGCTGTCACTATAGGTCAGTGATGGATTTTAAATGTAATTACCGTTTTTTTTTTTTCTTCACTATAGCTCACAGAATTAGCTGTCACTTTCCCCCGGCTAAAAAACAAAAAAAGTTTCCTTTTAGTTTCTTTCCCGGAGTTAAAAGATACAAAGTTTCCTTTAGCTCCAGAGAAAGTGACAGCTAATTCTGTGAGCTATAGTGAAGAAAACAAAAAGCCGCAACTGCATTTAAAAACCGACACTGACACATAGTGACAGCCAGTGAGGGAGCCTCTTTGTATACACTGCTCCCCACCCCCTCCCCTCTACAAAGAGGACCTGTCACTCATATGTTATCACATAGGGGACTATTGGTCCCCTATGTGATAGCAATAAAATAATAATTTACAAAAAAAAAAAAAAAAAATAATATATATATATATACATAAACACACACACACACACATACACATACACATATATATACACATACATACACATATACACACATATAGTATACAGTAAAAAAAAAATACAAAAACAAATTGAAGCCTCCCCACATATGCAGACATTTCGGTTTCGGTTCGGTTTTCGGCTACAAGCATTCTGAATTTTCGGTATCGGTTTCGGCACCAGAATTTTCATTTCACCAATAATTTTTTTATGTATTCCAGTTCATTTTCTCCCCTTTTTCTTGAATTTAAATAGGGACATGTGCGTTCCAGGTGCATTTCGGTGCGTCCTTGATGCGTTTTACTGCGTTCCATTACAGTTCTGTGCAGGAAAAATGTAGCCTGTTCTACTTTTTGTTCTGCAACAGGAACGCACTGGAACTGCGTGCACTGATGTGAACTATGACATTGGCAACCATATAACCTACTTTCTGTGCGTTTTGGATGCAGAAAAAAAGCAACTGAAACACACCCTAAAACGGTTGAGTGTAAAATCTGGTGTAGCTGTGCATGGTAGCCAATCAGCTACCAGGTCTTTTTGTCAATGCTTAAAGGAGAAGTACAGACAAAGGTGCGGGGGGGGGGGGATGTGGGGTTAGAGCAAACAGCAGTGACAGTCACAGCTCTGAAAAACAGCGGCGGTGAGAACTCAGCAATCAGCAGTCATGATTGGACACCACGCACAGCTACGCCAGATTTTGCCCCCTCCAGCTTTAGTAAATCAACATCTATGTGTCAATTCATAATCATAAAATGAGTAGTCTTCTTTCATTGAAAACGCTAAAATTCAGACATTAAACTCCGTGCAGAGATTTCACTCACCAAGCATCCACAAAAGAGCCGCCTTCTCCGCTCACTGGCGATTCCAACAACAGTTCAAACAACCAATGAAGCTTCCGAGGATCCCTGCTCTCCTGCAGAAAACAACATTACATGGAACAAATGTTGCTGGATTCATCAAAGTCGGATTTGTCTTAGAAAAAAAAAAAACCTATCTAAATGGAAATACAGGCTGAAATATCTGCTTCCTCCAAGCTGCTTGTCACCACTGGAGTTCTGTAGATATTATACTGGAGTATATGGACAGCAAGCAGGCTGGTGACAACGAACCAGGCTAAAACAAAGAATCCTCAGCAAATAATGGCAATTGTGTGGGGTAAAGAAAGGGAAGATCTTCTGGGGACCCGGAAAGAAGAGATCTGCCTGCTTCAATCTACCTTCAACACTTGGGAACGGAAATCGCATCTAATGAATGTGAATGTCAGTGTGTCTTAACATTTGCGATTTGTTGCAGCGCAATTTCTCTTTGCAGTGCGAATTCCATAATAGTCTATGTATGTGAAATCTCCACAAATTGCAAGAAATCGTCGAAAATCTTCACAAGCAGCAATAAAGTCTTCAGACATCGTACAAATCGAGTTTAAATCGCAGCAGTGTGATCGGTGACTTTGGGTGGAATTGTTCCGGGGGAAAAGCTAAGCTGGTGTCAGGATAAGCTGTCAAAAAACAGAATAGTCCATCTAGCATCTCAAACTTTTAGGTATGTACTCTCATGCAGTGGTGTATTTAGGTTTTGTGCTGCCCTAAGCAACACAAACATTGGTGACCCCCCCCCCCCCCCCGCAGAAAGAGCCTGACATTGACCAAGAACACCCCTGCCCTCCACCTGAGCCTTCCACTACCACTGCCCCCCATGAACTAGCCACCATCCCCCATGGCGAGAGAGAAAAGGGCACTCACCTTCACAGCTTCGGACATCCCCAGGAATGAGAGTTGGGCTGTGCATACACCGTCATGAAACCAGCAGCCTCTCTTGGAACTCACCAGGTCCCCAAGCTGAGCGTGTCCCTTCTTCCGTCCCTTCTTCCAAGGGGCAGTGCCCCCTGAAAAATGCCACCCTAGGCAAATGCCTTGTGGTAGATACACCCCTGCTCTCATGTGACAGCTCTCAACAGCTGAATGACCTATTACCAGACCAAAGTACTGTCACATGGGGGGCACTGCCCACTGTTAACTCTTTCCCCAAAAGACTGGAAATTTGGGGAAGCAGCAGAGAGAAGGAGCCAGCAGCACTGAACGATGTAACTAGCAAGTGTGGGGGTAAAAATTCATACAAATAGTTTACTTGGGGAAAGTTTATTTTAATGTGCTCAGTGTGTTAAAGTAGAACTATAGGCAAAACTTTATTATTTTCGATAGCGTAAGGGAGGGTTACAACCCCATGTTTGGTTTTTTTGCCTTTTTCATCTGTGTCCCATTGTGGAGATTTCCCTTCACTTCCTGTCCCATAGCCAAACAGGAAGTGAGAGGAAATTCCTCCAAAGTGAGGGAATTCCTTGGGGACCCCCAGGTCACCAAAACTAGTGTCCCCATTGAAAGGTTTTCCCCCCTATTACTTTTCTGTGGACAACCCAAAATTTGGGTTTTTCTTTTAATTTCAATAATAAACAGGACAAATAGAGAGTGAATCGCCTCAAAGGGGACACAGACAGCAATAAACACCTGACAGAGGTTCTAATCCCTCAGCACACCATCCAAAACTTAAAAAAAAAAAAAAAAAAAAAAAAAAAAAAAAAAGGTTGGTCTCTAGTTAAAACAGGCCACTTTTTTGGATATGGCGATGCTTTACTTTAACTGACAATTGCGCTGTCATGCAACGCTGTACATAAATGAAATTTATGTTATTTTTCCCCACAAATAGAGCTTTCTTTTGGTGGTATTTGATCACCACTGCATTTATTTTTTGCGCTATCCATAAAAAAAAAACACTGACATTTAAAAAATATATATATATATTTTTTACTTTCAGCTACAGTATGTCACAGAAGTGAGTCCACCCCTCACATTTTTGTAATAATTTGATTCTATCTTTTCATGTGACAACACTGAAGAAATGACACTTTGCTACAATGTGACGTAGTCAGTGTACAGCTTGTATAACATGTAAATTTGCTGTCCAAATAACTCAACACACAGCCATTAATGTCTAAACCGCTGGCAACAAAAGTGAGTCCACCCCTAAGTGCAATGTCCAAATTTGGCCCAATTAGCCATTTTCCCTCCCCGATGTCATGTGACTCCTTAGTGTTACAAGGCCTGAGGTGTGAATGGGGAGCGGGTGTGTTAAATTTGGTGTTATCACTCTCACTCTCTCTATGGTCACTGGAAGTTCAACATGGCACCTCATGGCAAAGAACTGATCTGAGGATCTGAAAATAAAAAGAATTGTTGCTCTACATAAAGATGGCCTAGGCCAGTGGTGGGCAACCTTTTTTTTCAACTGAGCCAAATCTCGCCAAAACCACGATTGAAATTTATTTTGAGAGCCACATTTTTAAAACTGAAAATACATCCCCCATATAGTAATTCATCCCCCATAGTAATTCATCCCCCATATAGTAATTCATCCCCCATATAGTAATTCATCCCCCATATAGTAATTCATCCCCCATATAGTAATTCATCCCCCCTATAGTAATTCATCCCCCATAGTAATTCATCCCCCATAGTAATTCATCCCCCATATAGTAATTCATCCCCCATATAGTAATTCATCCCCCATAGTAATTCATCCCCCCATATAGTAATTCATCCCCCATAGTAATTTCATTCCCCCATATAGTAATTCATCCCCCATAGTAATTCATCCCCCATTATCCCCCATAGTAGTCATCCCCCATATAGTAATTCATCCCCCATAGTAATTCCCCCCTATAGTAATCCCCCATATAGTAATTCATCCCCCATATAGTAATTCACCCCCCCTATAGTAATTCATCCCCCATATAGTAAGTAATTCATCCCCCATAGTAATTCATCCCCCATATAGTAATTCATCCCCCCCCTATAGTAATTCATCCCCCATAGTTGTGTCAATTCACTTACCTTTGCTCCCTGCGCGTTCTTCTCGCCGTGTTCCCGCGCCGTTCTGGTCTTCAGGGCGGACTGTGAGAGGAGAGGAGTTTGTCACGCTGCCCCGCCTACATCCTGGCTGCCCCGCCTACATCCTGACAGCTGCAGAGTCCTGACTTTTGGGGCGGCAGCCCGAGAGGAGGGAGGGGAGCGGGCGCCCGGCACACAGAAGAGCCGCATTTAAGTTTGTAAAGAGCTGCATGTGGCTCGCAAGCCGCGGCTTGCCGACCACTGGCCTAGGCTATAAGAAGATTGCCAAGACCCTGAAACTGAGCTGCACCATGGTGGCCAAGACCATACAGGAGTTTAACAGGACAGGTTCCACTCAGAACAGGCCTCGCCATGGTCGACCAAAGAAGTTGAGTGCACGTGCTCAGCGTCATATCCAGAGGTTGTCTTTGGGAAGCAGATGTATGAGAGCTGTCAGCATTGCTGTAGAGGTAGAAGGGGTGGGGGGTCAGCCTGTCAGTGCTCAGACCATACGCCGCACACTGCATCAAATTGGTCTGCATGGCTGTCATCCCAGAAGGAAGCCTCTTCTAAAGATGATGCACAAGAAAGCGCACAAACAGTTTGCTGAAGACAAGCAGACTACGGACATGGATTGCTGGAACCATGTCCTGTGGTCTGAAGAGACCAAAGTAAACTTTTTTGGTTCAGATGGTGTCAGCGTGTGTGGCGGCAACCAGGCGAGGAGTACAAAGACAAGTGTGTCTTGCCTACAGTCAAGCATGGTGGTGGGAGTGTCATGGTCTGGGGCTGCATGAGTGCTGCCAGCACTGGGGAGCTACAGTTCAATGAGGGAACCATGAATGCCAACATGTACTGTGACATACTGAAGCAGAGCATGATCCCCTCCCTTCGGAGACTGGGCCGCAGGGCAGTATTCCAACATGATAACGACTTCAAAACACACCTCCAAGACGATCACTGCCTTGCTAAAGAAGCTGAGGATAAAGGTGATGGACTGGCCAAGCATGTCTCCAGACCTAAACCCTATTGAGCATCTGTGGGGCATCCTCAAACGGAAGGTGGAGCAGCGCAAGGTCTCTAACATCACCAGCTCAGTGATGTGGTCATGGAGGAGTGGAAGAGGACTCCAGTGGCAACCTGTGAAGCTCTGGTGAACTCCATGCCCAAGAGGGTTAAGGCAGTGCTGGAAAATAATGGTGGCCACACAAAATATTGACACTTTGGGCCCAATTTGGACATTTTCACTTAGGGGTGGACTCATTTTGTTGCCAGAGGTTTAGTCATTAATGGCGGTGTGTTGAGTTATTTTGAGGGGACAGCAAATTTACATGTTATACAAGCTGTACACTCACTAGGTCACATTGTAGCAAAGTGTCATTTCTTCAGTGTTGTCACATGAAAAGATAGAATAAAATATTTACAAAAATGTGAGGGTTGGACTAATTTCTGTGAGATACTGTATAAAAACATATCCAATAAAAAAATGTTAAAAATCAGATTTCTTCATAAATTTACGCCAACATGTAGTCTGCTACATATTTTTTGGTAACAAAATCCCAATAAGTGAATTTTGATTGGTTTGTGCAAAAGTTATAGCGTCTACAAATGGCAGTATATATAAGAATTTATTTATTTTTTTTTAATACTAGTAATGATGGCGATCAGCCACTTACAGCAGGACTGCGATATTGCGGTGGACAGTCTGACACTTTGTGGGAACCAGTGACACCAATACAGTGATCAGTGCTATAAACATTGTCGCTGTATTAATGACACTGGCTGGGAAAGGGTTAAACATCTAGGGGGATCAAAGGGTTAAATGTGTGCCTAGCCAGTGTTTATGTGTTGACTATTTAATGTTTTTACTAGGAAATCTGCTTGATTTTATTCGCTGAATAAAATCTAGCTGATTGCCGTTGACATAACACAGCTCTGCCTTGTTTACCTAGGAATCTTCTCGGCGATCAACAGATTCCGTCTCTCATTCATTAGCCGGCAACTGTTGATCGGCTTCTGCTGTGTCCAATCAAAGCAGAAGCGGCACTCCAGTAGCAGGCGCATGTCCCCTAGTGGCAGAAATGCAAAATCACATTTATATACGTGATTTTGCACAGAACGTCTGCCCTGTAGCAGTAAATCTGGTATGGCGGACGGCTAGTGGTTACATTTTTTTTTTTTTTTTTTTTTTTTTTTTTTATTAGTCATGAAGGTGTTAAAATGCACCACTTTTTGAGTATATCTTTTCCGTAGTCAGAAGTATTTGATGTTCTACATCTGTGCCTGGCTAACAGAATGAAACATCCTTTTTGTATCGTGTGCATACAGTCACAAAGAGCAGCAGCAAATAATAAGCAGAATGCAAACATAACAGAAAAACTTCCATGGAGCACATGTAACACCTACTACAAAGAGGAGGACTTACACAGGATGTGGCGATACAAGTGCCCCAGTCACTGTATGTCTCTACGGTGATGTTGGATAATGCCGTCCTCAACAGAGGGCACAGGAACCTCCACAGGTTTTCCACCTATTCAAACACAGTTATAAACATTAGAAATGCTATTCCTACATGTGAATCCTAAACAGCTCTATCAGTGATATTTCTGCATACTTCATAAATACATACCTCATATCATCCTACATTGCTTTCAGTGGGAGGAATAGTGCCTCATCATTGGTGTCAGTGGGAGAAAATAGTGCCCCCTCACTGGTGTCAGTGGGAGGAATAGTGCCCCATCATTGGTATCAGTGGGAGGAATAGTGCCCCGTCATTGGTGTCAGTGGGAGGAATAGTGCCCTGTCATTGATATCAGTGGGAGGAATAGTGCCCCATCATTGATATCAGTGGGAGGAATAGTGCCCCATCATTGGTGTCAGTGGGAGGAATAGTGCCCCATCCTTGGTATCAGTGGGAGGAATAGTGCCCCATCACTGGTGTCAGTGGGAGGAATAGTGCCCCATCATTGGTATCAGTGGGAGGAATAGTGCCCCATCATTGGTGTCAGTGGGAGGAATAGTGCCCCATCATTGATATCAGTGGGAGGAATAGTGCCCCATCATTGGTGTCAGTGGGAGGAATAGTGCCCCATCATTGATATCAGTGGGAGGAATAGTGCCCCATCATTGATATCAGTGGGAGGAATAGTGCCCCATCATTGATATCAGTGGGAGGAATAGTGCCCCATCATTGGTATCAGTGGGAGGAATAGTGCCCCATCATTGGTATCATGGGAGGAATAGTGTATTGGTATCAGTGGGAGGAATAGTGCCCCATCACTGGTGTCAGTGGGAGGAATAGTGGCCCTTCATTGTTGTCAGAGGGAGGAATAGTGGCCCTGTATTGGTGTCAGTGGGAGGAATAGTGGCCCTTTATTGGTGTCAATGGGAGGAATACAGGCCCTTCATTGGTGTCAGTAGGAGGAATAGTGGCCCTTCACTGGTGTCAATGGGAGGAACAGTGCCCCGTCATTGGTTTCAGTGGGAGGAATAGTGCCCTATAATTGGTGTCAGTGGGAGGAATTGTGGCTCATCATTGGTGTCAGTGGGAGGAATTGTGCCCCATCATTGGTGTCATTGAGATGAATTGTGCCCCATCAATGGTGTCAATGGGAGAAATCGTGCCTGTTTTTGAAGTCATCAGCAGCAATTATGCCCCATTTTTGGTGTTGGTGGGAGGAACAGTGTCTTGTATCAGTGCAAGAAAAAGGGGCCACAGTTTGGAAACCACTGCTTTAGAAGATACATTTTCCAACTCAACAAAGCAAACAAAAAAAAACAAAACTTTTCACACCTTTTCAAAGGTCCAATGTTTGGATCCACGGATTAATCCAGCAACTATTTCGGCCACACACCTCTGAGTACTTTCATGAGAGTCTTCCACTAGGCGCTCCAAATGGGGAGTAAGGATTGGCAAGAACGCATCATCAAAGTTTCTAAAAAGACCCTAAAAATTGAGAAACACTCTGTTGAACTGATGTGCATTCAATGAAATGAAAACCATTACACTGGGAAACCAGCCACACCACAGGCATGATCGCATAAAACTAGAGCCCGAAAAGCTGGAGAACAGTGGGAGTTTTCTACACCAATCAGATTTCACGTCTAATAAATATAATAAAGCCGGCTGCTGATCGATTGAGAAACATTTTTCCATTTTTAGACCCAGTTCCCAGATATGTCAGTCTGGACTCCTGTGCGTTAGACAACGCTGTACATGTGATACCCACTGTATGCAATTTACTCAACAATACTTCGGACACTATGTTTGTACCGTGATTTGTACAATTATACGCTAACAAACATATTGAAGAGAAAACCAATCTCCAAGAAACTTGAAAATTATCCCTTGTAGCAGGGGCAGACTGACAACTCATGGGGCCCCCGGGCAATAGGGAATCATGGGGCCCCTGTGTCCTTGCCCAAACTCAAAAAAGCCTATGAAAAAAGTACCAGGGGCATCTCATGGGGCCCCCTACTGACCCCGGGCCTTCGGGCAGTGCCCGAGTTTCCAAATGGTCAGTCCGCCCCTGCCTTGCAGTGATACTGCACCCATACTGCAGGGGATATTTGCTGCAAAGACCAGTCCCCGCAGCATTATTCCTCCTACATTACTGGTCCAAGGTGCCAACGTCAAGACCAATGTGACCCGAGGTCCATAGCTCTGCATTGGATGTTGTAGAGGAACAGCCCACCACCAAAGTGTGGGGAGCGACACCTGCCAAGGAGCAGAGGATCAAGGAAGGAAAAATCGATTTTACCCTCCCCTAGACCATGGGTAGGCAACCTGCGGCTCTCTAGGGGGTGTAGCCCCACTGTGTGGAACTACATTTTCCATGAGGCATTGCAACATTACAAAACTGACAGTTACAGCTATGACTTGCAGAGGCATACTGGACATTGTAGTCCTGCAAACAGCTGGAGAGCCGCAGGTTGCCTACCCCTCCCCTAGACTAAACAAGCAATTACCTCTTGCCCACAGGGGGTGTAGCCCCACTGCAAGGGATAATTTGTAAAGTTTTCCAGGGTAGGGCTTTAAAGCCCGACTTCAGGAATTAGACTAAATCTACACTTGCAGTGGCTACCTGGGGTAAACTGCACATGGGTGCAGGGCAAGCTACTTCCCTCATTTCTCATCACTCCAGAATGGTACCTCCTGTACTAAGGCTGTACATGATGTACCCCAGAATGCCACAATCCGTACACTGTGCTGTACATGGCTTATCTGGTGTGCCCACAATCCGTACACTGTGCTGTAAGTCACATTTGCCAAACCATACCACTCTGTACACTGTACTGCCCATGACATACTAAAGATCATCTCACGTGATACATTGTCCTGAATGACATACCTTTATTCTGTGCATACTCTGAACTGCCAATACAATGTGATGTGCAGGGCAAGCTCCAGATTTCCTGCGCCGAACATTGTGCTGTTCATGACTTACTCCAGAATGCCACAATCCGTACACTGTGCTGTACATGACTTACTCCAGAATGCCACAATCCGTACACTGTGCTGTACATGATGTACTCCAGAATGCCACAATCCGTACACTGTGCTGTACATGACTTACTCCAGAATGCCACAATCCATACACTGTGCTGTACATGACGTACTCCAGAATGCCACAATCCGTACACTGTGCTGTACATGACGTACTCCAGAATGCCACAATCCGTACACACATGTGTACACTGTGCTGTACATGACGTACTCCAGAATGCCACTATCTGTACACTGTGCTGTACATGACTTACTCCAGAATGCCACAATCCGTACACTGTGCTGTGCATGACTTACTCCAGAATGCCACTATCTGTACACTGTGCTGTACATGACTTACTCCAGAATGCCACTATCTGTACACTGTGCTGTGCATGACTTACTCCAGAATGCCACTATCTGTACACTGTGCTGTGCATGACTTACTCCAGAATGCCACAATCCGTACTCAGTGCTCTAGAAAGCCATAGATTGTGATGTACATAACATACTTCAGGTTTCCCCAGTCTGTACACTATTGTGTACATGACATACAACATACTCTTGACTGGCTCACTTCGCTATTCATGACATTCTGGATTGACCCACTTACCTTAAAAAGGCAAAACCTGCGAGGGTTAAATTTATCTTTTCCCTTCCGATCTTCTAAAGACAGAAACGTTATCAACTGGTTGACAAACTTCTCGTCAGTGAAATGATCATATATGATCTGTTCAGCCTGCATGTAACCAGAGAAATCAAGAAGAGTAATAGACATTTTTAAAAGTGATAATGTACCAAACATACCAAAAAAAAAAAAAACAAAGCAATCTCATTTAAAGGATAAGTTCACTTTAAAAAAAAAAATAAAATAAATGCACATCTATTTGCAGGTGAAAAAAATGTGCATTTATTTGTTTTTACTTGGAGTCTGTTAAGCTTTGCACTCATGATCAGCAGATCGTGGATACCATGGAGGACTCCTGCAGACTTGACAGTGTATCTTTGTACTAGTACAGGCAGGGCAGGCAGATCCACACTGACAGGAAGAAACAATGGACTAGCTAGAAGGCTCGGAAGTGCCATGGTAGTTCATTGAGAACTACAAGCAGACAGCTGCAAAGGCTGTGGTACTTGTAGTTTCCCAGGGGGGCAGCAGCATTTTTCAGGGGGGCAGCAAAAGAAGGGATGGAAGAAAGGTCACAGGCAGCATGGGGACCAGGTGGGATCCGAGAGAGGCTGTGGGCTGCTTGATGGTGTATGCAGAGCCTGACTCTTGTTCCCGGGGATGTCCGGAGCTGTGAAGGCGAGTGTCTTCTTTCTCTTGTATGTCTTCCATTTTCTAATTATTGCTCCCACAGTTGATTTGATCACAACAAGCTGCTTGCCTATTGCAGATTCAGTCTTCCCAGCCTGGTGCAGGTCTACAATTTTGTTTCTGGTGTCCTTCGACAGCTCTTTGGTCTTCACCATAGTGGAGTTTGGAGTGTGACTGTTTGAGGTTGTGGACAGGTGTCTTTTATACTGATAACAAGTTCAAACAGGTGCCATTGATACAGGTAATGAGTGCAGGACAGAGGAGCCTCTTAAAGAAGAAGGTACAGGTCTGTGAGAGCCAGAAATCTTGCTTGTTTGTAGGTGACCAAATACTTATTTTCCACCATAATTTGCAAATAAATTCTTTCCAAATCAGCCAATGTGATTGTCTGGATTTGTTTTCTCATTTTGTCTCTCATAGTTGAGGTCTACCTATGATGCCAATTACAGGCCTCTCTCATCTTTTTAAGTGGGAGAACTTGTAGAATTGGTGGCTGACTAAATACTTTTTTGCCCCACTGTATATATATATATATATATATATATATATATATATATATATATCTCCTGTACTTCTGAGTAATGTGGACCATTGACTCATTCTATGTGACCAATCACCAATGCTGTCTCATGGTGAATGTCCATAGCTGTGTAGGCTACAACTTGAGTAACTCAGAGCTTAAACAGGGGAGTTTCTCCAAATTTCAGCAGCAGAAAGTAGTGGTGAGAAAGCAAAAGAAAGGTGAATATGCTCTGCTGGAGAGTGGCGCATTGAAGTGAACCTGTGGCTGTGTGCTGCATTGGCAACCAGCAAGTCTACCTATGGGAATAGGGTTAAAGAACACCTTCTTGACTTTCAACAGTCTTCCAATCTGCTGTAAAGATTTAATTGTACTGCATATTATTAAATGTTAGTATGCACATACGGACGTACTTCTGATATGTCCTCTCTGGGTCTTCCCAGCTGTGGCTGTTGCTCAGAAGGTGCATACACCAGTAAGTTTCTGTATGGATGACAAAGCAATGTATATACACAGAATGTTATTTGCAATTGGAAAAAAAAATGCACCCTCCCCACAGGTTTAAGTCATAATGTACTAGTTGCTACGCAAATAGTTTAAAAAGTACAAAGCGCAAGGTAAAAGACAGCCCAGTGACTGGGGCAATGCTTACCGAGGCCATGTGTAATATCCCCAGTGTGTCTTCTCCACAAAGGTGCAGGCTTCCCAGGATTCCTTTGTCTTTGGCAGGCTGGCACTGTCATAATGTATCCACTGGTTGTCAGGCCTGTCCCCTGCCATGATGGCATCTGGTTTGGTACATCCACCTATTACAGATTAAAGGGAAAGCGTGTCTTCAGTGATTGCGTGTACAAAGCTTTAATTGCAGCGCTTACCTTACTTTTTTCGCTTTTCTGAAAAAAATGTGATCTATAATATATGTACTAAAAATGGGGCAGCACAGTGGCTAAATGGTTAGCACTTCCACCTGGCAGTACTAGGGTCGTTGGTTCGAATCCCAGCCAAGGCACCACCTGCCTGGAGTTTGCATGTTCTCCCTGTACCTGCGTGGGTTTCCTCCCACACTCCAAAGACATGCTGGTAGGTGAATCGGCTCCTGTCTAAATTGTCCCTAGTATGTGTATGTATGAATGTGAGTTAGGGACCTTAGATTGTACGCCCCTTGAGGGTTAGGGACTGATGTGAATGTAAAATATATATGTAAAGCGCTGCATAAATTGATGGCGCTATATAAGTACCTGAAATAAATAAATACTAAAAATAGAGAGATCATAGATTAGCCACTACAGGGAACTCTTAACAGCTTAATGGAGACACTTTGCCTCATATGCAGTGCACGCTCTCCTTTCCTGAGAGTCCCCACTGTCAGAATTCAATGTCTCAGCAAGGAGGATTCCTCCATCCACCTCAATTGTGTCTGGCTGGGAAAAAAAAAAAAAAAAAAAAAGGACCTCTAAAACATAAATGTGCAGCACTGCAAAGCTGTAAGCAGAGCCTAGAAATGTAAAAGAGCAAATACACGGCTGCCTCCATGTACATAGAGTATATAATCACATACTAAATGAAGGATAAAGGCTTTTAAACATGAAGGCACTAATATATCAAGGAGTAAAGGGACAGGCAGTGTATTACATACCCCAACCCCTGCTCTGCACTCTCCACTTCTACCTAAAACCCCAGTCTGTGGGTGCTTCCTCGGCATCATCATGTACAATGCAGGAATAACAACCCTGCATTGCACATGGAGGATGCAGGTATGCGACCATGGCCATGAGCGTAGAGGAGAGGCTGGAGGGGACCAGTCACACAACTGCAGGAACAGTGCTGAAGCAAGAGATAAGGTATTATTCCTTAATAATGCACCTATAGACTTAAATAGTACATAAACGTGTTCTCATGTACATCCAAAATGATTCATTATACAAAGCCCAAGGATCAATAAGTTAAATAATGCACATGTATTTATAGTTCTGATGTACAGCCTCAAATCCCTCTGTGTCTCAGTAGAAATAAATTTAGAATGGAACTATGACACAGTGAGAGATTTAATATCCAAGAAAGGGCTACAAATACTGACTTCATCATTATTTGATCTGAGGCAGGAAATAACAAAATAGATGTAGACAACAAAGACCAATGATGTACAATGGTTCCCATCCAGATGCGGGCAGCCCTAGCTGAGCATCATTGCTAGGTGAGACTGTAGACCAGGGTTCCTCAACTAGGGTTCCTCCAGAGGTTCCTTGAGCAATGAGCAATTTCTGCCTGTCAGTTAGGTTCCCACTGACACCATTGATCTTCTAGCTATCTGTAAGGGGGTAATTCTTCCTAATGACCACAAGTATAAGGAGCATTCTTACCACTGACCATCACACTAATGTATCAGGAGTTGTACACATAGTAGGTTTAGCAGGGGTTCCCTGAAACCAGAAGGGTATTTTAAGGGTTCCTCTATGTTGAAAAGGTTGAAAAAAACTATCTTGCTCCCTGGTCTCCTCCTCCCACGCACGACTGCAAGACTTCTCCAGGTCCTCCCCCATCCTCTGGAACTCACTACCCCAATCCATCAGACTGTCACCTTCCCTCCTCACCTTCAGGCGCTCCCTGAAAACCCACCTATTCAGGGAAGCCTACCCCACCCTCACCTAACAGCCGCTGCCCTTCCCTCCTCCTACCACTCCATCCCCCACAGCCATTTCCTCCTGTACCTCTACCCCATCCCTCCTAGATTGTAAGCTCGAAAGAGTAGGGCCCTCTTACCCCTTGTGTGCTGTTTGATGTTACTGTACTGTTTCATGTATTGTCCCCCCCTCTATTGTACAGCGCTGAGCAAACCCTTTGGTGCTATATAAACTCGATAAATAAATAAATAAAAGGCTGTAGATGCAATACATCAAAGTCATTGTAAGAACAAAAGCTGTAATGATTGCGAAAAGCAGAAAACAAGCCGCTTTACTTCTAAACAAGCCGAACAGTAATTTATAGTTAGTGATAAATTATGTTTTTAATCTCATTGTGACATAAAAGGTTTAGGACGCTGAATGAAGCAATTTGTCTTTGTTGTTTACAAAAGCCAGAATCCAGAGGTCTCTTTCTAAGGGTGGGATAGAAAATCCCAATACAGTGTCTGTTGCTGGGGACAAGTTAGACATGCCACAAAGGTTCTGCTATTAGAACGAACATCTACAGTAGCTTTGTCTCAAAATTTTGCATACCCTGACTCATTATCCAACATATTTATGACTCCCTCTGTGAGTGCTGTCCCCCCCCCCCCCAGTCTTTGCTTTTGCTGTTCTGATCTCTAGGCTAAACTTAGGCTTGTGTTTCTTTCTGCCTTTTGTTTTCTCAATCCCCACATATCTTCTAACATTCTGCTAAAACTTTGTAACAGTATTGCTTGGACCTTGAAGAAGGGGACATTCCCCGAAAGCTTGTCCTCAAAATTGTATGTTAGTGCAAATAAAAAAAGTATCACGGACAGTACTCAATTGTTCATACCCTGACAGAAATCATTACCTTTTGGCATTGATATTGAAAATATGACTGATTATGCCAAAAAACTGTCTTATTTAGGAAGAGAGATTGTATGAAGACATTTATTATCACATAGTTGTCTGGCCTCTTTTTAAATCATAATGACAACCCTGGAATGTTTGGCTTTGGTACACACACCCACAAGGTGACACACACAGGGTAAAATGGTAATTAAAAGTCAATTTCCCACATCTGTGGTTTTTTTAAATTGCAATTAGTGTCTGTGTATAAATAGTCAATACATTTTTCAGCTCTCACGTGGATGCACTGAGCAGGCTAGATACTGAGCCATGGGGAGCAGAAAAGAATAGTCAAAAGGCCTGCGTAACAAGGCAATTGAACTTTTTTAAACATGGTAAAAGATATATAAAGATATTCAAAGACTTGAATATGCCAATCAGTACTGTTCAGCCACTTATTAAGAAATGGAAAAATTCAGGGATCTCTTGATACCAAGCCAAGGTCAGGTAGACCAAGAAAGATTGCAGCCACAACTGCCAGAAGAATTGCTCAGGATGCAAAGTAAACCCCACAGGTAACATCAGAATAACTACAGGCTGCACTGGAAAAAGATGTTGTGGTTGTTTCAAGAAGCACAATACAATGATACTTGAACAAAAATAAGCTGCATTGACAAATTGCCAGAAAGAAGCCTTTACTGCGCCTTTACTAATTCGTTACAGCAGAAAAAGGTGAAGCTTCTGGAGAGGCCATCACAGTCTCCTGACCTGAATATCATTGAGCCACTCTGGGGAGATGTTAAATGTGTGATCCATGCAAATCAACCAAAGGCTTTTCATACCCTGGAGGCATTTTCCCCAAGATGAATGGGCAGCTATACCACATGCAAGAATTCAGGGCCTCCATAGACAACTATTACAAAAGACTGCACCACTTTCATTGATGCTAAAGGGAGCAAGTCACAGGATTAAGAACTAAGTGGATGCAGAAATTTGAACAGGGGGCATTTCAATTGTTTACTTGTTGCCAGGTTTTGTTTTATGATTGTGCCATTGTTTTATGGCCTACAGATACAGAATATGAATCCCACAAGAAATACAAGAAAAGTGTTTTTCCTGCTCACCCATGTTTTCTTTAAAAAAAAAGTTCATACTGTATATTATCAATGCTCCAAGGGTAAGCAAACGTTTGAGCACAACTGTATAACTTTAGGAAATATTACTTTATCAGCATTGTATGCCATTAATCTAGGCAGGCAAGAGGCAAGAGTATGGCAGAAACCCGATTTAAAAATAAGCTGAAAAAAAAAAAACCAAAACACTTTTTTCAGACTGTCCATCACATTTTACTTGGTGTGATCACTGCACTGTGGACAAGCCAAGTTGACACACAAAAATGAGACATAGATGTGGATACCTAACCCTGATAAATGCCACACATTTTCATTCAAATTTGAAGGCTGATGGTTTTCCATTCAATAAAATACAAGCCTTTGTTAAAGGACATTAAAACCATTCAACAATTTAAATGGTACATTTCCAAAAATATATATACGTACTGATTGTGTAAGGGCAAATGGGCATTTTGATATGGGGTCTCTTTAGCTGCTTTAGAATTCCAGCTACAGCTGAGATTGCCATCTAGAAGAAAAATGAAAATAAAGTCACAATGTTGTATTTTATAAGAATGCACTCTTGTATTATAGTATGACATAAAGAAAACCTGTCAACTCAGTGACCTCTCCTGAAACTACTAGTTGTTCAGCTATTTCGCTGTCAGAAGTATGAACATAAGAACTTGCATGCTTTGTTCCAGGTTGGTGACTTGGGGTCATTGCAAAAAATATTAATTCCTTAAACAGTTAACAGAAAAAAAAATGGAATAACAACTGTACCTTGCGGACAATAAGAGCATCATGAATCAGACAGTGCACCAAGTATTTGATTGCACGAAGAGGTAGAACATGGTCATCCCTCAGGAGTAAAGACAAGAACCCAATGCCAATGTGTTCAAACTTCCATGGGCTGAAATGAAGACTCAAGAGTCACATATGATCTCAATTGTATTTCTAAAAACCATCATTTTATTCTTGGAAAGTAAAGCATTATATTTGCCGTTAATAATAAGACGATAAAAAATTATATTAATGGCAAGTTTAAAAAACAAAATAACAAACATGTCATACTTACCTGCTCTGTGTAATGGTTTTGCACAGAGCAACCCCGATCCCCCTCTTCTTGGGTCCCCTGCCAGCGCTCCTGGATCCTCTCTCCTGCCAAGTGCCCCCACAGCAAGCAACTTGCTATGGGGGCACTGGAGAAGGCTTGTTCTCATGCCACTGCTCTGTGTGTCCATTCACACACAGAGCCATGGCCTCGGCTCGGCCCTGCCCCCCCCAATTGGCTCACTGGCTGTGGCTGACCGCAGCGGGAGCCAATGGCACACAGGTTTTATTTACCTTCATACAAAGAATGCATGAAGGTAAAAAGCCTTGAGCCTTTACAACCACTTTAACCCACTTGCCTACCGGGCACTTATACCCCCTTATTTACCAGGCCAATTTTCAGTTTCAGCGCTGCCGCACTTTGATTGACAATTGCGCGGTCATGCAACATTGTACCTATATGAAATTTTGATCATTTGTTTCTCACAAATAGAGCTTTCTTTTGGTGGTATTTAATCGCCACTGGGCGCTTTACTTTTTGCGCTATAAAAAAAAAAGTGCAAAAAATTTGAAAAAAAAAAAGTTTCTTTGTTTCTATTATAAAATTTTTCAAACAGGTATTTTTTCTCCTTCACTGATGTACGTTGATGAGGCAGCACTGATGGGCACTGAAAGGTGGCACTGATAGGCAGCACTAAAGGGCACTGATAGGTAGTACTAATGAGGTGGCATGGATAGGCGGCACTGATAGACAGCACTAATGAGGTGTCACGGATAGGCAGCACTAATATGCAGCACTGATAGGCGGCACTGATAGGTGACACTCATGATGGGTACTGATAGACGGCACTGACTGGCATCACTGCTGGGCACTGACTGGCGGCACTGACTGGCACAAACCCTGGGCACTGACTGGTAGCACTGGTGGGCAGCACTGCTGGGCTGCACTGGTGGATGGGCACAGGTGGGTGGCACTGGTGGGCACAGGTGGGTGGGCACAGGGTGGGTGGCACTGCTGGGCACAGGTAGGTGGCACTTCTGGGCACAGATGTGTGACAGATGTGTGGGACACTGCAGAGTGGCACAGGTGGGTGATCTGCTGGGCACAGGTGGGCTGGGCACAGGAGCTAGTGGGCGCACTGCTGGGCACAGGTGGGCGGAACTTGCGGGTGGCACTGCTGGGCACCGATCATCAGGGCACTGATCATCAGTGCCCTGATGATCGGTGCCGATCCCCGCTCTGACAACTGCCGGTTCTCGGCAGTACTTCCTCACGATCTGACAGCGTGAGGAAAGTGCAGCCGAGAACCGGCACTTGCATTTCCCTCTGATCAGCGTGTCATTGGACACCGCTGATCAAGTGGTAAAAGGCCGCTGTGATTGGCCTTTTACCACATCACGTGATCAGCTGTGTCCGTAGGACACAGCGATCACGGAGATCGCCGGGTGCGCGCCCCCTGAGGCAGGAGAGCGCGTTCTGGGAGGCAGTCATATGACGTCCACTCAGAACTGGCCGGCCGCAGTGCAGCCGTCATTCGGCTATCTGCGGTCGGCAACTAGTTAAGGAGACCCTGTCACCAACTTAGTAAATTGCAGGTAAAAAGCACAGAAAAATGAAATGCTTGCTGCGTTGTACTTATTAAAATTTTGTATTCATTTGTAATGTGCCTTTGAACTTGCTACAAAAATATGACTACTCTAGCACGGCACCCCTCCATTAACCTCTCATGACAGTGTCCCTTTAACCACTTGCCCTCCAGAGGATTTACCCCCCATCCTGACCAGGCCATTTTTTGCAAAACGGCGCTGTGTTACTTTAACTAACAATTGCGTGCTCATGCAACACTGCACCCAAATAACATTTATGTCCTATTTTACCCACAAAAGAGCTTTCTCTTTCTTTCGGGCGGGTTTTTGTTTATGGTCCAAAAAATAAAAAAGACTGACAATTTTGAAAAAAAAAAACCCCAATATTTTTGACTTTTTGCTAGAAAACAAGTCCAGTAAAATAAAAAAAAATTTAAAAATCAAATTTCGTCATAAATTTAGGCCAAAATGTATTCTGCTACAAGTCTTTGCTAAAAAAAAAAAAAAAATCCCAATACATGTAAATTAATTGATCTACGTGAAAGTTATAGCGTCTACAAATGGCGGTATATGTACACTGGAATTTTTTTTTTTTTTTTTTTTTTTTAATACTAGTAATGATGGCAATCAGTGACTTATAGTGGGACTGCACCGGGCATTCTGACACTAATATTCCCAGTGACACTAATACAGTGATCAGTGCTAAAAAAAAAAAAAAAAAAAAGCACTGAAACTGTACTAATGACACTGGGCAGGAAGGGGTTAACATATGGGGTAATCAAAGGGTTAACTGTGCTGTTTTACTATATGTGCTTTACTGGGTAAACATGCTGCTTTGTATTGCTCTGCTATGCAGAACAAAACAAAACAGCATGCTGGAGCTGACAGGGGAGAGATCTGTATTGTTTACATACAGACCTCCCCTCTGTCAGTGTTCTTCGGGGATCGCTGGCGGGGAATCTCCAGCTGAGACCCCGTGATTGACAGCCGTAGCTGCCAATAGCGGCACGCGCACCCCCTACCCAGATATGAAAAATCATATATATATATATATATAGTTACCCTTGTGCTTTTTTAATACTATGTTGCAAAAAATAGAAAACATAGCTATTCCTTTTTCGTATATTAAAAAAAATTAAACCCTGTGTACAGTGAAACCAGAGCACGTTACTACTAATACTACAGAGGCCGCATGCACATTGGGCGTTTTGTCCTGGTGCAAGAGACTCTGGTGTTTAGGTGTGGGTAGAAGGCACAGGTGCACCAAACCAGCACCACTACCAGTAGCCTATTAAACTCAGAGGCTGACAGCTGGTGCACCGCGCGCTCCTTCATCAAACCGATGCTGCATCCACCTAGGCGAGTATAGGGGGTTTTTTTTTTTGTTTTTTTTTACAATCCTGAACTTCTCTTTTAAGTTTCTAAACATAAATCTACAGGAGAAACCCCACAATAAGATACTTACAGGTTTCTTTGTGTAACACAATCGATCAAAGTGTCGACTAAGCGTTCATAATGCCTACAAAGAGAAAGCAAGTCAGAAATGAGAACAGGAAGCAGGAGCCATGAAAGATAAATCTGCATTACAGACACATCAAAATACATGATTGCGCTATGTGCCAATATAATATGAACATATTGGTAAACCAAACTGCTGTCTACATGGGCAGCTTAAAAGATAAAAAAAGAAAAAGAAAAACCTAAAAATGTAATATACAGTAGCTTACAAGTCCTTATATGTGGTGGCTGCATTTGTTTTCTTTTTAGAAAGGTTAAGAACATTTTCCTAAAGTAAAGAAAATTCCTGTGGATATTGCCAGAAATGTTGTGTCCTTGACACTTCCTATGACCTGAACTAAAAAGCACAAACATCCTTATCTTCCTTCAATAAACATCTAATCCTCACACAAAATGTAGTTGAACAGAGGAAGACATGTTTGATGCCCTGCCTGGATGGCAACTATGGCTCCTTCCATACATACAATGGAGAAATGAGGGCAGCCATTAATAGACAGGAAGGGGTTTATTTACTAAAGCTGGAGAGTCCAAAATCAGACTCCCTTCGGCATAGAAACCAATCAGCTTCTAACCTCAGCTTGTTCAATGAAGCTTTGGCAATGAAACCTGGAAGCTGATTGGTTTCTATGCAGAAGTGAGTCTGATTTTGGACTCTCCAGCTTTAGTAAATAAACCCCTTCCTGTCTATTAATGGCTGCCCTCATTTCTCCGTTGTATGTATGGAAGGAGCCATAGTTGCCATCCAGGCAGGGCATCAAACATGTCTTCCTCTGTTCAACTACATTTTGTGTGAGGATTAGATGTTTATTGAAGGAAGATAAGGATGTTTGTGCTTTTTAGTTCAGGTCATAGGAAGTGTCAAGGACACAACATTTCTGGCAATATCCACAGGAATTTTCTTTACTTTAGGAAAATGTTCTTAACCTTTCTAAAAAGAAAACAAATGCAGCCACCACATATAAGGACTTGTAAGCTACTGTATATTACATTTTTAGGTTTTTCTTTTTCTTTTTTTATCTTTTAAGCTGCCCGTGTAGACAGCTCTCCAGTAAATAAACCCCAAACTGTCTTATTTACAGGATTGTCAGGTGAAAATGAGGGATAAAAAGACTAATGAAAAAAATGCATCCACCACATTTAAGGACTGGTAAGCTGAAATATATTTTCTGGTTTGGTGGTTTATATACACTTCAACATATAGCTATGAGGGGCATTCAAGTCAGATCAGGACATTTAATCTTACAGGTATAAAAAGGGATGCTAGCGTGGCGGTACTACATGCAGTAGTAAGTGGCAAGTGTGTCCTATCACTGATAGGGAGCGCACATGTCATAGGCCAGTCTCAACCATTAATCAAGATGGCAGACAACTGTGTCAGCGCATGCATGGAACAGAGCGTGGTGATGAAGTTTCTAGTGAAGACTTCAAGCACAGTACGGTGATGAGACGCTCAGCTGCAGTAAGACATTTGAATGGTGTAAACGTTTCAAAGATGGTCGTAAGTATGTCAGTGATGATCCTGGATATGGTGTTTCCCAGCCCACAGCAGTCATTCCTGTGAACATTCAGCGCGTGGAATGCTAGATGATCGACGCATAATGTCATGAAAATGCATAAGAAATTGTCATGAAAAAGAGACAAATCTTTCTCTGGGAACAGTGAACACAATGATAACGAAGTGAAGCCGGCTGTCCTAGGAAGGTTCAGGCGTACTGACAAATCTTTCTATGCCGAAGCTTTCCAGGCATTAGTTAAATGTTGGGATATGTGTATACATGTAGCAGGGGAGTATGGCGAAAAATAAATGCCATTTCTTGAAATTTGTTTTTTTATTATATAAACGTCCCAGTTTGACTTGAACGCCCCTCGTAGTAGGAAAATCTGTTTTTGACAGAGTGCAGAGGGATTAGAACACCTGGCAGCTTGTTACTGCCGTCTGTGTCTCCTTCAGGGAGATTCACACTATTTGTCCTGTTCACTGTTATCACAGAGTAATTGAAAATTCAAAAAAGTTTGGGTTGTCACCAGAACAGGAAAAGAGGGGAAAATCTTCCAATGGAGACAGTAGTTCTGGTGACCTTAATAACTATCAAGAATATTCCTCACTTTAACAGTATTCCCACTCAATTCTTGATGTGGCTGCAGGACAACAAAGTGAAGGGAAATCAATCCTATACAGCAATGTTTCCCAACCATTTTTCAGTCAAGGCACCTTTTAAAATTCTGCACAATCTTGAAGGCACACCATTCTAAAATTTAAAAAATGAAACTAATAGTTTTACAGAACGCAGCAACATCCACACATGTAGGACTCCCAACGTTAGAGGCGATTTATTATTCCAAAGCAAACACACTGGTACTGACTAGTATTACACTGTTTCTCCTTTCCCACAGTATCTTCCCTCCCTCAGCTGTGACCCCAATACTGACAGAGAGGGGCAAACAAGAAAGCTGTGCAAGTGCTCAATGTCCCCCTTATCAACTGATGTCATTGGTTGTTAAAACGGCAGCAGCTAGAAGATTGTAATGGTGCACAATGAAAATCTGTGGCTTTGCTCTGTGGCAACTAAAAGGCAGTCTTGATCCAGACTTGTATCAATTTTTAGATTTGTATACAATTTTTAGGGAGTTTTTAGGCATTTCGCCAAGGCACCCCTAAAGAAACCTGAAGGCAACCTTGTTGTAAAAGGCTGCTATAGAGACACAGATGGGAGGAAAAAAGAGAGATACTATCGGTTAAGGAGGACATCCAGCATACATACTATACAATTTTCACACAAAGGAATCAAGTATATTCCAAGCAGGAAAGCTGCTGCCTTTCCTCAAATCCCACTGGCCATACCGTAAAGACTCTGCATTCTTCTCTTCCTGTCTTTGCACTGCTAGACTCAGCTGATCTGGATGAAGCAACTCCACACCAAGAGAAGGAATAGGCGACTTCTGCAGCAGAACAGCAATCTGGATACAACTTTCTGGTACCTGTAACAAGTCACATAGATATCAATGGCATCGCAATTAAACCTTAACCCTTTGAGGACCGTAAGATTTTGGAACGCCAAAAGAATCAATTTTTTTGTTTTTAAAGTTCGTATACTTCAGTTGCTGTAACTAAGCCATTTCATGAAATAATTGGCAAAAAGCTAGATCCATTTGTTGTTTGTTGATAAGAACTAATATTTTGACTCAAACCAAAAAAAAAAAAAAAAAAAAAAAAAGAGTTTTAAGTTCTTAATCAGATGATACACGCAATTAAAAACATGGGACAAATACGTCCCTTGGTCCTCAAAGGGTTAACCCCTAAACCTAAAAGAAAGCCCAGGCTTTGACTAAGCAGGTTTCAGTTGCTTTGTCCTCAATGGTGACACTGTCAAGTTTAAAACATTCTAAATTGAAGCACTACACCAGAACGTGATTGTCTTGATTCTATTCCAAACGGGTTTATATCAGAGCCATCACGTTATGGAGGCCAGAAATCGCTCCATTCATCAGGGCTTGAAGAAGGCAGTGGAAGAGGTAAGCATCTACTATCGTTTTTTGCAGGCACAGCTTCGTGATCATATTTTTAATTACCTGACAGTCATGTTCAAAGAAAAGCTCCAGAAAATGTAGCACATTATCACGACTAAAGTCTAGATGCACAGAAATGTGGTACGGGAAAGGAATCGGTCCCTGTGTGTTTCCCGCACCACATTGCAATCGCACTGTGTTTGAAATCCGCTGTAGGTGTCAATACAAAACGTCAGTATCAAAACTGACCATGAAATCTGGCTGCGGTGCAGCTCCAATAAAGATACCTGCACTTCTTTGGTGCGAATTAGCTCATTCAAAATGAATAGGCTCAAATCCCACCACATTGAATTGAATTGAATGTGAATTGCAGAGGAATGCAGTGCGGTTCCTTTACCATTCACATGTAAGTTATAGTCCAAACCGTACTCTCCGCTCCTCGCAAGACCTCCTACTCTCTAGCTCCCTTGTCTCCTCCTCCCATGCTCATCTCCAGGACTTCTCCAGAGCTTCCCCCATCCTCTGGAACCCCAATTTATCAGACTATCGCCTACTCTGGTCACTTTTAGGCGATCTCTGAAAACCTATCTCTTCAGGGAAGCCTATCCTGCCCTCAGCTAACAATGGAATCTTCTACTCTTCCTACCAGTCCATCCCCCACAGTTACTACCTTTTGTACCACTAGGCCCTCCCTCCTAGATTGTAAGCTCCAAGGAGCAGGGCCCTCCTAACCCTCTTGTATTGAGTGGTATTGTTACTGTATTGTCTCCCGTTATATTGTAAAGCACTGAGCAAACCGTTGGTGCCATAAATCCTGTATTATAATAATAATAATAATAATAATAAAAATAGTGTGAACCTGGAGGCTTAAGTTTGACACCACTGCACAGAACACGCGTTTCCTTTTCAATCAACTGTAACTGGAAATCTGATACCAGATAATATCAGCATGAACTGCTGGTCATGAAACCAGGAACTGCAAATCTGATTCAAATGGTAAGGAAGACTCTGCAAGAGAGAGTGTCACACTAAGCATAATTTAAGAGGGGAAACTTACCGAAAAGTCCAACCCAATTGTTTCGTATTGCCGATGAATCTTCTCAGCCAGATCATCAAAAAGGCGTACAATGGATGGTTTTTCTAGAGACATTGCTTTACTGAGACCTGAAGAGACTATTGCCGGCCACGTCTGTACAATGCATTCCCAGTCATGAAGGTTTGCTAGGCACACTGCACCGTGGTTTCCAAGCAAACAATACAAGGCACCCTGAAAACACAAAATGCTCTCATTTAGACCTCATTTGCTAGATGAGTCTGGATTGCATCTAGCAGTCACACAGATAGAGTCTCTATTTTAGAAACGGACAAGTAACATCAAACTGGTTGCTATGGGCAACACATGCTTTTGATGACTGGGCAACAATATTAGATACCCTCATTCACACAGGGCATACTACGGCATACACCCTTGTAAGGCCTCTTAGATTGTAAGCTCCAAGGAGCAGGGCCATCCTAACCCTCTTGTATTGAACTGTATCATTGCTGTATTGTCTCCCTTTATATTGTAAAGCTCTGAGCAGGTGCGGACTGACAACTCATGGGGGCCCCCGGGCAATAGGGGATCATGGGGCCCCTGTGTGCTTGCTCAAAAACTCAAAAAAGCCTATAAAAAAGGTACCAGGGGCATCTCATGGGGCCCCCTACTGACCCCGGGCCCACGGGCAGTGCCTGAGTTTCCAAATGATCAGTCCACCCCTGGCTCTGAGCAAACTGTTGGTGCTATATAAATCCTGAATAATAATAATAAAAAAAGCCCTGTATTTACCTGCACGGGATGCACAGGTACCCCCCCCCCCAAAAAAAAAAAAAAGCCTCCAAAAGTGGTGGTGGTGGTGGTGATGAGGGGGAGGGGGGCTGGTGGGTTAGGGGAGATGGGGTGGGGGTATGCAGAAAAGTAGAACTTTTCCCTTTTGGGGAAACGTCCAAAATAAGAATGATGATGCAAAGAAAATATTATTTTAAATCTTATTATTAAAAAAAATAATCTGATCTTGCACAATGAGAAACAAAACACTTACTTTGAACTGCTGTTGAGTGACATCATGTCTGTCTGGCCGCAGATATTCAAGTACTAGAGGAATGATGTCCCGGCAGCAGAAATTGTATGTTCCCAGAGCAGAGAAAAAAGCCTGCTGAGCTTTATTTCTGATCTGTGCAAAACAAAGATGACATGAATAAACCATACAATAACGGCAGATATACACCCTCTAACCTAGTTAGCCCACTTTCTTCAGCTGTCATCTGGAAATACTTCTAGACATATGGTAGATGATGGTTAGCCAAATCTGCCATTTTTGGCTGGATCAGGTGACATCCCAATGTCTACGAGTAGCTGCAAAAACCACTAGCTGACTTGATTGCTGCGGTTTCACTCAAGACAAGCCCATGTGTCATACCCATGCAAGGCACAAATACAAATGCAGAGCCAACCATTCATGTTCATATGTGCTCCAACTGCCGCAGGCTCCTGAGAAGGCTTGGATCATCTCTGCACATAAGATGAACAACCTATTTTTATGGTTACTAACGGTAAGGTGGACATAAGTATGCAAGTTACAAGAAGGCTACTACAGCATATATTCTCTGTAATATCTAAAAACCATTGTACACTTTAAAAAGGCTCCCAAGTTCCTTAGGTTTTTTTCTGAGATAACATGGTCAAAATCACTCCTTTAGGCTTGGTTCACACCTATGCGTTCAGTGCGGCCCACGTTTGCAACTTAATGGGCTGCTGTACCTGTGGGAGATGCAGGAAAAATGTCCCTGCACCTTTTTAAAACCACTGCTGCAGGGAAACTGCATTGTGCTTTTGAACTATGCGATTTCCCGCGATGTACTGCGTGCTTAGATGCATGGAATTCCCATTAAAAATGAGTGGCAGCCCAACGGATCTGTAAAAGAGCAGCACGTTTCGGCTGCGGCTGCAGGAACAGATGTAACCACCCGTACAAGTGTGAACCTAGCCTTACTGCCAGTCTTTTGCAGGAAGTGGGTGTGTGGTTACCATAGGTGTATTTATGGCGAGACTCTATTTAACCTCTTCTCAACTGTTCCATAGCCAAAAGCCGGCTATGCACGACCATCCAGTTCTGGAACGGCCTCTATAGACTTTCTCCCAGAACCACGACCCGGAAACCGACAATTCTGACGGGACATTTACAGTTATAATCAAGGCATTAATTATCTGTGTCCATCCCTGAAGCCTACCAGTGTCCATCCCTGAAGCCTACCAGTGTCCATCCCTGAAGCCTACCAGTGTCCATCCCTGAAGCCTACCAGTGTCCATCCCTGAAGCCTACCAGTGTCCATCCCTGAAGCCTACCAGTGTGTCCATCCCTGAAGCCTCATCAGCACACATCAGTGAAGGAGAAAAATTACTTATTTGCAAAATAAAGTTCTTATTTTCAGAATCTTTGGTCTTATTGTCGTTTATTTAGCAAAAAATAACAAAAAAAAACAAAAAAAAAACCACCCAGTGGTGATTTAATACCACCAAAAGAAAGCTCTGTCTCAAAAAAAAAATTACAGAGCAGAGATCCAGTGACGGACAATCACCGGCTCTCTGCTCCGTGAAGACTGAGAACTGAGCGATCAGCTGTCATTGATCGCTCAGTTCTCAGTCTTAGAAGCAGCGGGGGACTAATGCAGCATCCACATAGGTGACTATAGATTTTTTTTTTTCATTCCAGAACTTCGCTTTTAAGAAATGGTGCCACAAGGGCAATCCTAGCCAACAAAGGTTATATTACTGTGTTTGATATTTAAAAACATTTTGCCCAAGAGCAAACAACTGACAATTTTGCTCTAATATGCTAGATCTGTGATTATCCTGGGCAATCCTCTGGATGTTGTAGCACCATGTGACTCTAGTTGACACCCCAAAAAAATTGATCACAGCATGATGAATGAACAGTTTGGTTGTTTTCACTTTTGTAGAGACGTTTCTTCCCATTTTAGGAGATTAACCACTTGCCTACCCAGGCACTTATACCCCCTTATTTACCAGGCCAATTTTCAGCTTTCAGCGCTGCCGCACTTTGATTGACAATTGCGCGGTCATGCAACATTGTACCCATATGAAATTTTGATCATTTTTTTCTCACAAATAGAGCTTTCTTTTGGTGGTATTTAATCGCCACTGGGCACTTTACTTTTTGCGCTATAAATAAAAAAAGTGCAAAAAATTTGAAAAAAAAAAAAGTTTCTTTGTTTCTATTATAAAATTTTTCAAACAAGTATTTTTTCTTCTTCACTGATGTGCGTTGATGAGGCAGCACTGATGGGCACTGATAGGCGGCACTGATGGGCACTGATAGGCAGCACTAAAGGGCACTGATAGGCAGTACTAATGAGGTGGCACGGATAGGCAGCACTGATAGGCAGCACTAATGAGGTGTCACGGATAGGCGGCACTAATATGCAGCACTGATAGGCGGCACTGATAGGTGACACTGATGATGGGTACTGACAGACGGCACTGACTGGCATCACTGCTGGGCACTGACTGGCACAACCCCTGGGCACTGACTGGTGGCACTGACTGGCGCACTGCTGGGCTGCACTGGTGGGTGGCACTGGTGGGCAGCACTGGTGGGTGGGCACAGGTGGGTGGCACTGGTGGGCACAGGTAGGTGGGCACAGGTGGGTGGCATGCTGGGCACAGGTAGGTGGCACTTCTGGGCACAGGTGTGTGACACTGCAGAGTGGCACAGGTGGGTGCACTGCTGGGCACAGGTGGGTGCACTGCTGGGCACAAGTGGGTGATCTGCTGGGCACGGGTGGGCGGAGCTAGTGGGCGCACTGCAGGGCACAGGTGGGCGGAACTTGCGGGTGGCACTGCTGGGCAGTGGCCCAGTGATGATCGGTGCCGATCCCCGCTCTGACAACTGCCGGTTCTCGGCAGTACTTTTCTCACGATCTGACAGCGTGAGGAAAGTGCAGCCGAGAACCGGCACTTGCATTTCCCTCTGATCAGCGTGTCATTGGACACCGCTGATCACGTGGTAAAAGGTCGGTGTGATTGGCCTTTTACCACATCACGTGATCAGCTGTGTCCGTAGGACACAGCGATCACGGAGATCACCGAGTGCGCGCCCCCTGAGGCAGGAGAGCGCGTTCTGGGGGGACATCATATGACGTCCACTCAGAACTGGCCGGCCGCAGTGCAGCCGTCATTCGGCTATCTGTGGTCGGCAACAAGTTAAACTCTTTCAGAAAATGGATTAGTGCTAGAAGTGTATGTATAAAGGAAATATAATAAAGTTTAATACTTACTTGCCCGTAAGAGCTGGTGGACAGACGCAGAAGATCCCGCACCAGGTCTTGGTGGACTTTTTTGTATTCACAGCCTTCAACGGTCAACATTCTCAACTGCAAAATAATTAATTACAGGGTTAAATTACTACAACTGAAGTGAATCTGGAGCAGATCCAAAATGCTCAACCTTTAAATGAAGCATGGAATCTGACTGGCTGTTTTGCAAAACTGCTCCATTTTCTTGTAAGGCAGTTCCAGTGTGTAATAATCTAGACAAAAATGTTCATAGTAAATAATATCATTGTGTGATCAGAAAGCTGGCACAAACCTAACGACGATCACACAGCGGCTTAACAATTTAAACAAAAGAATCTGTACAAGAAAACTGCAACTCCTTCTACCCCAGTACCTGCAAGTTTCAGCACATTAACAATTAAACGATCTTTTGTCACTTTCCACAAGATGACAACAATCCCTTAACCATGTGTGGCAGAAACAAAATCTGCACTTCTATAGCTAGGTGACCAAGCTGTGTTACTTAACTGCAATGCAGAAAAGTCAGGTCACCAATCTGACTGCTGTCTGGTGTGCACAGGGGCGGACTGACAACTCATGGGTCCCCCGGGCAATAGGGGATCATGGGGCCCCTGTGTCCTTGCCCAAACTGAAAAAAACCTATGAAAAAAGGTACCAGGGGCATCTCATGGGGCCCCCTACTGACCCCGGGCCCTCGGGCATTGCCCAAGTTTCCAATGGTCAGTCCGCCTCTGGGTGTGCATATCTCAGGACTGCATGGGTGGAAATACAAATCCTTTTGCACAAAGTTCTTGCATATTGTTGTATGTTGTATTTAGCGGTTTGTGTGGAGTTCTGCTTTAATGTTTCAGGGACAGGCGCTATGTTCAATACAATTCAAGGAGCTCACACACCTGGAATAATAGAGAGGAAAGATGAAGAGCTACCAAGTATTCAGGCAAAATAATGAAGAATTCTGACTGCTAATTATTGCAACTTTGAAACACCAGCAGTCCTATTTTGAAATATGTATTCCGCCATACCCATGGTGAAATGTGCACAGCGTGTTCCCAGTCTATCTGCGCAGCACAGTGGCTTACTGGTTAGTACATCTGCCTGGCAGCACTAAGGTCATCAGTTTGAATCCAAACCACTACATGCATGGAGTTTGCATGATCTCCCTGTAGATGCATGGGTTTTCCCTGGGCACTCCAGTTTCCTCTCACATGACCAAGACATGCTGGTAGTTTACTTGGCTCCTATCTAAACTGGTCCTAGTATGTGTATGTACGAATGTGAAATAGGCACAAAATAAATACCTTTAATAAACTGTTTCAAAGTTACTACTGTAACTCCCTCCTCATAGGCTTACCTCACCGCAGGCTATCTCCGCTTCAGTCTATCTTGAATGCTGTGGCCAGACTCATCCACCTTACTAACCGCTCTGTATCTGCCACCTCCCTCTGCCAATCCCTCCACTGGCTTCCGATTGCCCAACGGATAAAATTCAAAATACTAACATTGACTTATAAAGCTGTTCATAATACTGCCCCAAACTACCTCACCGATCTGATATCCAAATGCCACCCAAAACACACTCTCCGCTCCTCACAAGACCTCCTACTCTCTAGTTCCCTGGTCTCCTCCTCCCATGCCCATCTCCAGGACTTCTCCAGGGCTTCCCCCATCCTCTAAAACTCCCTACCCCAATCCATCAGACTATTACCTACTCTCCTCACCTTTAGGCGCACCTGAAAACCTATCTCTTCATGGAAGCCTACCCCGCCCTCAGCTAATTACTGAACTCCTCTGCTCTTCCTACCACTCCATCCCCCACAGCTATCTCTCCTGTACCACTATCCCCTCCCTCCTAGATTGTAAGCTCCAAGGAGCAGGGCCCTCGAACCCCTCGTGTATTGAATCGTATTGTTACTGTTCTGTCTCGTGTACTGTCTCCCATTATAATGTTATAATGTACAGCGCTGAGCAAACTGTTGGCGCTATATAAATCCTGTATAATAAGAATAATAAATTAAAAAAAAAACAAACAAAAAGATGTGATATGTGAGCAGAAGAGTCATTTTATAAGTTTATTTTCAAACTGCTAAAGTTTTTTGGTTGACTGTATGGAACCACTGTAATGATTACAAATGTAACTTTCCACAATTGGTCTACACTTAGGGCAGTGCCTTGAAAAAGTATTCCGACCCCTTGAAATATTCCACATTTTGTTATGTTACAACCAAAAACATAAATGTATTTTATTGGGATTGTATGTGATAGACCAACACAAAGTGGCACATAAATGTGAAGTGGAAGGAAAATGAGAAATGGTTTTCAACATTTTTTACAAATAAAGTGTGGCGTGCATTTGTATCCAGCTTCGCAAAATAACGCTGTCAGATCGGATGGAGAGCATCTGTGAACAACAATTTTCAAGTCTTGCCACAGATTCTCAATTGGATTTTGGTCTGGACTTTGATTGGGCCATTCTAAAACATGAATATGCTTTGATCTAAACCATTCCATTGTAGCTCTGGCTGTATGTTTGGGGTCGTTGTCCTGCTGGAAGATGAACCTCCGCCCCGTTCTCAAGTCTTTTGCAGACTTACAGGTTTTCTTCTAAGATTGCCCTGTATTTGGCTCCATCCATCTTCCTATCAACTCTGACCAGCTCCCCTGTCCCTGCTGAAGAAACACATCCCCACCACATGATGCTGCCACCACTATGTTTCACGGTGGGGGTGGTGTGTTCACGGTAATGTGCAGTGTTAGTTTTTCCGCCACACATAGCGTTTTGCTTTTAGGCCAAAAAGTTTAATTTTGGTCTCATCTGACCAGAGCACCTTCTACCACGTTTGCGGTGTCCCCCAAATGGCTTCTTGCAAACTGCTTGCCACTCTTGCATAAAGGCCAGATTTGTGGAGCGCATGATTAATAGTTGTCCTGTGGACAGATTCTCCCACCTGAGCTGTGGATCTCTGCAGCTCCTCCAGAGTTCCCATGGGCCTCTTGGCTGCTTCTCTGATTAATGCTCTTCTTGCCCTGCCTGTCAGTTTAGGTGGATGGCCATGTCTTGATAAGCTTGCAGTTGTGCCTCCGTGATATGTTAAAAGCTTGGGATATTTTTTTTTATAACCTAACCTTGATTTAAACATCTCCACAACTTTATCCCTGATCTGTCTGGTGTGTTCCCTGGTCATGATACGGTTTGTTCACTAATGTTCTCTAACAAACCTCTGAGGGCTTCACAGAACAGCTGTATTTATACTGAGATTAAATTACACACAGGTGGATTTATTAATTGGGTGACTTCTGAAGGCAACTGGTTCCACTAGATTTTAGTTACGGGTATCAGAGTAAAGGGGGCTGAATACAAATGCACACCACACTTTTCAGATATTTAGTTTGAAAACCATTTATCATTTTCCTTCCACTTCACAATTATATGTCACTTTGTGTTGGTCTATCACATAAAATCCCAATAAAATACATTTACGATTTTGGTTGTAACATGACAAAATGTGGAAAATTTCAAGGGGGGTGAATACTTTTTCAAGGCACTGTATAAACAAAAACAAAAAAAAACACACAGAACCAGTATCGATGCCATACCTCATGTTGTAACATGACTCTGTCAATCAGCAATGCTCGAATGTGCCTCTTCTTTCCTTGGAGCTGAAAGTCAAATAAATCATTAAGCATTCTAACAGCAAGATCTTTATGACATTAAAGCAGAACTAAGCAATCCTATCATTTACAGCAACGGAAGTTGCCATATTAGCCTTAGATGTGCAGTTGCTGTGGTGCCATGTGATCACTTGTGTATGTACAGAGATCCTTGCACCCACACAGAGGTCCTTAGCCGTATGCAGCGATCCTCGGGTGTATGTTCATGCCAGATTAATTTTATACTGAGGCAAGATTTAAAACAAAAAAAACATTAAGTCAATTAGCACCTTATCCAACCTGACTTAAAGTGGTTGAAAATCTCAGACATTATTTATTTCAGGTACTTATATAGCGCCATTAATTTATGCAGCGCTTTACATATATATTGTACATTTACATCAGTCCCCAACCCTCAAGGGGTGTACAATCTAAGGTCCCTAACTCACATTCATACATACACATACTAGGGACAATTTAGACAGGAGCCAATTAACCTACCAGCATGTCTTTGGAGTGTGGGAGGAAACCCACGCAGGCACAGGGAGGGAGAACATGCAAACTCCAGGCAGGTGGTGCCGTGGCTGGGATTCGAACCAACACCCCTAGTACTGCCAGGCAAAAGTGCTAACCATTTAGCCACTGTGCTGCCTCATTTTTAGTACATATATTATAGACCACCTTATCCAACCTGACTTAAAGTGGTTGAAAACCTCAGACATTATTTATTATTTATTTCAGGTACTTATATAGCGCCATTAATTAACGCAGCGTTTTACATATATATTGTACATTCACATCAGTCCCTAACCCTCAAGGGGCGTACAATCTAAAGTCCCTAACTCACATTCACATACACATACTAGGGACAATTTAGACAGGAGCCAATTCACCTAACAGCATGTCTTTGGAGTGTAGGAGGAAACCGGAGTACCCGGAGGAAACCCACGCAGGAACAGGGAGAACATGCAAACTCCAGGCAGGTGGTGCAGTGGTTGGGATTTTAACCGACGACCCTAGTACTGCCAGGCGGAAGTGTTAACCATTTAGCCACTGTGCTCACATGAAATATGAACAAAGCATATCCCTCTATAGTGTGTGCTTGTCTCAATCCAGAGCACTAATTGTCATTTCCCCCTGCTGCTTTATTCCTCTATTATCAGCATGAATCACTTCTGACAAGTTTCCCTGACACCAAGAGAAAAATGGTGATGGAGAGGGACCTTTGGCAGATTTACTGCTTCAGCTCTGTTCCTGTGACCTGTGTGGAGGGAGGGGTGTCTCTGCCCTCCAATTAGCTCTCAGAGCTCTCCTCACACAGCTCTGCAGTAATTTCAGCTCTCTGCCCCTTTTTTCTGACCTCTCAGACAAACTTTATAACTGCTGCACGTTGTATGGATGTAGAGAGGAGAATACTGCAGACAGACAGGTACAACTTATGTAGGATTTGTTTAATCTCCGTGTATCACCCGAGGATAGTCACATCACTGGGTATACGTAAGGGTTTACAACCTCTTTAATATCTATATTTCCCGTGAGCCAAAGAAGTCTGAGCCTCAGTGGTTCAAAGCTTATTGGAACCATAACAAAGTACAGAAATTTGTGTGTACACGTTAAACACAAAGACAGTAGTTTTTTTAATTGTGCAACTCACCCGGTTTTCCATGGACTTTTTGACAAGTGTAAAACTCTTCCATCTTGAGTCAAACTCATGTTTGTGGGATCCCTGGAATTGTAGAACGTCGCTGATAATCTGCGGATGACAATGCCAGTCACAGATCAGCAGTGCTAATACAGTGCACTTTCTTTATAAAATTGTAAAAGCAAACCACCTCTAGTTATTTGAAGACCAATATAAAAAATATACACTAAAAATACCCATCTGACTCTCTAACACATATCTACATCAAACTAGCAATAAATATTAGTGCAGAAATATTATGAACAGTAACTTATTATTGTAGGACTAAAAAATGCAAACATCCAAAGTGCATATAGAACGTGAAGATATAAAAAAAAAAAAAATCAACAAACACCCGGCCAACCTTCTAGTACAAGCCGTGTAAGAAATCAGCAATCCAATGTGACAAAAAATGGAAAAAAAAACAAATATATACACAAGGTGTATATACTGTGACAGCACACATCTGCATTCATGACCTGTTGATGTGAACATGCTGAAAGAATTTAAAGTGTTTCTAAACCCAGGACTCTGCATTCCCTATATCTGGTCTCCCCGGACCCCGCATTCCCTATATCTGGTCTCCCCGGACCCCGCATTCCCTATATCTGGTCTCCCCGGACCCCGCATTCCCTATATCTGGTCTCCCCGGACCCCGCATTCCCTATATCTGGTCTCCCCGGACCCCGCATTCCCTATATCTGGTCTCCCCGGACCCCGCATTCCCTATATCTGGTCTCCCCGGACCCCGCATTCCCTATATCTGGTCTCCCCGGACCCCGCATTCCCTATATCTGGTCTCCCTGGACCCCGCATTCCCTATATCTGGTCTCCCCGGACCCCGCATTCCCTATATCTGGTCTCCCCGGACCCCGCATTCACTATATCTGGTCTCCCCGGACCCCGCATTCACTATATCTTCTTCGCAGACCCTGCATTCACTATATCCGGTCTCCCCGGACCCTGCATTCACTATATCCGGTCTCCCCGGACCCTGCATTCACTATATCCGGTCTCCCCGGACCCTGCATTCACTATATCCGGTCTCCCCGGACTCTGCATTCACTATATCCGGTCTCCCCGGACCCTGAAATTCACTATATCTGGTCTCCCGGGACCCTGCATTCACTATATCCGGTCTCCCCGGACTCTGCATTCACTATATCCGGTCTCCCCGGACCCTGAATTCACTATATCTGGTCTCCCGGGACCCTGCATTCACTATATCCGGTCTCCCCGGACCCTGAATTCACTATATCCGGTCTCCCAGACCCCGCATTCACTATATCCGGTCTCCCCGGACCCTGCATTCACTATATCCGGTCTCCCCGGACTCTGCATTCACTATATCCGGTCTCCCCGGACCCTGAATTCACTATATCTGGTCTCCCGGGACCCTGCATTCACTATATCCGGTCTCCCCGGACCCTGAATTCACTATATCCGGTCTCCCCAGACCCCGCATTCACTATATCCGGTCTCCCCGGACCCTGCATTCACTATATCTTCTCCCCTGACCCTGCATTCACTATATCTGGTCTCCCCGGACCCCGCATTCACTATACCTGGTCTCCCCGTACCCTGCATTCACTATATCTGGTCTCCCCGGACCCTGCATTTACTATATCTGGTCTCCCCGGACCCTGCATTCACTATATCTGGTCTCCCCGGACCCTGCATTCACTATATCTGGTCTCCCCCGACCCTGCATTCACGATATCTGGTCTCCCAGGACCCTGCATTCACTATATCTGGTCTCCCACAGTACACAGAACATGGAAATGTAATTATTTTAGTAAATATAAACTGCTAAATACCTTTTCTCATCAGCAGTATATAGCAGTCTTATAAGTTTTATCAGTATCCAGCTGTGCACTGGTTAAATCTTGTAGGAGTTTTCATTTTGCTTGGTCTGTCCTATGAGGCTGCATAACCCCGGACCCTCTGTCTGGACAGCGCTGATTAGCTCTGTGCCAATTATTTGCACACCCTCCCAAAGAAAAAAAAACAACAACTCTCTAGCAATGCACATTAAACTGAGCATGTGCAGAGTGAAACCTAGAGCTCTGTACTATCAGCAGATAGATTGGGGACAGAAAAAGGGGAGGATCAGAGAAGACAGGATCAAAACAGCCTTTTTACACAGTACAGAGGATTAACCCCTTAGGTTGCACAGTGAGTATAACAAGCATACTTTACTGCATATACAGACTGATTTCATTGTTGCGAGTTTATGAACACTTTAAAGATTTTGACAGAGCGCATATTGACCTGTAGGGGTTGATCAGTAGTGGGTTATAGTATATATATATATATATATATATATATATATATATATATATATATATATATATATATATATTGCTCAATTGTTTTGTAGCATTGGGTTGCTGATTTCTTACACTGCTTGAATAGGCGTGTTTGTGGATTTTTACCATTTCTTCACATAATATATGCACTGCTTTGGATGTTTGCATTTTTTTAGTCCTACAATAATGAGTTACTGTTCATATTGCGTATGTCCTAATATTTATTGCTAGTTTGATGTGTTAGAGAGGAGTCAGCAACCAGTAGATCACGGACAGGTGACTGGTAGATCTCAGGTCTGGGCCTGCTGACCCGCCATCCCAGAGCATCAGAGTGCAATGCAGAGGGACTACTTGTACATTTTCAAGCTGTAGTAGGGAGTAATAGCCACACAAGTCGATGCCTCCTCTGTATTGCTGGCTCCTGTCCCATGCGGAGTGATACCAACTGCACTCCAACTCTTACCTGGGCTAGAGGTCTCTAGTGTGGTGCCAGCAGCAGGAAAGAAGAGATCTTCAGATCAGAGTGAAGCAATACACTGGACATAATAGTAGAAGGCTGCTTTCACACTGATGCGCTGCATTTTACTCACATCATGAGGGTGCAGTGCAGTGTACCTACAGCTTTCCTGCAGGTTTGTTGCGCTCAGCTATAGACTTCAATTATATCCTGCGGGTTTGGCGCACTTTCTGAAAGTACACCAAAACTCCAAGCGCACCCCCTTTAGCTGCAGTGGCCAGGGGTGTACACACGTCAAAGTTGCAGCAGGAGCTATACTCCCCATCATGGGAGGTGGGTATAGCACAGGGGTAGGTAACCTGAGAGCCGCAGGACTACAAGTTCCATCATGCCTCTGCAAGTCATAGCTGTAACTGTCAGTTTTGTAATCTTTGCAATGCCTCATGGGAAATGTAGTTCCACAACAGCTAGAGTGCAGCAGGTTGCCTACCCCTGGTACAGCATTCTGCTAAGCATGACCCATTCAAGTGAATGAGGCCGCTCTGCAAGTGCCATGCAACTTTGTGCAGTACAGCAAACAAGGGGTTAAATAAAGCAGGCAGTGATGTGTTGAATTCTCACCATCTGCTTTAACCCCTTGGACCCAGCAATAGCATACAGTTGCAGGACGCTTGAGTGGCCCCATTTACTTGAATTGGTCATGACTGGCAGGCAGTAGCACCCACCAAAAGCAGCAGGGGGTTTAATTCCTTGTGCAGCATGTGTACACCTTTGACTGCTGCTTCAGTAGCTAAAGGAGTAAGGAGTGGGGTTGGTAAAATCACGACTCAACCGCAAGGTTTTACCACCCTCCAAATTTACGTGTGAACCTGCTCTAAGGGTGTCGCTGCTGAATGCAACTAAGGGGTCATTCACAAGGTGGGTGAGGAAGCAATATGTTTGCCGTGCAAAGCACTTGATTGCGACACAGTAGTACATCAATTAGAGGCTTAAATTAAGTGTGAGGAGGTGACACTGTGCCCTGTGATCTTTCACTTCTCCCATGTTGTTCAGGTACATCGCCACCTCTTTAAGGCTGCCTACCTCTGTGTTAGAGGGTCAGCCAGTAGTAGTTCGTGTATATTTTTTACATTGGTTTTCAGATACACTTTGAGATTTATAATTTTATTTTGTTTTTTCAATCCAGTAGTAATTGATTGGGGTGTGTATTAGACCCTCTAGTGGGTATTTTACCTTTTATTGAGGTACTATTTTTTATTTTGTATGCGCTACTGCAGTGGTTCTCAACCTGGGGGTCGCGACCCCTTTGGGGGTCGAACGACCCTTTCACAGGGGTCCCCTAAGACCATCAGAAAACATATTTCAGATGTGTAAAGAGCAGCTACTGTGTAGAAAGCAGCTGCTGTGTTGAAAGCAGCTACTCTGTTAAAAGCAGCTACTGTGTTGAAAGCAGCAGTATTGGAGGTAAAAGGACACTCATGAATTATGATTACTGGGTAAATAATTTTATGGTTGGGGGTCACCACAACATGAGGAACTGTATTAAAGGTTCATGGCATTAGGAAGGTTGAGAACCACTGCGCTACTGGGTGGTGTGGGAACACTTGTGCGTGCCTGCAGATGTAGTGTAGTTTATTTGGCTGCGCATAAGACACCATTCATTTATTAAGTATATCATCTCTAATTATTATGGAGTTCCCTAAGAGGCAAGTGAGGAACTGGTTGGAGAGGTTTCAGTCTACAAATAAAATTTCTGTGATTAATCTTTATTAAGTGTTCTTGCATGGCGACCACTTCCTGTTATCTCACATATAGATTCTTATTATTATAGCCAAATTTACCACCCTAACTCCTCCCACAGTTTTTACACTACATAGACAGTAATATACCGAAACGTGCGGATTGTTCCCGATTGGTGCGCTATTACTTTGTGGAACGTTTCGCCGAATGGTTCACGAAATATCGGCATTTTTGTAGTGAAATTGGTCCCATAGGAATGAATGGCGGAATGTTCAAAACTAGAATGTGAGCTGAAAAAATCAGGACATAATTTCTAAACTGCCATCACTCCCTCATTTTCAAGCCCACCTACACTAATCTTATATCAAAACGTTCAGCTATCCCTGCTGCCACTAAAAATGTCCATAGTCTTGATAGTTTTCACAATATGACCATTTGTTTGCAACTCACACACCGCCCATTGACATTCCTTGAAACTCCACTCTAGCCACCTCAAATTTGAAGGGCAATTTCTAAACTGCGACTGTGCCTTCATTTTTCATATTTCAGAGACATACTATGCATCAAAATGTAGGTCTGGGTCTTGTGATTCTCACAATATAAAGGTGGAGGCAAGAACACTCCACACAATTTCCCCAGAAATTGTAGCTTTTCTAGTTTATTCTCTTCTCCCACAAAAAAGAAAACGTTCCCTATTTGCAAACCAGTGTAATGCTAGATATTACCGCGTTTCCCCGAAAATAAGACACTGTCTTATATTTTTTTTTGGCTCAAAAAAACACACTAGGTCTTATTTTCGAGGTAGGTCTTTTTTTTTTTTTTAAATGTCCAGGTGTGGACGGGGTGCAGAGGTGAGCTGCAGGAGTTGTGGATGAAGGTTACTATGGAGAGGGCCCGGCTGATGACAGTTGAGAGCTGCAGTCAGGTGTTGCAGGGATGACTTGACAGGTGAGTTTCAGACAGGGTGCAGAAATGAGCCACAGACAGGGTGCAGGGGCGAGTTGCAGATGGGGATGCAGATGTGAGCTGTGGCCAGGGGGTGCAAAGGTGGGTTGCAACTCAGCTCACCTCTGCACTCCCCCCCCCCCCCCCCCCCCCCCCAACCGCAGCTCACCTATGCACCCTGTCTGCAACTCACCTGACTCAATTTACCTCTGCAACACCTGACTGCAGCTCACCTTTGCACATCCCCCCTCCCCCTTCACTGCCCTCATATGGTTAGCTAGCTTTGCAAAACACAGCTGTCAGCATCCGGCCTCTCTATAGTAACTCCTGTTTCAGGTCCTATCTTCCAATACAGTGCACCAAGCGCACTTACTCACCGCTCCACCTCTTCCCCACTGGCCGGTGATCAGCCCTGGGGCATTGGCTTCCATGCATTAGGCTGCAGGATGAGATGCCCCGCCCCTAAACACACTGCGCCTGTAGATAACTGTTCCTTCCCTTCCAAGGTGACTACAGGGGTAGGGAGCTTCTGTGGGAACGGATGGTGCTGTCACTTCAGCCGCACTTCTGTGTTTGTAAGAGACAGTAGTTATGGGTGTGTGCAGGGCCAGTACCGGAGGTGGCGGAATGTCGTTCTGCCACGTTCCGGCTGAAAAAAAAAAAAACTAGCCCTGATTCACAACTAGGTCTTATTTTAGGGGTAGGTCTTATTTTAGGGGAAAAAGGGTATGTTATGGAAGGTATTGGTGGTACATGATCACTTTGAAGATGAATGTTTTCTTGTATAACTCACACCCATCTATTAGTGACCTGAGTGTGCTACTGCCAACTATGCTCTGTACAGAGACTTACCTTTATTATAAGAAATAACGACTTGGTATCATCTTCTGAGTTGTCAAGTATGAAATCTGTGGATGAAAAGAGAAATGAAAAAGTATGCCTGCACCCCTTCCTTGGATATATGTAAAATATGGAGACTGTTTAACCCCTTGGTGCCGGCGCCTCCGACCCTTTAAGGGATTCAGAAGCCGGGAGGCGGGGCGGGGTTTTAGGGTCATGTGACCGCCATGATTTGCTGTCACAGCGGTAACATGATCGGGAAAGGTTCCAATCGAAAGAGGAGATCGGGCCCTTTCCGTGAGTACCGGACATACGTGCTGGGAGCGTGCAGGGCGCGCGCTCTCAGCACATATGTTTTTCTTAATTGCATGCATACGTGAGGCCACATGGTGTCAAGGCCCAGACGCAGGGAGGCCGCACATTCGTGTGCGGCCGGCGCCAATAGGTTAAGCATATAAAGCTCATCTGAGTCCAAGGTGCAATATCCTACTTCAAGAATACATGAAAATCAAACCTCACTTATACAAAGTGCATGCAGCTAGATCTGGAGCTGTATCAACATTGAATAAAATCAATTATTGTTTACTAACAAACTGTACCTACCTGATGGGTACACTTTTAAGGCCTTATGCACACAGATTTTTTTTTTTTTTTTTTGTTTTTTTTTCTTTCCTTGATGGTTTTTTTTTCCTGCCTCTAAATGCCTATGTGTGCAAAGACACATAAGCTAACAGGGGCATTTAGAGGCAGAAAAAAAAAAAAAGTCATACGCCTCCAACAGCCACATATTTAATGCCCTGTGTGGATGAGGCCCTTAAATTCACCCCATCAATGCATAAGTAAATCCCCATCGCTTTTACCTCACCACACAAGCAGCTGTGACACCATCATAAAATGATATAAGAAATGTGTAAGGCTACATTTACACTTGTGCGGGTGGTTGCGGGACAGTGTATAAAATCGCACCAGTTCCCGTACCGCAACCAAACCATGCTGCTCTTTTGCAGATGTGCGGGGCTGCCATTCATTCTTAACCACTTCAAGTCCAGACACTTTTACCCCCTTCCTGTCCAGGCCAATTTTCAGCTTTCAGCGCTATCACACTTTGAATAACAATTGCGCGGTCATACAACACTGTACCCATATGAATTTTTTTAGCATTTTTTTGAGACAGATAAAACTTTATTTATTCACCACTGGGATTTTTTTTTTTTTTGCAATGTAAAGGAAAGTCCAAAAATTTTGAAAAAAAAAGTGTTTTTCTTATAAAATTTTGCAAATAAATAATATTTTATCATAAATCTTGGCCAAAATTTATTCCGTTATCTTTTTAGTAAAAACACAAAAAAAACAAAAACAAAATTAGTTTATAACCAGAAATCATCATTTTTAAACATTTTTATTTTTTTTTTTAGATTATTTTTTTTTTTTTGTTTTACATATTGTTACCCTAGCAGTACAGTGTCACCATGGTGACACTACTACTTGTGGGGGGGTGATGAGGATTTTTTTTTTTTTTTTTTTTTACACCGATTGCTTTTACACCCATAAAGGCTGTAAAAGCAATCATTTCTCCTTCTCTCTGGCTGCATTCTTGCAGCCATTGAGAACTACTGTGTGAGCTGTGATTGGTCACAGTTTGTCACATGGTACAAGGCTGTTGTAAATAGCTTTGTACCATGTGATCTCTGTGATCATTCACAGATTTCACACGTAGTAAGCAATGATGTCAGAAGGTGACATCTTGCTTACTACTGTGCATGTGATCAGTGATTGGCCAATCAGCGATCACATGATCGGGACCTACGATGATTGGTGTTCCACTGTGTCTGGAGGACACAGCGGGCACCGGATCGCGGTGCTGCACACTCCCAGGGAGTGCGCACAAGCAGGGGGCGGGGAGGACGTTTATAAATGGCCACCCGACCCTGCACTGCCACCGTCCGGCCGGGAGGTAGTTAATGGCACCCCCACGCATCTGAAAACACAGCGTGTTTTCGCTTTGCAGCTGCTTTGGTGCAGAAACCTTTTCCTACATGAAACACAGGCACAGAGGCCCATTCCAATGATGGGCTGCATTGTCCGCGCAACAGTGGCTTGCAGAATCACTTAGATGTGAGCCTAGCCTAACCTATAACACAGCGGATGAGTTTGTTTGTGTTGGGGAAATCGCTGGGTGGTGGAAAAAAGTTGCCATCTGTCTATAAATTTCACTTAGTTGAAGACTGATAATCGGGTATTTTTTCCAAATGAACTTTGTGCACCGAAGATTTATTTCATGTGTTTATTAGCATTATTTTTGCACCGTATGGTTTCTGAACTGCACCAAGCACTTTTTTTTTATAACTTATGCCTAACGCATAACTGCATGTTTGGAAAAAAGAAAAATAAAAGCAAAAATGAGACTTAAAAGACTTACGCAAAAGTTTCCTGAGCGTTTTTGCCATGGATTCTCTGTAGTTTTTTCTAGAATAATCTGGAATAAAAAAAAAATGTAAAAACATGTATTAGGCAAGTGATGTCTATTCAATATGACTCAAATGAATGCCGAGCAGTGGTGTCACTCTTCTTCTGTTCTCCAGTTATTGCTTCAGAATCACCAGTAGGGGGAGTGTGACACCATCCTTCAGCATAATTCCTGAACCACACTTGTAAAGTCTTTAATGTTGCTGAGAATACAGCCAGCATATACATTAAGGCTACGTTCACACTAGCCTTGTTAGCAAGCGGCAGACAGGCGTTTGGGAAGCGTTTTTAACGTTTCCCAAACGCCTGGGAAAATTCTGCACATTGCAACACATAATGCTGTTCAAACGGGAGCGTTAGCGTAGCGCGGCAAAACGGACGCCTCTGGTCGAGGCAGGAGGAGTTGAAGCCTCCTATTCAAGTCTATGGTGCCACTCCCGGCCGGCATTTGCGACAAGGTTGCGAGGCGTTTGCGGAGCAGTAACGCCATTCAAACTTCATTATAGGCGTTTGTGGGGCGTTTTTAATGCTTAGCAAACATCTAGCAACCGCCGCTAAACCGCGCATGCGGCGTTTGCGGAGCGTTAAAAACGTTCCGCAAAAACCGGACCAACGCTTGTCAAACGCTATGGGCGCGTTTGGCAAGAGTTGGAAAAACAGTCAAGTGTGAACGAGCCCTAAGGTGGTTGTAAAGGCTGAAGGTTACGTACCTTCCTGCGTTCTGTGTGCCCCTCCCAATACTCCCCTGAGCCCCTCACAGTCCAGCGATGTGCACAGGAGCCTCAGCTGTCCTAGGTCTTGCTCCTCATTGGCAGAGCCATTGGCTCCCACTGGTATCAATCACAGCAAATGAGCCAATGAGGGGAGGCCTTATTGAACGAAAAAGGTCTAAGATACATAAAAGCCATCAACATTTTAGGCCTTAGGAATAATCACACATTGTACTCACCATAGTCTATACCGGTGAAGAGTTTTGTCTCATCCAGAGACACCATACTTGTAACCCTGTGAAAATAAAATACAAAAAACCCTTTCATCCATGCAGACACCATAATATATTCAATGAAATCACAATCCATGAAAGGCTTAATAGCATCCTCATAAAAAAAAGTGGTTAAAAACCATATACTGTTTGTCTGGTATCTGTATTCTAACAGATACAGTCTTTAACAAGCTCGTGCAGACCCACCTCCGCAACATCGCCAAAATCCGCACGTTCCTAACCCCAGAAACCACTAAACAGCTCATCCACTCCCTCATCATATCACGACTCGACTACTGCAACTCCCTCCTCACTGGCCTGCCTCGCCGCTGGCTATCCCCGCTTCAGTCCATCCTGAATACGGCTGCCAGACTCATCCACCTTTCCAACTGCTCCATCTCCGCCACCCCCCTCTGCCAATCCCTCCACTGGCTTCCGACTGCGCAACGGATCAAATTCAAAATCCTAACACTGAAGTACAAAGCCGTCCACCATACTGCCCCGAACTACATCACTGACCTAATATCCAAGTACCACCCAACATGCACACTCCGCTCCTCACAAGACCTCCTTCTCTCTAGTTCCCTGGTCTCCTCCTCCCATGCCCGCCTCCAGGACTTCTCCAGGGTGTCACCCATCCTCTGGAACTCCCTGCCCCAACCTATCAGATTATCACCTACTCTCCTCTCCTTTAGGCGCACCCTGAAAACCCACCTCTTCAGGGAAGCCCACCCCACCCCCTGCTAACTTGCCGACCTCCTCCACTCTTCCTACCACTCCATCCCCCACAGCTTTCTCCTCCTGTGCCACCATCCCCTCCCTCCTAGATTGTAAGCTCCAAAGAGCAGGGCCCTCGATCCCCTCATGTTTTGCATTGTATTGGTATTGTTCTGTCACATGTTCTGTCCCCCTTTGTAATGTACAGCGCTGAGCAAACTATTGGCGCTTTATAAATACTGTATAATAATAACTGTGGCACACTAACTCTAAGCCTATAACATTACAACTGTTGAATCTGTAGGTTCATCTGCAAACCTGTATTTTGCTTGGACTGGGGAGAGCAAAAGGAAGTATATGGAAAGCAAATTTTATTAAGTTTGGCAAATCGCAGAGAAGTCAAATATTATATTAAATCCTCCTGCGCTGCTATAAATGGCTAACTACAGCTGCTGACATCCGATCCTCACCTCAGGATGGATAAATAGGCAAATCTATGTAATATTGATGTAGTGCTGTATATCTACTAGGTAGATGTGAAAAATACTTTAAAACATGAAACAATATATATGGCAATATACTTAGAGTTATATGGGTGTTAGATCAACTGGATCTATCAAGTGGCATTTACAAGTGATTAATAGTGCGAAAAAGGTCACCACGTCGCATCTACGTGTTACGCCATGCCCCCGTGGCTTCCTCTGGATTCTTCCTGAGGAAGCCACGGGGGTGTGGTGAAACGCGTAGATGCGGTGTGGGACGCACTTCCGGACGCACTTCCGGCCAGCGCCATCTTGGTACACCAGAGTGCATTCAGTACACCTATGTAAGGTGTATGTGTGCTTTAAAGCGTGTCAATAACTTGGCATTTTTTACCTAATTTAATATAAGTATATACAGTGTTGCACTATGGAGGACCTTTGATTTTTTCATTGTATGATCCCAACATCATGTATGTATATATGGGCATATACATTGCTACCTGTGCATGGAGGATTAGCTGAAATTGAACGTATGGCCATTGGGGCTTTTGTGGAACATATCTTACCTGGAGAGTGCGTGCAGGATCCTGGGTGATCCAAAAAAGCGTTTTGGCCGCTGTGGGTCGCAGGGGGAAGGTGAGCGGGCATGCTTGCCAATTAGGATTATCACTCACCACTTGCACCAACACAGGAGCACGCTTGGAAAAGTTATTTTATCGTGTGTGTTTTTTTGCCACTTATGAATATACTGGCTCATTATGGACATTGGCAATTATCACAACTGTTATAGGTTTTTATATTGATCACTCACATGTGGTAGCCTATATCTCTGCATAGGGAATCACTGTGTTTCACTTATTTTTGAATGATCACTTGGATATAGGGTTCAATGTTGAACCTTTTTTGCACTATTAATAACTTGTAAATGTCACTTGATAGATCCGGTTGATCTAACACCAATATAACTCTATGTATATTGCCACATATATTGTTTCATGCTTTAAAGTATTTTTCACATCTACCTAGTAGATATACAGCGCTACATCAATATTACATAAAATCGCAGAGAAGGGTTTATTTTTTGCTGCATTTGTTCCACTGGGAAGATTTCCCTTCACTTCCTGCAACAGAAAGAACTGGAAAAAAATCATTTCTACAAAGTAAGGAAACTGTCTCCTGTATTAACTCCCTGAGGATGGGGGGGGGGGGGGGAATTGATTAAGTTTTGTCCTGCTATTATATCATTTAAAGTATAAATCCACCTTAGTAAAAAAAAAAAAGAAAGAAATGCATATCTTTGTTCAGGTAATATGTATGAATTTTTTTTTCATTAGGAGCCTGTAAAGGATTGCACCCGCGATCAGCAGATGCATGTGCAATCTCAGGCTCCTGCAGACTGTCAGTGTAGCTGTCTGCCCATAGGTGCAGGCAGTTACTGAATGACAGGAAACATCAATGAACTACCTAGGGTGCTCATCAGTGCCCTAGTAGTTCACTGAGAACTACAAGCCGTCAGCCTCCATGGCTGACGGTAGTTGTCGTTCCCCCATACATGTGAATAATTGATGTAACGGCAGCTTTTTATTTTTTTTTCTTGATAGCAGGGAGTAATTCTTCAGCCTGCTGTCACAACGGGGATATTGGGGGGAGGGCGGGGTGGATGGCTACAGTATCAGTAACATGTTATTCCCTGGATACGGGTGTAACATGTTGGGAAAGGTGAACTTATCCTTTAACCACTAGCCTACAGGGCACTTTCGCCCCCTTCCTGCCCAGGCCAATTTCCAGCTCTGAGCGCTGTCACACTTTGAATGACAATTGCACAGTCATGCAACACTGTACCCATATGAAATTTTTAGCATTTTTTTGTGACAGATAGACCTTTATTTTGGTGGTATTTAATCACCTCTGGGTTTTTAATTTTTTCTAAAACAAACCGAAAACCACTGAAATTAAAAAAAAAAAAAAAAAAAAAAAAAAAAAAAAGTCTTTGTTTTTGTTGTAAAATTTTGTAAAGAAGTGATTTTTCTCCTTCATTGATGTGCGCTAATGAGGCTGCAGTGATGGGCAGTGACAGGCTGCACTGATGGACACTGATAGGTGGCACTGATGAGGAGGCACTGGTAGGTGGCACTGATGGGCATTGACAGGCATCACTGATGGGCACTGAAAAGCAGCACTGATATATGGCACTGATAGGCGTCACTGACTGGCACTGATGCACACTGATAGGCGTCACTGATTGACATTGATAGGTTCCACTGACTGGCACTGATGGGTGACACTGAAAGGCAGCTCAGATGGGCACTGATATGTGGCATTGATGTGCACTGGTAGGCACTGATATGTGGCACTGGCACTGTTCAGCACTGATGGACACTGACAGGTGGCACTTCTGGGGCCACACTGATCATCAGTGCCCTGATGATCAGTGTACATGTCCCCTCCGCGGAATGCCAATTACCGGCTCCTCTCCTCACGAGCTGTCAGCGTGATAACCGGCATTTCCCTGTTTTCATGTGATCAGCTGTGATTGGACACAGCTGATCACATGACCGAGCCGACATCTTCGGCTCTTTCTGTAGATCGGTGATCCCGCTGTGTCCCAAGGGACACAGCGCACCACCGATCGCTGCGCGCTCCCTGAGCCACGCATATGTGGTGGGAAATGGGAGGACGTCATATGATGTCCTCCCAGAACGAGAGAACCACCTTGCGCCCGTCATTGGACCATATGGCGGGCGGGAGGTGGTTAAACGTCTTTTTCTAGTGGATTGCTATGCATTTTCTTTCTGCTGTTATTCCTGTATATTGAAATTATTTTCGGCCTTTCATGCAAATTCCAGCTTCAGATAAATCACTACGGCAGCTACCAAATCTAATTATTTTGAGAATAAAAGTACTTCTTGAATGCAAGATTGCAACCTCAGGCTGCCTGCCTACCAAAGCATGCATCATCTGTATTTTACATCATTAGAAATCACAAAGAGTCTATGGTTTTCAACCAGAAGAATTAGCAAGTTCAGTTAGGCCAAAACAGTGCAGTTCTGCTAAGCAGGAAGAAGAACCTGAACATGTAATATGCAAATATCCCAGATAACTGGACCTCAAAAAACACTTTTAGGGAATGAAGACGATAAACTATTTTTTTTTTAAGCCGATAAACTATTAAAAAAGCACAAAGGTGAGCGAAGGAAAATACTGGTCATGAGCCACCCAGTCTGTGACTTGGCTGACAGCGGGTGTCGTAAGCTTCTTTGCTGTATAGAGAATATAACTGGTTTGTTACTAAAATGATTAATGTCTCGTTCACACCACACGTGCGGAAAAACTGATGGAAAGTGACACGCAATTTTCACTTGTAGAGACGTCCGTTTACATCAGTTTTCATGCGCACTTCAATGATTTTTATATACGTTGCAGAATCCTACGCAGAAGAAATCTGCACGTGATACTAGTGTTGTGGTGTAAACAGGGCACATAGAGTACAATTGATTTTCTTGTGCCCTTGCAGAAAAACTGATGTCTGTGCACCATGATGTGAACGAGCCCAAAAATCTAAAAGCCTTAAACGCCTCCCCCCGCCATATAAGGAAATGACAGGCACAAGGTGGTTCTCTCGTTCTGGGAGGATGTCATATGATGTCCTCTCACTCTGACCACACGTGCGCGGCTCCAGGGGCGCACAGTGTGGCGATCGGTGGTGCGCTGTGCCCCTCAGCCACAGCGGATCACCGATCAACGGAAAGAGCCAAAAGACATCAGCTCGGTCATGTGATCAGCTGTGTCCAATCACAACTGATCGCATGCAAATAAGTAAATGTAGGTTATCAGCATTTCTCTCCTCACGAGCTGTCACGCTGACAGAGGAGAGGAGGAGGAGAGCTGGTAATCGGCATTCCTCAGAAGGGACATCTACACTGATCATCAGGGAACTGATGATCAGTGTGCCCTGATGATCAGTGTAGCCCCAGCTGTGCCACCTGTCAGTGTCCATCAATGCCAGCTGTTAGTGCTCATCCATGCCACCTGCCAGTGGCCCATCAGTGCCACATCAATGCCACACATCAGTGCCTACCAGTGCACATCAATGCCACATATCAGTGCCCATCTGAGCTGCCTTTCAGTGCCGCCTATCAGTGCCAGTCAGGGCCGCCTATCAGTGCCCATCAGGGCCCCCTATCAGAGCCCCTCAGGGCCGCCTATCAGAGCCACCTGTCAGTGCCATATATGTGTGCTGCTTTTTGCCCATCAGTTGTCCCCCCTATCAGTGATGCAAACCCTTTGTCGTAGTAATAATAATAATAATCAGTGATGCTGTCATGCTCATCAGTGCCACCTACCAGTGCCTCCTCATCATTGCCCATCAGTGCCACCTATCAGTGCCCATCACTGCAGCCTCATTAGCGCACATCAGTGAAGGAGAAAAATCACTCGTACAAAATTTTCCAACAAAAACTAAGAAAAAACTTTTTTTTATTAAAAATTTTCAGTCGTTTTTGGTTTGTTTCACAAAAAATAAAAAACCCAGAGGTGATTAAATACCATCAAAGGAAAGCTCTGTCTCAAAAATTATAAAAATTTCATATGAGTACAGTGTTGCATGACAGCACAATTGTCATTCAAAGTGTGACAGAGCTAAAAGCTGAAGCACTGTTCAACAGGTAAAAAGTTTTGGGCATAAAATGAGCTAATCTTACATAATTTTGGGGTGCTGAAAACGAAAATGACCCTAAAAAATGTTGATTGGCTCTAGTTTCCATGATATATTCACCCATCTAATGACGTAAGCCATTCAAAATTATGATGCAACTTCAGCTGCATATTGCGCAATTGATACTGGTGACCAATAGAAAATTGCATGTATACTGAGATGATGCAATATTAGCCTTTAATTGCATCACTTCACTGCATAAAAGCTGCAGTATCTGTAGCTGATTGTAGTTGGACAGTCTTTACATTTCGTTTTATGCTTATATAGGCTACTCAGTAATGCCTCGAACTTGTGTGAATAAAGCAGATAATTTCTGCTATATCTGCGGTGAAATAACTTTTATCTCACAAAAAAGGAGGATAACAGGAATGATTAAGAAAGCCTACAACTTGTATTTTGGCTGCAAGATAGGAGACCAGGACAAGAGCTGGGCACCACATATATGCTGCAATTCTTGTGGGACGGCACTGGAGCAATGGTTGAATGGAAAAAAGGCATCTATGCCTTTCGCTGTGCCAATGATTTGGAGAGAGCCAACAGATCATGTTAGTAATTGTTACTTTTGTATGGTGCCTCCAATTGTAAAAGGGCTAAATAAGAAGAAAAAGTTATCTGTGCACTATCCAAATATTCCATCGGCAATACGTCCAGTTCCTCATGGAGAGGGGCTACCAATTCCTAAAGCACCAGAATCCTTCGTGGTTGAGTCAAGTGAGGAAGAACCTGAAGCGTGTAGTCACGTGCAGTTGTAAGAGATAGCCCTTTCCTCGAATACAAGAGAAAAGCCAAGAGAAGCAAAACCGACACAAACTGAAGACAAAACTAGTGAGAATCCTAAGTATTAAAATGATTCAACTTAGCTTATGGCTATAATTTTTCTTGGTAATCCTATGCAATATATTATGCCATTTAGGCTTTGTTATGTAGTCAATATCACTTGCTTTATATTTGTGGAAAGACATCTATCTATATAATTATTGTGCATTATGTAGTCATTACGCCTATAGTAGAAAACTTTCCGTTTACAGAAAAACTAGAGCCAATTGACAAATTTCATTGTTATATTTGAACTCAGAATGTGAAATTCATTAAGAAATGGATCCTTTTGTTTCCAAAACTGGCAAAAAATAAAAATTTGTTGAACAGTGAAATTGGCCTGGGCAGGAAGGGGGTGTAAGTGCCCTGTAGGCAAGGCTGACAAAAAAAAAAAAAAAAAAAGATTATACTATATATGACAAAATGAATTAGCTGCTCAACCAGCCAACATGCACAGCACACTGTTTCAACGACTGATCAAATGGAACCCCAACCCCCCCCCCCCCCAAAAAAAACACACACACGAAACACATCCCAATACTCACAGATGAGGTACTCTCTCCCCTTGCAGAGGAGGTAGGAGGTTTCCTGAGCCAGTGAGACAATTATGCATGATGGTGAGACACTGCTGAATATCATCCCTATGAAAACAGAGAAGATGATGATTAGTCCCTGTGTGCCCTGTTTAAGGACACATCATCTTTCACAGATTCAACTGCATTAGATTAGCAGAAAAAAATGCGGTGCACAATACCTAAAGTGATATTAAAGGCTTGAATTTTTTTTTTTTTTAATAACAAACACATCGCATCACTTCCCTGCTTTCTGAAGTGGTTTTGCACAGAGCAGCCTAGATCCTCCTCTTATCGGGTCCTCCGCCGGCACTCCTGGTTCCTCTGTCCTGTCAGGTGCCCCCACAGCAAGCAGCTTTCTATGGGGGAACCCGCTGCTCCATCTGTCCACTCACACACTGAGCCGTGGCTTGGCGCCACCCCCGCTCTCCTCATTTGCTCACTGGCTGTGATTGACAGCAGTGAGGGCCAATGGCTCCTGCTGCTGTCTCAGCTAATGAGGAGAGGGAGAACTGGGATTGCCGAGACTCCAGTGCACATAGCTGAATTGGAGGGGACTTAGGTGAGTATTAGAGGGGTCAGGGGGAGCTGCTGCACAGAGAAGGTTTTTTACCTTCATGCATAGAATTCACGACGGTAAAAAACCTTGAGCCTTTACAACCACTTTAACTTTTCCACCAACAGCGTGCAGTCTTTCATGTCATTTTGGCATCATGTAACTTTAACGTTTAAGCCCATTTGTGGGCAAAATACATACCCCCATCCTAGGGTCCCACTCCCCCTCTAACCCATTAAGCTTTTTTTTTTTTTTAATTCCTCTAGAAACAATGTTTCTGGGTGTGGGGAACTGGTAATCCAGCAATACAGATGTTCCTGCGCTGCTGGGAAGTCCATTTATCCTGAAAAGAGCCCTGTAGGCTCCTTGCCACTGGTGAGCCAAACAGAATCATCACAAGTAGGCTGTGACATGGAAACTCAAAGAAGGACCCAAACTCCATTACACAAGAGAATAGTGAAGACAAAGGACCAGAAAGTCACATGACTGCAGATCTGGGTAAGTGAAATGGGCTTTGTTTTTTTTTCATGCCAACTCATAGCCAAGTTTATGTCCCTTGCACAGACGAAACGCGTAGGGAAGACTAGTGGCCAATGACATTATCACACCCGCTGGTGTACTGCAGTGTTGTGCTTTTGAGCTTTTATTACCCTGATATTCTTGTGAGAATATTTGCATGTAAATAAATTGCTGGTTTTAGCAATATTACCCTAGGGTCTTTTGTATTTTCTCTTGAATCGTACGGTGAAGAATTTCACTTTCTGCACAGCCAGAGGAGGACCCGCTCGGCGTGGAAGTTGCTGCCATACCATGGTGTGATTCGCATTTGGTATCTCCTGCGCTTTTCTTATAATTACCTCTATAATTATTTCATATAATCTGGAGATTAATGTATATATGGTAAGGGAATTCACATACCTATGTTCGAGGTGGTTTGGGACTTAAATCCAGTGTTGCTAAACCCCCAGCAGTACAATCAGTCTGTATATGCAGTAAAGCATGCTTGTTATACTCACTGTGGAACCTAAGGGGTTAATACTCTGCACTGTGTAAAAATGCTGTTTGACCCTGACTTCACTAATCCTCCCCTTCTTCCAGTATCCTCCTCTTATCTCCTGATAAGACATATCGTGTGGAGATACTCTGCACATGCTCAGTTTGGTGGGTATTGCTAGAGAGGTTTTTTTTTTTTTTCCTTGGGAGAGTGCATGTGATCGGCACAGGGCCAATCGGCACTCTCCAGTCAGAGGTCAAGGGTCCTGCATTTTTCCTAGAGGAGAATGAAAACTCCTCCTACAAGCTTTAACCAGTGCTCTTCTGGACACTGACAGAAGTCACAAGTCTGCTCTAACTGCTGATAAGAATAGGTATTTAGCAGTTTATATTTACTAATATAATTGCATTTAATTCAATGTTCTGTGTACTGTGGAAGACCAGATACAGGAATGCAGGGTCCGAGGAGACCAGATACAGGAATGCAGGGTCCGGGAGACCAGATACAGGAATGCAGGGTCCAGGGAGACCAGATACAGAAATGCAGGGTCCAGGGAGACCAGATACGGGAATGCAGGGTCCGGGGAGACCAGATACAGGAATGCAGGGTCCGGGGAGACCAGATACAGGAATGCAGGGTCCGGGGGAGACCAGATACAGGAATGCAGGGTCCGGGGAGACCAGATACAGGAATGCAGGGTCCGGGGAGACCAGATACAGGAATGCAGGGTCCGGGGAGACCAGATACAGGAATGCAGGGTCCGGGGAGACCAGATAAAGGAATGCAGGGTCCAGGGAGACCAGATACAGGAATGCAGGGTCCGGGGAGACCAAATACAGGAATGCAGGGTCTGGGGAGACCAGATACAGGAATGCAGGGTCCTGGGTTTAGTAACACTTTAAGCACATGGAAACGTGGTGTTTTAATTTTACAAGATCCTACACTGGTTACTCTGTGAAGCCTTGAAGTATTCCTATGGAAGTGGACTTTACTTTCGCACAAGATTGTTTATATTGCCCCCTCCTCCCCCTCCCCCCAGCGGAGCGCAAAATATATCCTTTGGACTTTTATATCAGATGTTGATATTATTTATATAATTGTATTATATGATTTCATTGTGAATTTTATGGTTCAAGGTTTTGCACATTTTGTTTAGTATTTTGTTTTTCCCTGTATCCGGAACACAGTGCGCGGCATTGTCTCCAATCACCAAACACATAATTATTTGGCGGTTTACTATATACCGTATGTATACTAGCTGTGTGACTGATTTTTTCCAAAATTGTACTAAAGACAAATTTCTGCACTTTTCTCTCTGTATATCACAGAAAACTAATGGCTGAAACTAGTAAGAATCCAACACTGGAGCTGCGAAGAACCGAAAACTTTATCAAAATCAGAGACACATAACTTACCTTGACAGTTCAAGCTCTCCACTCCCATAACGATCAAGCTTATCTAGCTCTGGCTGAAGGAAGTTGTCCAGCAAGTAGTATGCAAATTTAACCTCCTCTGCTGAAGGAACATGCCATCTGATGTTTAGGTTCCAGAGGTTACCGGCCTTTCCCCAGTCCTAGGAAAGGATTTAGAATTTGTTAACAAGTAGCTCTTAGGTAACTGGGTTTTTGGCCATAAACCGGCCCAATACTCATGAAGAAATGATGGAAGAACCACAAGCTCAGCACTACTGATTCATGTTTTATAAACCATAAAAGCACCCTTAGGCCCCCTTCACATTTTATGATTTGTAATTGTATGTGGAATTGCCCCGATTCTGCCCACAATCACCAAAACACATGGCAATCACTGCAAAACATGCAACACACGTTTGGGTGCCATTCATTTTAAATGGCACCCCAAGCATAATGCGGTTCTGTGACAGAATTCAAATACGATCATGGAAAAAACGCACCTTTAAAAACTGCGTGAAGTTGGTTGCCTAAAAAAGGAGTAGGAGCTTCTTTTGGGCCACAAATATACATAGGGCAGTCCACTAAAGTAAGTGGGCCGCTCTATGACACACACAATTGTAAGTAAATTACCCATACAAAATCATGAGCAGGAATGGGAGTTCCCACTATGCGTGGTGATTGGGGCCTTAGAAATGGCACGACCACCCCCAATTTATCCACTCTCAGCCAGATAAGGCAGAAGATCTAGAGCAGTGGTTCTCAACCGCCTAATGCCGTGACCCTTTAATACAATTCCTCATGTTGTGGTGACCCCCAACCATAAAATTATTTACCCAGTAATTATAATTCATGAGTGTCGTTTTACCTCCAATACTGCTGCTTTCAACACAGTAGCTGCTTTTAACAGAGTAGCTGCTTTCAACACAGCAGCTGCTTTCTACACAGTAGCTGCTCTTTACACATTGGAAATATGTGTTTTCTGATGGTCTTAGGGGACCCCTGTGAAAGGGTCGTTCGACCCCCAAAGGGGTCGCGACCCACAGGTTGAGAACCACTGATCTAGAAGTATTATTAAACTTTAACTTTAAAAACTCATACTACTGCAGACTTCACCACTTACCAAGTCTGCATGCCTTTTTTTCCTTCCTAAGCCTGTGGTTGCTTTCAAATCCTCTATCCAAGTCCTGCTTCCCTGGTTGTTGTCTTAGGAGGCTCCATCCACTTACAGGGACCCAAACAGCCACCTTTACATGCATGTAAGGTAAGCAATACAAACAACGTCCACAGCAATAGCTACCAGCGGCAAGACACTCTGATCTTAAGACCGAAGCGCGTAGAGCGGTAGGATGCACACAGGAAAACCCAAGGCTTAAATGTCAGCCACAATAACAAATTGTATAGTGCCACCTTGCAAAAATGTGCAACAATAACAATGTCTTAAGTAATGTTAGATAAAAAAAAAAAAGGGAGAGTCCCCAAGCATGTTTCCATTGTGAACTCCCTTGATAAACACATCGGGGTGGAGTGTCTGGAGCGGATGTCACGCCGCAGCGCGATCCCAGGTCAGCAACGGCCATTACTTTAACTATGATATCCATTTTACTTGGATGTTTTTATGTATACTTTCAAATAAAAATACTGCATTATTGGATATTATTTGTGGCTCCTGATGAGCTTTATTTACCATAGTGGGAGTCCACTCTGAGGTACCATTGAATGGAGGAGACTCGAAATTGATGCATGTGATTAGGAGAGATCTTACATGTGTCACAAGCGTTTATACTGTTGTTATGACAACCCGTTTGTTCTGGTGAGTTTGGATTTCACAAGGAGGTGGTGGCTAGTGTTGGTTGAGCACAAGAAGAGTGAATATACACGGGAAAGTGGTGAAAGACTTTCCTTTTTATCTTCACAATGGAAACATTGTTGCGGACTTTACCTTTTTTTATTTAACATTACTATTGTTGCACAGTTTTGCAAGGTGACGCTACACAATTTGCTTTTATAAGTTCTTTTGGGTTTGGTATACTACCTGTATATATGAGCAGCCGCATGTTATTTATTTTGAGATTTTGTTTATTGTATTAAATTTCAGACAGTTCATCAGTAACTGGCCAAAATTTTCTCCATGTATGGCTAGCTTTAATGCCTATGATTGCCAGCAGAGTGCAAAAAGATCTCCTGGTATACAGATCATGCTTGAACCCTGGTTTACACTGATGTGGTGTGGAATTCGCAGTGTTTTCTGTGCGAATTCCGCATCGTAACAGAATCGCACCTCGTTCATGCGAACCGCTGCGGTTAACACCCGAAAGCGGTCCGCAAAACACGGCGCGATGTGCAGAATCGGATCGCATAGGTGTGAATACCCATGCGATCCGATTCTAGTGTGGACCCAAAAAAGGGTCCTGCACCTTTTTGGTTCGGGTGCAATGGGATTAGAGCCATACATAATGTATGGTTCCAATAACACCATACATAAATCGCATGTGATTTGCACAGGAATGCGGTGCGGTTCCTGTGCGAATCACATGCAATATACCGCATATATGTGAACCCAGGCTTAGTGTCTAACATTCTTTATGTCTCTGGTCAGCCTAATTCCAGTCTTTCATTTCTGCCAGCTTCTAATTTTTTTGTCTGTAACTACCATTAAGAAGATTTATTGAAAAGGTACAGCTGGGCTTTAAAATCATCTAAAAATATCACATTTCTAAATAAACATGACTGATAAAATGTAATAGAAAAGTCAGATACTTGCCTTGATGGGAAAATATTCAGAGAGAGGCTTATCAAATCCGCCCGGCACACTGCAGTACTCAGTGGGGTAGATGAGCGTGCAGGAGCGCAGCAGATGGTGCAGCAGATTACAGGACAACGTATAAACCCTGTTTACAAGTGAAGTGCAAGGTTCGCTGGAGAATTTTGACAAGCTGGTCTTTGTAGGGAAGCAGTTTCTCTCCATCTACTCTTGTTACCTACAAGAAAAACCCAATATGATCACAAACGTCAACATATTTTTAAATTACAAAATGATTTGTTTTTAATTTATTGAGAATCCATATTGCAAACACATAACCAGCTAAACAGATCCTACAAATAGGACATGGTCCTCTTGGGCTGGCAGTTGCTCCAGGACAATCAGACAACTAAAACCAAATGAAAGCCCCACCTCTGCAGAGTTTTTCTCAATGTAGACTGGCCTTAGACATAAACGTTGAGTGATTTAACAAGAAATAGTTCATTGTTTGAAAAAAAAAAAAAAAAAAAAAAAATTAAAGAATTCAAATTTTACCTCAGAAAGGAGCTGCAGGTTCCAAAGTAACTCTTTGTCTAATTCTTCCTCATGGAGGACATCATCATCTACAAACAAGGAGAACGTAGATATAAAACATCTTCATTGGCTAAAACTTTTAATGTTTAGTACAAATTTCTGAAATAAATCATGTGATGTGATGCAATGCATGGGGTGGAGCCAGGCATCATCATCACTGTGTTCCAGGAAGCGACTGGAGTTTGCAGGAAAAAGGCTTTAAAGGCAGATTTTTAACATTATTAACCCCTTCACGCCTAAGGGAAAACAAATCTAAATTCCTAAGCACAATTCTGCAACGTTGACATGTGTGAGTAAAACCATACATATTACCACAACTACTTTGTACATCCACAATTACAAAGTGAATACTTGTGAGCCACTATGTCTCAGATGTTCAGTATAATATGTGCAATAGGTGGTAGTGAACTACCTGTTGTGTTTAGGTGCGCTGGCACTTTCACAAACTCACTTGATTGTGTATATGTAAATTGATTAGACGTATTTATGATGCCGCGCTCCTACTATAAATACTTAATACTGTATTGTATATCACTCATAAACATCCATAAACTAAATAAATTAATAATAAATATAATAAAAATCAATAGATTAATTAATGTGATAAAGTGAATTGGCCAATCAAATTCCCCCTGATGAAGTCACGTGACCCTGTGACGCAACGCGTAGGGGAGGGGCTCTGACGTCACGACGTTGCATCGGAGAGGCTCGGCGATTCTAGCAGAGGCAGACAGAGAGGCAGAGGGAATCACCAGCTCTGCATATCTGCTTAAGATAAGTGCCTCATATGCTTGTATCACCGCATCTGGTAGCAATAAATACGCTTATTTAAAAGGATAAGACACCATGGCCTTTTTTTTCTCCATCTGATCTATATACTCAACATTGTCATTAGACATACGTCTAATTTACTTTGTACATCCAGGTGGATTATACCTTTATTTTTTTCAGGATTAATTGGGCTTTCATTTGTTGGTAAATGGTAATGGATAGCTCCTGATTTTCTTTTATTATCAAAGGAAAACTGGCCCAAAATAGAAAAAAATATAAAATTTTTTTTTATTTAGCTGTGTGTTTGTTGTTACAACCATAACCTACCACCAAAGAACAACCCAAAATAAATTCTCAAGCTCTTGAGATCACAGCGATACCATATATGTGTATGTTATTTGTGGTTTGTACCCAAGTACAGCCCAGAAAAAATAGTGCGCATTTTGTTTTTGACTTTTTTTCTTTACCTACACTGACATTAAACACTAAGGGCTCATTCACACTTGACTGTTTTACCAACATTGCCAAACGCCCCTATAGCATTTGGCAAGCGTTGGTCCGGCGTTTGCGGAGTAGCGGTTTTTTAACGCTCGGCAAACGCTGCATGCGCGGTTTAGCGGCGGTTGCTAGGTCTTTGCAGAGCGTTAAAAACGCCCCACAAACGCCTATAATGAAGTTTAAATGGTGTTACCGCTCTATGGTGTGGAGCGGCACCATAGACAAGAATAGGAGGCTATTTCAACGCCTCCTGACTCGTCCAGAGGCATCCGTTTTGCCGCAACGCGATACGCACCGCTACCGCTCCCGTTAGAACAGCGATCTTTGCTAGGTCTTTGCAGAGCGTTAAAAACGCCCCACAAACGCCTATAATGAAGTTTAAATGGTGTTACCGCTCTATGGTGCGGAGCGGCACCATAGACAAGAATAGGAGGCTTCAATGCCTCCTGAAACTCGTCCAGAGGCATCCGTTTTGCCGCAACGCGATGCGACGCTACCGCTCCCATTAGAACAGCAATCATGTGATCTGGAAACAGGAGTCCCGGGTCCCGATCATTAGAACGGGACCCGGGGCTCTCAGTGACGTCGCGGTCACTGTGCTGGGAGCGCTCCCAGCACAAAGACAGGTACGCAAATATGCGGCCCCACGGAAAAAAATACCAGTTCCGTACGGCCGCATATTTGTGTGACGTCGGCGTCAAGGGGTTAAGTTGTTTTTAGGTGAAACTAAAAACCAATGTTGAGTTGCATAAATTGACAGCGCTATATAAGCACCTGCAATAAAACAAAAAAAATAAATAAAACACAAGAGTGGATGGTACTATTTAAAGGATAAGTTCTCATTTTTATCAAAAATAATAAATGCTCTTTTTTGCAAGTAAAAAAGTGTGCATTTACTATTTTGGATTGCAGTAGCCTGGAAACCATTGCACCAGCAATCAACAGATCGCTGCTGCCATGCAGGTCTCCTGCAAATCTGTCAGTATATCTGCTTGTCTATACGGGATGTATGAGCAGGCAGACATACTGACAGGAAGAATCAATGAACTACCACAGCACTCCACAGAGCTGCGGTAGTTCATTGAGAACTACAAGTCGACAGCCACTAAGGCAGTTTCTCATTTCTCATTTACAGAGGACTGTAAATGAGTGATGTGGCTCAGCAGGGTAGAGCCCCATATGGCCACGTTTTTTGTTAAATTTGACACCTAGCGGGGGGGGGGGGGGGGGGAGAAGATCCTCCACCACCTGTCAAAGAGGAGGAGCGGGGAATCGGTTACATGCTACAACTTAAATATGGGTGTAACATGTTTTAAAAGGTGAACTTCTCCTTTAAAGAAAGGCTTGCTGTGACTAACATTAAAAGATCATTAAAACCAGGTGAGAGCAAAGTGATCACAAGGTGAATGTGATTTAGGAGTGATATTGTGGAGAGACGAGTAAATTTCAGCACACAAGAAAATTAAAGTGACATTTGTTTGGATTTATTTTTTGAAGTTTTGGATTGAGCAGGAAGATTGTTATGGTGGATGGACATCTAAACACAGTATTGTAATATTGGTTTGTATGGAGAGACATTTAATTTTCCAGCACACAGGATACTTAAAGTGCCATTTTTTTGAAAGTATACATTTGAATTTTTACATTGAGCAGAAGATTGTTATGGTAGATGGACAGCTAAGCACAATATTTTAATATTGGTTTGCACAGGAAAATTATAGCGCTGTGCTTACCATAAAAACATTGTGCTTTAACATCTTTTTAACAAAGCCATACAAGCATGCTAGAGCTACACTTGAAACAGTAAGAAAGCAAGTAAAATATATACATAATGTTGAAATTTAGCATTTCACTATAGAGAAGTTAAGAAAAAAAAAATATGTTTTTTTGTTACTCACCACAAATGGCCATCCCTAGGAACACCCACACCACGCCCAGAAGGGAGAGGAGGAGCAGTACTTACCAATCTCATGGAAAATGTGGGTGGTACTCAACAGACAGATCTGCCTCCAACCGAGGTGGGGGCTGACGACCAGGGTAGCTCTGTGATGCAATCATCAGAAGCTAGGCCATATGTGCCCCTGCAAGAGGTTTAACTCGTCGGCCACCCAGTCCAGGATGGTGCTGTTGCAGCCAGTCTAGCGCATAGATAAAGGTTGCGTGCACTCACTGGCCAGACTAAGGCGACTACTGGATCTGTCGCCCAAATCGGCTGTTGATCAACCTCCCTAGCAGTCTGATTATGTCAGTATTTCTGTGCTCAAAGCGGTACATTTTTTTGCATGGAAATATGTAGTTTTTTTATTGTAGGCCTGTAATTTTTAGGAATAACTCACTGAAATATGTCCGAACAAGAGTCTAGTAAACATCCCGGGTATGTTAAAATTTGAAACACGAAATCATAAATTATAATTTAATAATCATACAAAATAATAATATAATTATAATACATTTAATTCAATAATGTAATCAAACCAAAAACACTGAAATTTGAAATATAGCGCCAAGTTTGCACATCACTGAGCAAAGTCGCAGAATCGTTTTCAGTGTCTGATGAGGAATGCCCCCACGAATCATTATCACTCAATTCTGCAAGTGGTTCTAATTTATGATCGCTGTTCTCTAGCTTTTGACCAAAAGGGACGCTTTTTGGACACCATGAACGTTTCTCAGTTTCCAGGCAGAAAGAACAGTAAAAATGCAGGCAGGGCGCAGGACAAAGCACTCGGGACAAAATGTATGTGAAATGGTTTGATACAGGAATGTTATACTATGTGATTTTAGTGTATTTAGTGAATGTAACTTTTTCACATTTTTAAATTTCCCGCCGGTTCCGTCCCGACGTAGCAGGGAACGGAACCCAGAAGATAGATGCCGGCATCCGCCAGAGGACATTTACAGGGACACTGCAGGAGGGACATCGCGGGAGCGCAGGACAAGGTAAGTGAAGAAGAGATCCTGGAGCAGCGCTGCAGGGTATTCTGGAGTGTAGCTCGGGGTTACCGCTTGTGGTATGAAAAACTTTACCCCGAGCTACACTCGGAATGCCTCCAGGGAGGTTAGAGATCTTTACAAGAAAAAAAAAGGAAACAAGGTCCCAGCAAGGAACTAGGTCCTTACTCCTGAAACATTAGGCTGAAATAACTGGATTGCCTATAGCAGAGAGCGGGTCCTATACCAGCTAGGATTGTCCATAGGTGGTGCCGAGTTTCTTTTCTGCTTAGTGTCCTACTCCTGTAGGTGGTGCTAAAAAAACCCGATGGTCAAGAATTAGAAGATGCTGTGTCCGTCAGTGAATGAAAGAGAATGTCATGTTTTCTAGAATGCATGCTGTATATATTAACCAACAAACACAACGAAAGTGACCAAGAATGTATATAGACAAAACAAAACTCTTTGGAACTTACTGTTAGTGAGATGAGTTATAACATTGCAGCAGTGAGGCAGAAAGAGCTTCAGAGACTCCACAGGGCAGCACTGAAAATATTGTTCATGAAAACACAATTAAAACATACAGCACTGTAATATATACAGATCCATAGCAAACATATTCCTGAAATACAAGCAAGTGAATGGATATAAATGCCAAAACAGTTTCTATTTCTGCACAAACTGCTCTTGTGATTAACAAATGTCTATCACACTGATAGACTCCACGATTCAATAAAGCAGCTCTGCAACCTCCTGTTCCCTGGGCTGTAAAGAAAATCATCACGCAGCCAAATCAGTCCTGCGTTTTCCTTCTCCTTCACAGGGAGTTTTAATTATATGCGCTTTGCTTTGTTAGACAGCATGACAAGTTGGTGCTTATTTACACACGCAAAGAGGCCATACAGTGTTTATGTACCTGGGAGTGACAGATGTTCATTTTTTTGAGACAGATAAAGCTTTATTTTGGTGGTATTTATTCACCACTGGGACTTTGATTTTTTTTTTTGCTATATAAATGAAAAAGTCAAAAAATTTTGAAAAAAAGTGTTTTTCTTATAAAATTTTGCAAATAGATAATATTTCATCATAAATCTTGGCCACAATGTATTCAGTTATCTTTTTAGTAAAAAAAAAAAATCACCCAAATTAGTTTATAACCAAAATTATAATTAAAAAAAAAAAAAAGTTACACTTTTATTTTATTTTTTAATATTATTATTTATGGGTTTTTTTTTCTATATACTGTCACCCTAGCAGTAGAGTGTCACCATGGTGACACTGTATTACTTGTGGGGGGATGATGAAGATTTTTTTTTTTTTTTTTTTTTTTTTTTTAACACTGATTGCTTTTACACCCATAAAGGCTATAAAAGCAATAATTTCTCCTTCTCTCTGACTGCATTCTTGCAGCCATTGAGAACTACTGTGTGAGCTGTGATTGGACACGGCTTGTCACATGGTACAAGGCTGTTTGTGAATAGCCTTGTACCATATGACCTCTGTGATCATTCACAGATTTCACACGTAGTAAGTAATGATGTCAGAAGTGACATCTTGCTTACTACTGTGCATGTGATCACTGATTGGCCAATCAGTGATCACATGATCGGGACCTCGCACAGAGGTCCTGTACGATGATCAGTGTTCCACTGTGTCTGGAGGACACAGCGGGCACCGGATTGCGGTGCTGTGCGCTCCCAGGGAGCGTGCACAGTCCAAAATGGCAGGTGCCATTTATGAACGGCAACCCGCCCCTGGACTGCCACCCTCCGGCCGTTTATATACAGCGGCCGGATGGGAAGTGGTTAAAATAAAACTGCCTGTGAAGCTAAGAGGGGTCTGTAGATAAAAACAAACTATGCAGCTCTGACTAAAGTTTGATAATGTCTTTGCTATAGCTGTAGGCCATTAACATACCTCCTGAAGCTTGGCTGAAAACCCTGCAGAGATGGCACCATCCCATTATGCTTTGTTGCTAGGATGTTGCTAAGACACTCCCAGCTGTTACTGCTCACCCTCACTATCACAGAAGCGAACTCTCAAACCCCTTACACATATTTGGATAACGATGTTCTTTGTTGCAGCCCTGCAGAGCTCTGAGCTGCTGCGACGGGGGAGAGAGAGCATGTGAGGGATTTGAATCAGGTGGGACTGTCTTAGCAAAAAGGCAGGATGGGATGACGCCATCTCTGGGAGTTTTTCAATCCTGTTTCAAAGAGTATGTAAATGGCCCTACATCTAGAGCAGTGATTCTCAAGGATGCCGTGACCCTTTAATACACTCATGTTGTGGTGCCATTATTTACCCAGTCTATAGGGAGTTTTTCAATGCCTCAGTAGCTGCTTTTCAAAGCTGCTTTCAACACAGCAGCTGCTTTCTACACAGTAAATGTTTTTTCCAATGGTCTTAGGCGACCCCTGTGAAAGGTTCGTTTGACCCCCAAAGGGGTCACGACCCACAGGTTGAGAACCACTGATCTAGAGCAAGGACATTTTTTTTTTGTCTTTAACCATGGGGTTTTTTTTTATAAATATTTATTAATTTTCAAATAAATAAATTATACAATCTTTCTCTTTAAAAACATTAACACAGTGATAATACATTAATCATATCACCCAATACGCCTCCCCCCCCCCCATCTCCTATCTACCACCACCCCCCACCCCCCCTCCCCCCTTCACTCTGCATTCTCCTAATCCTTCTGGGGATCCACATCTTCCAAAGAGGATAAAAAGGTGAGCTCTTTTTATTTTATATTATTCCCACATACATACACATATTTAACTTTCATTTTTTGATTTTTTTAAATTCCTCCCATTTATTCCATCTTATATGATATCTCTCCATCTTATCTTCATTTATATGGTAAAGTTCCTCCATCTTGCATATTTGATCTACCCTATTAACCCAGTCCTCTATTTTCGGTACCTCCTGTCTCTGCTAGAACTTGGGTATCAAACCCTTTTCTGCATTCAAATAATACAATATACCAGATGTTTTATACTTTTCGACTGAGAGCTCAGTGCTATGAAAAAGGCAAGTCTCTGGATCTAATAGGATATCCCTGTAATTTTACAAATCAAATACACTACTTTCTCCCAATACTCCTGTATTCTAGGACACGCCCACCATATGTGATAAATCGTGTAGAGAAAGGACTTTATTTAACTTGGTCAGAGTTTGTTTTCACCTACAGGCACTCCTTACCTGCACAGGCAGTTTTTTTTTTTTTTTTTGTAAAGGTAAACTAATCCTTTAAGACATAATAGTGAAGATCTAAGGTTGCATTATGCATACTGTACCAGCACAAAAACAACTAGAACACACTGGAGAAAGGATTTAAAAATTGAAAATACGGAAAAGAAATCTGAAAAGAATTACCTTGACAGCAGCCCGGCAGAGATCTGCCACCATTTTTCCAGAAACTCTTGTTTCAAAGATGTTGGATACAGCAAAGTTAAATACCTTCTCAAGGGCAGCCTACGAAATTACAAAGAAAAGGTTATTAAAAGGACCAAAAGTGACAAAAACAGTGGCTGTACATGTTTTTATGGGAGATATTCCAGACAGTGACCTTCAGTCATGGCCAAAAATATTGGCACAACTGCATTTCTGTCAGATAATGCACTACTTCCCCCAGAAAATTTTTGCAATTACAAATGTTTTGGCATTCTCAGGTGTATTTCTTTTGTTTGCAAAAGCCAAATCTGACACATTCCAAGCAAAACCCCCAAAATAGACTGGACAAAATTGTTGGCACCCTCAAATAAATATTTGTTAGCACATCCCTTGGAAAAAGTAACGGAAATCAATCCCTTCCTGTAACCATCCATGAGTTTCTTAGACACTCTACTGGAATTTTGGACCACTTTTTTTCACCAACTGCTCCAGGAATCTCAGATTGGAAGGGTTCCTTTTCCAAACTGCTGCTTTGAGATCTCTCCACAGGTGCTCTATGGGATTGAGATCTGGACTCACCCTCAAATAAATATTTGTTAGCACATCCCTTAGAAAAAGTAACGGAAATCAATCCCTTCCTGTAACCATCCATGAGTTTCTTAGACACTCTACTGGAATTTTGGACCACTTTTTTTCACCAACTGCTCCAGGAATCTCAGATTGGAAGGGTTCCTTTTCCAAACTGCTGTTTTGAGATCTTTCCACAGGTGCTCTATGGGATTGAGGTCTGGACTCATTTCTGGCCAACGCAGTACTCTCCAGCACTTTGTCTGAAATAATTTCTGGGTTCTTTTTGATGTGTGCTTTGTCTTGCTGTAAGACCCATGATCTCTGACAAAGACCAAACTTTCTGACACTGGGCCCTATATTGCACCCCAGAATTCCTTCGTAGTCTTCAGATTCATAATGCCATGCACACTGTCAAGACATCCTGTATCTGAAGCACCAGAACAACCCCAAAACATCAGTGAACCTTCACCATGTTTGACTGTAGGGACTGTATTCTTTTCTTTAAAGGCCTCATTTCTTTTTCTGAAAACAGTAGAATGATGGGCTTTACCAAAAAGCTGTCATTTTGTTTTGTCTGTCCACAGCACATTCTCCCAAAAGGATTTTGGCTTCCTCAGGTCCATTTTGGTAAACTCCAATCTGGCTTTTTTATGTTTCTGTGTCAGCAGTGGGGTCCTCCTGGGTCTCCTACCATAGCGTCCCTTTTCATTCAGATGGCGACGTATAGTGCGAGCTGACGCAGTTATACCCTGTGCCTGAAGGTCAGCTTGAAATTATCTGGAAGTTGATGGAGGTTCTTTATCCACCATTCCAACAATCCCTCGTTACAATTTTTGATAGTTTTTCTCTTTCAGCTGTATCCAGAGAGATTAGCTACAGTGCCATGGGGCTGTAAACATCTTGACAATGTTGCGAGCAATGGACACAGGAACATTAAGATCTGGTAACTGATACAGATGAGTTTAATAAAAAATTACAGGAGCATCACAAACTTGGAATAATATTATTTCTTACAATTTTGAGAAGGTGCCAATAATTTTGTCCAGTCAATTTCTGGGGATTTGTGTGGAATGTGTCAGATTTGGCTTTTTGTTTCTTCACATTTTTGTGTCATACTAATACAAACAAAAGAAATAAACATGAGAACGCCTAAACATTTGCAATCGCAACAATTTCCTGGGTGAAGTTGTGCATTATCTGACAGAAATTCAGGAGTGCCAATATTTTTGGTCATGACTGTATAATAAAACAATTCTATATACATAATCATAGCGCAGACTCATTTCAAACTAATTGGAGAGCATTGTTCACACTGGCTTTACAGCTGAGAAACACAAAATGATAGGGTAATAATTCAGAAATCCAGGCTTGACATCAAAGTGGGAAGTAAGCTATGTGATTTTCTTCCCCTAACATCTAAAATCACATGTATACAGTTTCTACCATTATATTTATCCACACACAAAAAAGAAAAAAAAGGCAAAAGCAATTATAGGGCAGCTGTGGTTGAACAGAAATCAAGATGATATAGGAGGAAAAGCAAAGTATCTTTAGATCTTTCAGGGCTCGTTTACACTATGGTGTAGAGATGTCACTTTCTCTGCACGCATGCTGCAAGGAGACAACAAAATCAATTGTTCTCTATGTGCCCTGTTCACACCACAGCACTGGTATCACCTGTGCAGGAATCTGCAATGTGTATAAAACTCATTGCAGCGCACATGAAAAAACGGATGTCTCTGCAAGTGAAATCTTTATGTCAGTTTTCATCAGTTTTTATTATAGGTACTTGTATAGCGCCATCAATTTACTCCACGCTTTACATATATATTGTACATTCACATCAGTCCCTAACCCTCAAGGGGCGTACAATCTAAGGTCCCTAACTCACATTCATACATACACATACTAGGGACAATATAGGCAGGAGCCAATTAACCTACGTCTGTCTCTGGCCTCTTCCAGGTACAGAGCACGTGTGCGCCTGTCAACTCCCGCTGTGATTGTACAGAGCGGGCGTTTGTCAGCAGGTCTTGGCTAATGATTCATGTCTGAGACCTGCTGACAATCAACACAGAGCTCTGTACAGAGAGAATGATCTCTCTGCTTTGCAGGGAGAAGGAACAAAGAGATTTTTTAGTAAAAAGCAGCACACATTACACAAATTGACACTTGTTAGGCACACACCTAACCCCTTCATTACCTTACATGTTAACCCTTTCCCAGCCATGGTCATAAGTACAGTGACAGAGTATAGTATTATCACTGAACACTGTATTAGCGTCACTGATATCAGTGACAGTTAGTCAGTTCCCAACCAGTGATAGTTCATGTCAAGATTGCCCACCGCACTATCACAGTCCCAATAAGTCCCTGATCACCACCATTAGTAGTAAAAAAAAAAAAATTTAAAATCCAGTATGTATGCCATAGTTTCTAGATGCTTTAACTTTCATGCAAATCAAATCAGTATACACTTAGTGGGATTTTTTTTTCTTAACCTAAGACATATAGAAGAATACATTTTGGCCTAAATTTATTTAAAAAAAATAGCTTTTTTAAAATATTTTATTGGATATGTTTTATAGCATAATTTTTTATTTTTTTTAATTTTCAGCCTTATTTCCTTTATATAATAAAAAATAAATTACTCAGTGGTGATCAAATACCACCAAAAAAAAGCTCTATTTGAGTGAAAAAATATAAATAAATGTCTTTTGTGTACAGTGTTTTCATGACTGCACAATTAAAGTAGCACAGTGCCGAATAACAAAAAATGAGTTGGTCATGAAGGGGGTAAAACCTTCCAGAGTGCAAATGGTTAAATGGCACTACTAGGGGAAAAGAGCCACGACAAACGATCCCCACTATATTAACCTGCAGCTCTGATACTCTTTTTAGCAATAATCCTCTAACACCTGTCCACACCAGGAACACCTGAAAACACATTTAGGCTACGTTCACACTAGCGTTGGTGTGCAGGCGGCAGAGAGGCGTTTGGGAAGCGTTTTTACCGCTTCCCAAACGCCTCTGCCAATTCTGCACATTACAGCACATGGTGCTGTTCTAACGGGAGCGTTTGCGTCGCGTCAAAACGGACGCCTCTGGTCCAGTCAGGAGGCGTTGAAGCCTCCTATTCTCGTCTATGGTGCCGCTCCGCCGCTCGCCGTGCGGTGCGGTTGCGACGCGGTTGTGGGGCGTTTGCGGAGCGGTAACACCACTCAAACTGCATTATAGGCGTTTGTGGGGCGTTATTAACGCTCGGCAAACGCCTAGCAACCGCCGCTGAACCACGCATGCGGCGTTTGCCGAGCGTTAAAAACGCTCCACAAACGCCGGACCAACGCTTGCCAAACGCTATAGGGGCATTTGGCAAGCGCTGGTAAAACAGCCAAGTGTGAACGAGCCCTTATACATTGAATACAATGCTTTGACTCTTTACATGTTGCATTTTCTCATGCATTGCAGTGCAATTTTGCCCTGGACTGGACAAAACTTGCAGTGTTTGATATTCCCAGTTTATCTGCAAAATGAGCAAATGCTATTTTTTTGACAACCTAGCCAGAGTTCTAGTGTGAACTGGCACCAATGAATGTATTTTTTCCATGACTTTGCATTTTGGCAGCTTTGAACAACACAGTCCAACTCCTGTGGAAAAAAACCCTTACCTGTTGGGGTTTTGAATAAAACCTCTTAACCTATAATCTATTTAAAGCAAAACTAAAGGCTGGAGAAAAAAAAAAAAAAAATTGCAAACAGGCAAATAGTTTTTTTTTTTTTTTTGCAGAAGAGACATGCACGGTCTCTTCTGCAATAAAATACACTTAAAGTATATGTAAAACAGCCCACTCGGTTTAACCACTTCAAGTCCGGACACTTCTACCCCCCTTCCTGTCCAGGCCAATTTTCAGCTTTCAGCGCTGTCACACTTTGAATGACAATTGCGCGGTCATGCAACACTGTACCCATATGAATTTTTTAGCATTTTTTTGAGACAGATTTATTTTTGGTGGTATGTATTCACCACTGGGATTTTTATTTTTTTTGCTATGTAAATGAAAATTTCCAAAAATTTGAAAAAAAAAAGTGTTTTTCTTATACAATTTTGCAAATAAATAGTATTTCATCATAAATCTTGGCCAAAATTTATTCCGTTGTCTTTTTAGCAAAAAAAATACAAAAATAACCCAAATTAGTTTATAACCAAAAACTATAATTTTTAAACATTTTTTTTTACATTATTTGTTTTTTTTACATAGTGTCACCCTAGCAGTACAGTGTCACCATTGTACTACTTATGGGGGTGATGAAGGATTTTTTTTTTTTTTTTTTTACACTGATTGCTTTTACACCCATAAAGGCTGTAAAAGCAATAATTTCTCCTTCTCTCTAGCTGCATTTGTGCAGCCATTGAGAACTACTGTGTGAGCTGTGATTGGTCACAGCTTGTCACATGGTACAAGGCTGTTGTGAATAGCCTTGTGACCATGTGATCATTCACAGATTTCACATGTAGTAAGCAATGATGTCACAAGTGACATCTTGCTTACTACTCTGTATGTGATCACTGATGGCCAATCAGTGATCACATGATCGGGACCTCGTACAGAGGTCCCGTACGACGATCGGTGTTCCACTGTGTCCGGAGGACACAGCGGGCACCGGATCGCGGTGCTGCGCTCTCCCACAGAACGCACACAAGAAGGGTGTGGGGAGGCTGTTTATAAACGGCCACCCGACCCTGCACTGCCACCGTCCGGCCGTTTATATACATGGGCCAGATGGGAGGTGGTTAAAACAAAAATGAAATGCAAAACATTTGTGTATAGATATAAAAAAAAACATAAGCATCCTTTCCCCCCCTTTTAAAAAATGATCACATACCCTCTGTTCTCAGCTGCATAAGGAGCATAGAGAGCAGGGGGGGGGGGGGGGGGGTTGGGGGTACAGCAGCACACTGGTCTTCGCAGTGAATGGCTGTAGAGGGGGGAAGCATGTTAGAACAAGCCTGATCATTTGAGCAGTGCAAGCTGAGTTCTTGAGTTCTAAGCACATCTAGAGAACTGAGCACACTGTGCTTTCATGCCTATTGTGGGAAGCTGAAGGACTGTCCGGAAAACCACAAAAGGAAGAAATATAAAGAAAACAGGACACCTTTTCATACAAGTACATGGTACAGCAGGCACAGATCAGGAATAGGAAATGTTGGGTTTACATATTCTTTAACCTGCCTATTCATAATCCTTCACAAAACATACACAAAGCTGTACATGCGCAGCTCATTTACATTTCTGGCACACTGCCGGGATGACTGCGGGAGTGAAGTCATTCTACACCAGCCAATTAAGTTGACCAAAGACTGGCACCCGAAAAAAAGCCAGGGAGAAGGTGCCAGCGAGGGACCTTGCAGGCATCGAAGCGTTGGAGAATGGACGAGTATCCCTGACGTTAGCCCCATTTTAAAGTAGTCACCTTTAATAGTAAAGTAAAACTGGAGAATTACACGTGAAAAAAAATCGATTCTACCTTAAATATCTCTTTGGAGCACTGAGTGAGGATTGTGCTGAATGTTGATGACAAGCCCAGTTCCACCAGGCTCTCCAGATGTGTCATCTTCTCAGTCTCGGTCTCTTCTCGTGTCTGCTCCAGAGTACTGCTTTCAATCAGAGCAAAACACCTGGAAAAAGAAAGAATAAAGCCCTTTGTTTCAACATTTGCTATAAAATGTTAAAAAGTATTCAAACCATTCCTGTAGGTTAACCCCTTCATGTCTAAGGGCAAAACAAATCTAAATGCCTAAGCAACGTTGACGTGTTAGTAAAACTGTACATATTATCAAAGCTACTTTGTACATCCAGGTGGATTATACCGCGTTTTTTTTCAGGACAAATTGGGCTTTCATTTCGTGGTAAATGGTAATGAATATCTCCTGATTTTTTCTTATTATCAAAGGAAAACTGGTCCAAATTAGTTAAAAGGAAAAAAATTTTTTTTAATTAGCTGTGTGTTTCCTGTTACTGCCATAACCTACCACCAAAGAACAACCCAAAATAAATTCTCCAGCTCTTGACGATTGCAGTGATACCATATATGTGTATGTTATTTGTTGTTTGTACCCATAGTACAGCCCAAAAGCAATAATGCGCATTTGTTTTTGTGTTTTTTTTTTTTACCTAAAACACACGGACATTAGCACCAATTTTTTTTTTTTTAAATCCTTACCTTTGACCCTGACCTTTTGACCCTGATCCAAACACTTACCCTGGCACTGAACTAGATCAAACCTTGATCTAGGTATTTTTTTTATTTTATTTTTTAATATTTATCTTTTTTTCTTTTTTTTTTTTAACAAACATCTTTTTTCCCTCTACGCCAGGAGTTCTAGAGATACAATGTATCTTTCTCCTTCATTCATAGAGAGAGAGAAAAACAAAAAAAAACAAGGGGGCCGGGCTGTACAGTGCCTGATTAATGTGATAGCCAATCAGAGGCTATCACAGCGATCATGTGGCCCGGAATCGGGAGTCCCAATCGTTTAGAACACTGTCTTTGTGCTGGGAGTGCCGCCGTGTGGTGCGCTCCCAGCAGAAAGACAGGTACGCAAATATGCGGCCCCAAGGAAAAAAGCCCTGTTCTTTCAGGCAGCATATTTATGTTACATGGGCATCAAGGGGTTAAAGAAACCCTGTCACTAACTTACAAAATTGCCAGGAGTTAGAGGGATACAATGCATCTCTCTCCTCCATTCATAGAGAGAAAAAAAACAAAAAAACAAGGGGCCGGGCTGTACAGGGACTGATCAATGTGATAGCCAATCAGAGGCTATCACAGCGATCATGTGACCCGGAATCGGGAGTCCCGATTATTAGAATGCGGTCTTTGTACAGAAAGACAGGTACGCAGCAGAAAGACAGGTATGCAACTATGCGGCCCCGCAGAAAAAAGCCCAGTTCTGTCAGGCCGCATATTTGGGATACATCGGCATCAAGGGGTTAAAGAAACCCTGTTACAAAATTGCAGGCAAAAGCACAAAAATCAAGTATTTGAAATGCTTACTTGCAGCATTTTTCCTTTTCACACACACGTTTTATTGACTTGCAGTGTGCCTTAGAACATGAGAGAACATTTCACTACTTCAGGAAAACAGCCCACCTCCCTCCTTACTAGTCATAGCCCCCTCCTATTCTAGAAGTGTCTTGTTATTCTGTATGCTGGCCCAGCTCCTCTACCCTCCCATACCTACATAAACCTTTATGTAGTAGCTGGGTGAGGACCATGGGGGATTCTAACAGAATGTCACTTGGGTGACTTCTGGGGCTGCTGACATCGCTAACACCCTGCAGCAGCCTCGGTGCTTTTGGATGTCTACACAAGGGAGGCTTTTACAGGTACATAAAATTAAAAAAAAAATAATCAAATACACTTCTCTGGGAGGATTTTCGTTGAAATGAATGGTCTGGCCAGAGTCTCTTAATTGCAGAACGCATTGTACTCACCTGTCCATGAACTGGAGCACAAAGTCCTCAAACTCTGCACTGGCTGAGCACAGCTCCCTCTCCACCTGCACAGAGACAGAGGTTAGTAAACCAGGAGCCCCAATAAAATGTACAGGAAAAGATAAATGACATTAGTGGCTCTGCCATACAAGGCGCTCTTCACAATATATGAAACAGAATTTTAATTAACCACTTCCCGACCGGCCTGTTGCATATAAACGGCCGGACAGTGGCAGTACAGGGTCGGGTGGCCGTTTATGAACGGCCTCCCCGCACCCTGCTTGTGCGCGCTCCCTGGGAGCGCGCAGCACCGCGATCTGGTGCCCGCTGTGTCCTCCGGACACAGTGGAACACCGATCGTCGGACGGGACCTCTTTACGGCCACTGATTGGCCAATCAGTGATCACATGCAAAGTAGTAAGCAAGATGTCACTTGTGACATCATTGCTTACTACGTGTGAAATCTATGAATGATCACAGAGGTCACATGGTACAAGGCTATTCACAACAGCCTTGTACCATGTGACAAGCTGTGACCAATCACAGCTCACTCAGTACTTCTCAATGAGTGCAGGAATGCACACAGAGAGAAAGAGAATGATTGCTTTTACATCCTATATGGGTGTAAAAGCAATCATTGTAAAAAAAAAAAAAAAAAATTTTATAAAAAAAACACTTTTGTTCAAAATTTTTGGACATTTTCATTTACATAGCAAAAAAAATAAAAATCCCAGCGGTGAATAAATACCACCAAAATAAAGCTTTATCTGTCTCAAAAAAATGGTGAAAAATTAACTTGGGTACAGTGTTGCATGACCGCGCAATTGTCATTCAAAGTGTGATAGCGCTGAAAGCTGAAAATTGCCCTGGACAGGAAGGGGGTAAAAGTGTCCGGTCTGGAAGTGGTTAATGCAGAGATAAAAATGGGACGTTTGACCTCAGCTGGATCTTGCCCCAGGTACTTCTGAACTAACACACAAGTACTTATCATTTTGGAGTACTTCAGATTATTTACATCAGAGGTAGGCAACCTTAACCACTTCCAGTCCGGACACTTTCACCCCCTTCCTGTCCAGGCCAATTTCCAGCTTTCAGCGCCATCACACTTTGAATGACAACTGCGCAGTCATGCAACACTGTACCCATATGAATTTTTTTAGCATTTTTTTGAGACAGATAAAACGTTATTTTGGTGGCATTTATTCACCACTGGGATTTTTATTTTTTTTTTGCTATGTAAATGAAAAAGTCCAAACATTTTGAAAAAAAAGTGTTTTTCTTATAAAATTTTGAAAATAAATAGTATTCCATCATCAATATTGGCCAAAATTTATTCCATTAACTTTTTAGTAAAAAAACAATAACCCAAAGTTTATAACCAAAAATGATAATTTTTAAACTTTTTTTTACTTTTTCTTTATTTTTTTATATTATTATTTATGGGTTTTTGTGTTTTGTTTTTTTACATACAGTCACCCTAGCAGTAAAGTGTCACCATGGTGATGAACATTTTTACACTGATTTCTTTTACACCCAAAAAGGCTGTAAAAGCAATAATTTCTCCTTCTCTCTAACTGCATTCTTGCAAACGGCCACCCGACCCTGCATTGCCACCGTCTGGCACGGGGAGGTGGTTAAAGTAGTGGAGATTTACCCAAACAACATGGGAGAAGTTAAAGATTACCGGGCACAGTGTTGAACAGTGTTACCTCCTCACACCCGATTTAAACCTCTAATTGCTGTACTATCTTGTCACAATCGCGTGCATTGCACGGCAATCATGGGTTTAAATCATGTGGTGAAGAGGCAACACATCGCGTCCTCACCACCTGTCAAACACAGTCGGATGGCTTTTCTGAGGAGCAGCAGTGTCTGCTTCACTTGTAAATGAGCCCTTCGTTGCATTTGACAGTAGCACCCTTGGGGCTCATTCATACAAAAAGTTGGTGGTGGTAAAACCCTGCAGCTGAGTTGCGGTTTTATCACCCCCAATCCCTACCAATTTTAGCTGCTGAGGTAGCAACCAAAGGCATACACATGCCATAAAAGGAATTAAGCCCTCTTTTGCTTTTGGTGGGTGCTACTGCTGCCAATCGTGATCCACTCAAGAAAATGGGGCCACTGTGCAAGAGCCCCACAACTGCATGCTTCTGCAGTCCAAGGGGTTAAAGCAGGTGGTGAGAAAGCAACATAACGCTTCCTGATATAATCCCTTGTTTTCTGTACTGCACAAGGTTGCAGGGCACTTGCAGAGCAGCCTCATTCATTTGAAAGGGTTATGCTTGGCAGGAGCTACACCCACCAAGCACGACAGGGCAGATAACTCCTGCTGCGGCTGCGACGTGTACACCCCTGCTGCGGCATGTGTACACCCCTGAGCACTGCAGCTAAAAAGGGGTGTGGTTGGGGCACGGGCGATAAAAACACTTAATTATTGGGTTTTTACACCCCCCAAATTGTAAATGTAAATGAACCCTTACTATTTTGAGCCCCCTATAAGGCTGCTTTCACACTGATGTGCAGCGGTGTACCTGCTCCACAGGTGCAGTTCATCCGTACCTCTCCTGGGTTAGCTGCGCTTTGCCATAGATTTCAATTATATCCTGCAGGTGTGGTGCATTTTCTGAAAGTGCACCAAAACTGCAGCGTATAATAGAAGTCTATGGCTAAGCACAGCAAACTCGCTGGCACCACTCTGGAGACCAAGAGCCGGGATAAGAGGTGGAGTGAAGTCCATATCACTCAGCATGGGACAGGAGCCAGCACTACAGAGGAGGCATTGGCTTATGCGGCTCTTGCTCCCTACTACAGCTCCCTCTTTACAGGAAGTCCCTCTGCATTGCACTCTGATGCTCAGGAATGGTGGGTCAGCAAGCCCTGACCGAGATCTGCCAGTCACCTGTCTGCGATCTACTGGTTGTTGATCGGTGGGGCCCCCCCCCCCCCCCCCCTTTGCATAATAATCTGGCACCCAACCTGCAACCTTTTGGTACTAAGGACAGCCATTCATGTGTCAAAATTTCAATCCACGTATGGGCAGGCTGGTTGTACACACATCGATCTATTGCTCAACTTGTGTACAACCAGCCTGTCAAGTTTCTCTCCAACGATCACTGCCACCGGCTGTAGCCGACAGCACAGTTCTCTGCATTCTGATGGCAGGAATGGTGGGTCAGCAAGCCCTGACCGTGATCTACCAGTCACCTGTCTGCGATCTACTGGTTGTTGACCCCCCCCCCCCCCCCTTTGCATAATATTCTGGCACCCAACCTGCAACCTTTTGGTACTAAGAACAGCCATTCATGCGTCAAAATGTCAATCCACGTATGGGCAGGCTGGTTGTACACACATCGATCTATTGATCAACTTGTGTACAACCAGCCTGTCAAGTTTCTCTCCAACAATCACTGCCACCGGCTGTAGCCGACAGCACAGTTCCCTGCATGCTGATGGCAGTCTCCCTGTCGTCCGAACACAACAGCAGAGCAGGATGATACCCCCATTTCCACAGTCCTTGACCACCTTCTGTAACATTAAATATGTTTACTCTAACATTCAGCCCATTGATAAAATCAGGAGGTGCATTTGAGGCCACCATATATAGCAAGCTGACAACCACTGACATATTGAATACTGTGGCAGGGTGAGGCCATGCCACTGTGGAAAATGGCAGCATAGGCCAGGTTTTGCACACTTATGGGACAGGTGTGTGCTGGTTTCATATTAGAGCCAGGATTAGAGTTGGGGGCTCCTCCCTTCCGGGAGTCAGTGTGTTTGGGAGCAGAGCGGTGCATGTTTGCAGCGTGCTGTCCAGGGCAAGACTGACCACGGCCTGAGCCTGTGAGAGATGGAGCAGCAGGGAGCTGAAGGAAAGAGACAAGGGAACACACTGGGAAGAGTGTTTGATGGTCTGAAGGACCAAAGCACGGGGCCTGAGCAGCAGAGCTGCAAAGAGAGCCACGAGGCTTAACATTGTTTTTATGTCTTATTGATGGTGGAAACCCTGTGTGAGCAACTGATGTCTTGTGTTGAACTTTTCTTGACCATTTTAAAGTGGAACTATAGCTAACAAAAAATAAAAATTGGCAGACAAGCAGGAATTTTAAGGCAGAAGAGATATGCTTTGTCTCTTCTACATTAAAGTTACTTACCTGCCTGTCCACTCCTGTAAAGTGAGCCGTGCATGCGCAGTTCACTGTACAAATTCAGCAATGCCGAATGTGCCTGAACTCCCATGCATGAGTGACACATCATTTCCGCCAGGCCAATGACAGCAGCCTGTAATCAAGACCCGGAAGCTGGCCGCTCGAAGATCTCAGCGGCCAGGTAGGTAGCAGAGGGACGCCGCATCGCTGGAACTGAGGTGAGTATAGTTCCGCTTTAAATAAAAGTGGGCAGAAAGAGCCCTTAAAGACCCTTCTGGCATGGAGTAAACTCACTGGTTTTCCACTAACATTGAGTTAAAGAAGAACTTTAGGTAATAAATAAAAAAGGCGAACAGGCAGGATTTTTATTTCAGAAAAGACCTGCTTTGTCTCTTCTGCATTAAAGCTCCCTACCTGCCTGTCCACCCCTGTACAGTGAGCACGCAGGAGCAGCTCACTGTACAAATTTAGCAATGCCAAATTTGGCAGAACTCCCGCGAATGCACAGGAGTGACGTCATCCCGGCCCGGGCAATGACAGTGGCTGGCGTTCGAGGCCGGAAGCCAGCTGTCCGCCAGAAGATGTCAGCGAGCTCCAGGACAGCGCATTGCGGGATCCAATGTAAGTATAGTTCTGCTTTAAACAACCCCCAACTTGTCACAATACGTAGAGCTATAGGGCCAATAGCAGAAGATATAGCATGAATACAGAGAAGGCCAACACACACCAAAAAAATTAAAGGAAAACACATCAGATCTCAATGGGGAAATATCTCCTGCTGGATATCTATACTGATATGGACGGGGTAATGTGTTAGGAACGCAAGCATGCGTGTGATGAAAATTCAGAGGACTGAATTCAAAGACACCCTGAAAATTGGAGTGAAAAAATGATGCAGCAGGCTAGTCCATTTTGCTGAAATTTCATTGCAGCAACTCAGAATGGTCCTCAGTAGTTTGTATGGCCCCCATGTGCTTGTATGCATGCCTGACAATGTCGGGGGAGGCTCCTGAGATGATGGATGGTGTCCTGGGGGATTTCCTCCCAGATCTGGACCAGGGCATCACTGAGCTCCTGGACAGTCTGAGGTGCAACCTGGCAGAGTCGGATGGACCGAAACATGACATCCCAGAGGTGTTCTATTGGATTTAGGTAAGGCGGGTGTGGGGGCCATTCAATGGTATCAATTCCTTCATCCGCCAGGAACTTCCTGCATACTCTCACCACATGAGGCCGGGCATTGCCGTGCACCAGGAGGAACCCAGGACCCACTGCACCAGCGTAGGGTCTGACAATGGGTCCAAGGATTTCATCCCGATACCGAATGGCAGTCAGGGTGCCATTGTCTATCCTGTAGAGGTCTGTACATTCTCCATGGATATGCCTCCCCAGACCATCACTGACCCACCACCAAAACGAGCATGCTGAACGATGTTACAGGCAGCATAGCGTTCTCCACGGCTTCTCAGGGTGAACCTACTCTCCTCTGTGAAAAGCACAGGGCGCCAGTGGTGGACCTGCCAATTCTTGTTTTCAATGGCAAATGCCAATCAAGCTCATTGGTGTCGGGCAGTGAGCACAGAGCCCACTAGCGGACGTCGGGCACTCAGGCCAATCTCATGAAGTCTGTTTCTGATTGTTTGGTCAGAAAAATTCACACCAGTGACCTGCTGGAGATCATTTTGTAGGGCTCTGGCAGTGCTCATCCTGTTCCTCCTTGCACAAAGGAGAAGATACCGGTCCTGCTGATGGGTTACAGACCTTCTATGGCCATGTCCAGGTCTCCTAGATTAACAGCCTGTCTCCTGGAATCGCCATCTGCTCTTGAGACTGTGCTGGGAGCCACAACAAACCTTCGGACAATGGCACGTATTGATGTGCCATCCTGGAGGAGTTGGACTGCCTCTTGAACCTCTGTAGGGTTCAGGTATCGCCTCATGCTATCAGTAGTGACACTGACCCTAGCCAAATGCAAAACTAGTGAAAAACAGTCAGAAAAGATGAGTAGGGAAAAAATGTCAGTGGCCTCCATCTGTAAAACCATTCCTGTTTTGGGGGTCATCTCACTGTTGCCCATCCAGTGCACCTGTTGTTAATTTCATTAACACCAAAGCAGCGGAAACTGATTAACAACCCCCTCTGCTACTTAACTGACCAGATCAATATCCCAGGAGTTTAACTGACTTGATGCTATACTCTGCTCAAAAAAATGAAAGGAACACTTTTTAATCAGTGTATATTTAATATAATTACATATATATTTTTTTTACATTCCCCTTGCTAAATCCCATTGTGCAAAAATACACTTACCTCTGAAAGATCATCTCGCTCTTGAAGCACAGATGAGCAATCTACTAAAGGCACCAAAGTGGAAAATGTTGCAATAAACTGGAATGTGATCTGTTTAGAAGACATAAAATGAAATAAAATGATCGCCAATCGAAGTTTGTAGTGATTAAAGGAGATTTTCAAACAAAAAAACTTATCAGTAACAGACCCTAGGCTAATGCACTACAGAAGCTGTCTAGTTAGGTGTGTACAAAATACACAGGTGATCAGATGATCACATTACATCATCCATTGCAACTGCTAGCTACTGGTCTTCACAGACATGAAGACTGAATTCTCTTCTAGACAATGGTATGCTGAGAGGGATAGCTGCACACAAAGAAATGTCTTTAGCAGATGACCAGAAAACACACAAAAAAAAAAAAAAACCCACTGTTCTCAACAGCAAAGGATCAAAGGTTTAAGTGTTTCAGAAATATATGGTTCTAAAATGTACTAGCTCTTACCAGGGTTCATAAAGTGGTTGTAAATCTCAGACATGAACAAAGCATATCTCTCTATAGTGTGTGCATGTCTCAATCCAGAGCACTAGTTTTCATTTCTGTCTGCTGCCTCATTCCTCTGTTATAAACATGAGTCACTTCTGACAATTTTTCCTGACACCAAGAGAAAAAATGGAGACAAGGGAGGGCACAGCCTGTGATTGATAGTCTCAGCTCTGTTCCTGTGTGCTTTGTGGAGGGGGGTGTGTCCCTTTCCTTCAATCAGCTCTGAGAGTTCTCCTCACTGATGTAACTTCAGCTCCCGTCCCCTGCTTTTTAACCAGTTCCCCACCACCCTGTAGCAGAACTACGTCTACATACATTATACACACACACGCGCGCGCGCATTTCTGGGTAGGAGGCGCTCGCGCATGCAGTCCTGACTGCGCCATTTGTGGCTACAGCTGTCGATCACAGAGTCCTGGCTGGGGATTTCCCGCCGCCACCCGGCTATCGCCGAGGAACAGTGAAAAGGGGAGAGGTCTGTGTGTAAACAACACAGCTCTCTCCCCTGTCAGCACCGACAAAGCAGAGCAATACTAAGCAGTATTTTTCTCTAGTAAAGCACACAGTTAACCCTTTGATCGCCCCACATGTTAACCCCTTCCTGCCTAGTGCCATTAGTATAGTGGTGTCAGTGCTTTTTATTAGCACTGATCACTGTATTAGTGTCACTGGGGATGTCAGTGACAGTTCCCCCTCAGTGTCAGAATGCCCACCACCATTACTGGTATAAAAAAAATTTAAATACAAATTCCAGTCTATATACACCGCTATTTGTAGACGCTATAATTTTCATGTAAACCAATTAATTTATATTGGGATTTTTTTTTTAGCAAAGACATGTAGCAGAATACATTTTGCCCTAAATTTATGACGCAATTTGATTTTTTACATTTTTTTTTACTAAATATGTTTTATAACAAAAAGTCAAAAATATTGTTTTTTTTTTTAAAAATGGTTGGTCTTTATAGTTATAGTTTATAGAGCAAAAAGTAAAATACGCAGAGGCGATCAAATACCACTAAAAGAAAGCTCTATTTGTGGGGAAAAAGGACAAATTTCATTTGGGTGCAGCGCTGCATGACCGTGCAATTGTCAGTTAAAGAAACACAGCGCCGTATCGCAAAAATGGCCTGGTCAGGAAGGGGGGTAAATTCTCTGGCGGGCAAGTGGTTAAAGCTGAGAGATCCAGTGTATATTCTATACTTTGAATACAGGGGTGAAAGACAGATGTAGATCGACAGATACAACGTCTGTAGGATTTATTTCATCTCTGTGTATCACCTGGGGCCAGTCATTTCACTGGCTACATGTGAGGGTTTACAACCACTTTAAGCGAAAATTTCTGTAATTATAAAATTGCGTGATACCACATATACAATATAAATCAAACCACTACTACACTGTTATTAGCTCTGTTTGGCTACAAACATGCAGTACCTACCATGCATTTACTAAAGTCATTTGGATCCACGCCAGGGAGAGCTCTCATCAAAAGAGGTAGCATGTGTGTTGGGCCTTCTGGGAACCACCTGCCACCAGCGACCAGGCTGCGTGCCACCCCAATGACACAGCTTAGCGTTGCAGTAAGCTGGTGAGGCTCAGTTAGTGTTTCCAAAGCTGGATAAGTTCTGAATATAGAGGAGGAAAGCAGACCAGAATGTAAGCTTAGACACAAAACTGGGCTAAAAGCCTATATAAAGCTTTAGCAATACTCAATGCCTGCAAGCATCAACATTACTTGCATATCATGCCAGCTATGTCATTATTTGATGGCTAACTAAGTTAACGTGTACTTTTTTTTTTTTCTTATTCTGCCGGAGAGAGAAGAAAAGATTATATATATTTGATTTTGTTGTTGTTTTGCAGAAGCACGGGCCTCCTAACCCTTTTGCCCTAAACTGTTTTGTAACCCTACTATCTCCCATTATTTTTGATTTTGTAAAGCACCGCTCAAACTGTTGGTGCTATATGAATCCTGGATAATAAAAATAAGATAACAAATAGTAATAATACATTTCTTAGACCACTATAGGTTTATATTATATATAGTAGAAGGCAGAAGCTAACCCAGGGGTGGGCAAACTTTTTGACTTGAGGGCCGCAATGGGTTCATATATTGGACCCGGGGGCCGGACCAAGAGTAGATGAATGATGTGTATGTGTCATCCATAGTAAGTATAGTAATATTCCCCCATAGTAAGCATAGTAATTAATCCCCCATATAGTAATTCATCCCCCATATAGTAATTCATCCCCCATAGTAATTCATCCCCCCTATAGTAATTCATCCCCCATATTAATTCATCCCTCATATAGTATTTCATCCCCCACAGTACTATTCCCCCCCATGTAGTAAGCCAAGTCCCCCCTGTGTCAATTCACTTACCTTTGCTCCGCGCGTTCCTCTCGCCGTGTTCCCGCGCCGTTCCGGTCTTCAGGGCGGACTGTGAGAGGAGCCTAGCTCCCCTCACGTTCGTCACGCTGCCCCGCCTACACACATCCTGACAGCCACATCCGCGGGCCGGATTAAAAGGTCCGCCGGGCCGTAGTTTGCCCATTGCTGAGCTAGCCTCTTTCAGACACATGGACAGAGCCATCTTATAAGGGAGTAGTTACTCTCACAGATATTGCTTGGATGTATAATTTTTAGCTTGAGCTGCTGAGCTCCGTAAGCAGCAGGCTTTTTATTACAGGAGGCAAGGAAAAAAATGGAAACGTGAAAAGAAGCTTAAAGCCCCATCAGTTGGGTGTATGAAAAAAAACATTATTTGTAAGTAATATTATACTTTTAGCCAACTAATACAAATAAGAAACTTTTTTTTTTTTTAACCACTTGCCGCCCTGCCACTGTATATATACATGTGCAGGGCGGCACTGGGGCGCAAAACCGTGTTTTAAAACGGGTTCCGCGCTCCCGACGTTTTCGCCGGCAGGGGGCGCTCCCGCCGACCCGCGGGTGACACCATTTGATCCCGGAGGGATCAATCATTCGATTTCAGCCAGTGATGTCTGGCTGAAATTAGATAATCGGTCCCTGTCCTATCCTGTCCTGTGTTTACATTTACACAGGACAGGATATGATGTCATTCTTCTCTGCCTGGACACATTCCGTTCCAGACAAAGAAGACATCCAAACAGTGAGTAAAACAGCACATACACACAGTTAGAACACACCTAGGACACATTTAACCCCCTGATCGCACCCCCCCCCCCCCCCAGTTAACCCCTTCACTGCCCTGTCACCAGTGTCACTGATCAGTGAATCGATTTTTACTGATCACTGTATCAGTGTCGCTGGCGACTTCCGATAGTGTTAGTGCCCCTCCCAGAAAGCGCCAGTTTGCCCGCTAGTACACCAGTAATCCCATTTAACCCCTTAATCTCTCCCCCCCCCCCCAGTTAACCCCTTCACTGCCCTGTCACCAGTGTCACTGATCAGTGAACCAATTTTTACTGATCACTGTATCAGTGTCGCTGGCGACTTCCGATAGTGTTAGCGCCCCTCCCAGATAGCGCCAGATTTCCCGCTAATACACCAGTAATTCCGTCTAACCCCTTGATCGCCCGCCCCCCCCCCTTCCCGAGTTAACCCCTTCACTGCCCTGTCACCAGTGTCATTGATCAGTGAACAGATTTTTACTGATCACTGTATCAGTGTCGCTGGCGACTTCCAATAGTGTTAGCGCCCCTCCCAGATAGTGCCAGTTTGCCCGCCAGTACACCAGTAATCCCATTTAACCCCTTGATTTCCCCCCCCCCCAGTTAACCCCTTCACTGCCCTGTCACCAGTGTCATTGATTACAGTGAACAGATTTTTACTGATCACTGTATTAGTGTCACTGGTGACTTCCGATAGTGTTAGCGCCCCTCCCATATAGCGCCAGTTTGCCCGCTAATGCACGGGATTTTTTTTACCAAAAACATGTAGCAGAATACATTTTGGCTTAAATTTATGACTAACTTTGAGTTTACGATATATTTTTTATAGCTGAAAGTAGAAAATATTGTTTTTTTTTTCAAAATTTTCGTGTTTTTTTTTGTTTATAGCGCAAAAAAAAAAAAAAAAAAGCACACAGGTGATAAAATACCACCAAAAGAAAGCTCTATTTGTGTGAAAAAAAAGGATGTAAATTTTGTTTGGGTACAGCATTGCATGACCGCGCAATTATCATTTGAATTAGTGCAGCGCCAAACAGCAAAAAAAGGCCTGGTCATTAAGGGGGGTAAATCCTCAGGAGCTCAAGTGGTTAATTATACTATACCGGGGTAGGCAACCTCAGTACCTCACTCAGCTGTGATAAAACTTCAAATTCCATCATGCCTCTGGAAGTCATATCTGTGGCTGTCAAAGTCTGCAATGTCCCATGGGACTTGTAGTTCCACAAAAGCTGGAGTGCTAAGGTTGCCTACCTATCCACTATACAGTGTGTTCCCTTTAACAGGATGAGGGTTGTAAAATTTGATCCACCTATCCCCAAAGTTATTTCACCTCTAAGGCCCCGTTCACATCTGTTCATTTGCGATCTCAGGCAGAATAGCCACGATTCTGCCTGCAATCCCAAAGTGCTCTGCAAAAATGACAACTCGCACCACGCCTGTTCAATGGCACCGAAACTCAGCGCAGTTCTGGCGCAACTGTCACAAGATAAATCACGCTGCAATCGTGGCAAACTGCATAGGGTGAAGCTTGATGCAGAAAAGAAGAGTGCGACAATCGTGGCAGAAGCACACCGCATCTAGGTGCCATCGAAAATGCTTGGCACCCGAACATGTAAGTTGTGTTTTGTCATTTTTGCAGAGTGTTTTGGGATCACAGTCAGAATAGCAGCGATTCTGCCTGAGATCACAGACGCCAAGATGTAAAACGGGGCCTAAAACACAAATAGAGTGATAAAACAAAAATATCTTCAGACCTAATATGTAAGCAGCACCAATAGCAAAGCTGAAGTTCAAAATACCATGACAATCAATCAGGTTTCTGTTTAACCTCCCTGGCGGTATGATTATTGCCGATTTTTTGTGCTGAAAGCAGTACCAGCAGTTTTTTTGCATGGAAATATGTAGTTTTTTATTGTAGGCTGTAATTTTTAGGAATAACTCACTGAAATCTGTCCGAACAAGAGTCTAGTAAACATCCCGGGTAGGATAAAACTTGAAACACGAAATCATAAATTATAATTTAATAAATAATCATAAAAAATAATAATATAATAATAAATTTAATTCAATAATATAATCAAACCAAAAACACTGACATTTGAAATACAGAGGCAAATTCGCACATCGCTGAGCAAAGTCGCAAAATTGTTTTCAGTGTCTGATGACGAATTTCCCCACAAATCATTATCACTCAATTCTGCAAGTGGTTCTGATTTACTATCGCTGTTCTAAAACCGCTTTTGACCCAAAGGGACGCTTTTTGGATGCCATGGACTTTTCTAAGTTTCCAGGCAGAAAGAACAGTCAAAATGCAGACAGGGCACCGGACAAAGCAGTAGGGACAAAATGTATGTGAAATGCATTGAAACAGCAATGTTTTACTATGTAATAGTCATTTTTAAAAAAAATGACATTTTTTAAAAATTTCAAATTTGATGCAGGTTCCGGCGCCCGTACATCCCGACGTCACAGGGACCGGAACATGGAAGCCGGATGCCAGCATCGGCCGGAGGAGATGGCCCGGGGACGCTGCAGGGGACGCATCGTGGGAGCGAAGGACAAGGTAAGCTCTGCAGGGACCCCCTGAGCAACGCCGCATGGTAAGCCCGAGTGTAGCTCGGGGTTACCGCTTTTGGTACTGACATTTTACCCCGAGCTACACTCGGGAATACCGCCAGGGAGGTTAAAGTAGAAATCCGGTCTAAACCCAAGCTTATATCTGTTCCCACCCCTATTCTAAGCGTTCTACTACCTAGCCTGACGCGGAAAGATGTGTATACCTAATTCACTCCGGTCCAGTCATGTGATCTCCCCAGTAGCTGGCTTGAGGGGAGAGATGAGAGCAGTGACAATGGCTGCAGAGCCTTGGTGGTGACATCACCCTCAGACATACTATAGGACATCCATGTCTGCAGTGACCAGATCATGTGACCAGAACAGAGCACCCTTAGATTAGGTAAGTATATACATCTTTCCTCTACAGCAGGGATGCTCAACCTTTTCAGCAAGGGTCACTTAAGTGATATGGTAACTAATCATGGGCCACAATGAAATAAAATTGTTCAGAAATTCAATTTTTTATTTTTGATAAAATACCATGATATAGCATGAAAATCATTTTCCTCCTGCAGCTGTTGAATACTGGTGGGAGAGAGAGGAGGAGAAGCCAGATTGTAGAGGTCGCAGGAGGAAAATGCAGCAGATCGGTTCCTGTATAGGTCACCCCTGCTGTCCCTCCTGTTCAAGTATAAAACAATGTGACAGGGAGGTCGCACAGGGCCCCTTGAAGCATGGGACGAGGTCACCATTGCGACCCCTGATGCTACACCTGTGGTTGGGGGTGTGTGGTGAAAACAACTCAACTATGGGGTTTTTACCACCCCCAAACTGCAAATATACACAAGCCTTTACTGTCCTGAGCCCCGTAAAAGGCTGCTTTCACACTAATGCACTGCAGTTTACCTGCAACACAGGTGCGGTGCAGTGCACCTGCAGGCTAGCTGCGCTTTGTCATGGACTTCATTATATCTTGCAGGTGTTGGGCATTTTCTGAAAGCGCGACAAACTTGAAGGATATAATAGATGTGCACTTTTCTGGTTTGGGGTCAAGGGTCACATCAGAGGGCTCTGATGGCCACATGTGGCCAGCGGGCGAAAGGTTGCGCTCCCCTACTCTACAGACAAGCGAGTATAGGGCTTAGAATGGGGGTAGGAATAGGTTTAGGTTTAGACAGGTTTAGACCAGAATTCTATTATTATACAGGATTTATATTGCGCCAATAGTTTGCTCAGCGCTTTACATTATAATGGGAGACAGTACATGAGACAGTACAGTAACAATAGGATTCAATACACGAGGAGTTCGAGGGCCCTGCTCCTTGGAGCTTACAATCTAGGAGGGAGGGGATAGTGGTACAGGAGGAAATAGCTGTGGTAGGAAGGAGTGGTAGGAAGAGTGGAGGAGTTCAGTAATTAGCTGAGGGCGGGGTAGGCTTCCCTGAAGAGATAGGTTTTCAGGGTGCGCCTAAAGGTGAGGAGAGTAGGTGATAGTCTGATGGATTGGGGTAGGAAGTTCCAGAGGATGGGGGAAACCCTGGAGAAGTCCTGGAGACGGGCATAGGAGGAGGAGACCAGGGAACTAGAGAGTAGGAGGTCTTGTGCGGAGGTAAGAGTGCAATTTGGGTGGTATTTGGATACCAGATCGGTGATGTAGTTTGGGGCAGTATTATGAACAGCTTTGTACGTCAATGTTAGCATTTTGAATTTTATCCATTGGGCAATCGGAAGCCAGTGGAGGGATTGGCAGAGGGGGGTGGCGGATACAGAGCGGTTATTAAGGTGGATGAGTCTGGCCGCAGCATTCAAGATAGACTGAAGCGGGGATAGCCTGCGGTGAGGTAAGCCGATGAGGAGGGAGTTACAGTAGTCAAGGCGTGAAATAATAAGGGAGTGAATGAGTTGCTTAGTGGTTTCCGGGGTTAGGAACGGACATATTTTTGGAGATGTTGGAGAATTCTACTTTAAGTCACATGATTAAAAGGTGAATGTTGAACTGTTGCAATGGGTTAGTACATTTCGTCTTCTTCAATAAGCCCCCCTTGCTGTCATTTAACACAAAAGGCAAACAGTGAAATTCATGTAATTATAAAAGCTTTATATGCAGAGCAGACAGACAAAACTGAGAACACAGAAAACAAGAAAAAGCCATAAACCATTTACCTTTCAAGTACTGGGGGTATGACCAGCTCTGGGCGCATCAGGGCAAGATTCTGCAGAGCCTGAGCTGCCTCCAGGCTTCCAGTTTTACTGAACATGGCCAAAAGAACTGGCTGAATTATACTTTCCACAAAGTCCGTCACATCTTGGTCACTCAACTTGTGGCTGTCAGGCACAGGGGTTAGCCAAGACGGCTTCTTGTATCGCTCTCTATGCAGCCTCCGGACAACAGAGCATGGCAATCTCTGCAGAAGTTTCATAAGCTTTGTCTAGCAAAACAAAAAGAGGTGTAAAAATATTTGTGTACAATGATAGGACACAGAAATTAGCAAACATAAGCCAAGTTCCACTTTAAGTAAACGTGTAATAGGAGAAATTTGGGGGTCGCTACTGGTGGTCTCCTACTGAAAATGTCAAGTTACTTGGTTGTGTCTGGTTTCTGCGTCACAAGCAAGCAGAAAATGGAGACAGGAGGAATGGAGGAAAGTAAGAATTCTATTTATTTCAGGTCATAGATTCACAAAGTTCTGAAGCATCACAATGGCAGCCAGGCTGCTAGCATTCTGAGAATCAGAGGTCAGCAATGGCAGCCTACAAAATTCTCTCCAAACTGGTTTTCTGAGAGATATAACACAGCAAAAAACACTTTACTCCTGTGCTGGGAATGGACTCAGCAGAACCAATATGAACATTATGGAATATGCACGGCTTGCTGCCCTCAACAGACCGGGGCGGTTCAAAGTCACTCAATGAAAAAAAAAAAAAAAAAAAAAAAAAAGAAGAGGGCGCACCAACCTAGTGCATTATCGTTTAAAAATATTTAGAGAGAAAAAAAGTATCATACTCACAATGGACATAAAAAAACACAGGCATATCACAATGAACAAGGTGTTCAATCCAAACAGCATCTGAGTCCATACGATGGAACCCTGGATGACCAACTGACTGACGCGTTTCGAGGACTCAGCCTCTTCCTCAGAGCCAACACTTCAAGAGTCTGCACCTCTCCTATATAGGCTAACAAATTTGTTACTCTCTACCAGAGCGGACACTGAAACATGTGATGTCATGCTGTCCATTAACAGTGAAACAGAGTAGTCATTTACCAGGCCAGTCCACCCAAAAGTGGTAAAATATCACTTAAGAATTTTAAAGAGCAAGCCTACCGAACTACATCACTGACCTAATATCCAAGTACCGCCCAGCACGCACACTCCGCTCCTCACAAGACCTCCTTCTCTCTAGTTCCCTGGTCTCCTCCTCCCATGCCCGCCTCCAGGACTTCTCCAGGGTGTCACCCATCCTCTGGAACTCCCTGCCCCAACCCATCAGATTATCACCTACTCTCCTCTCCTTTAGGCGCACCCTGAAAACCCATCTCTTCAGGGAAGCCTACCCCACCCACTGCTAACTTGCCGACCTCCTCCACTCTTCCTACCACTCCATCCCCCACAGCTTTCTCCTCCTGTGCCACCATCCCTTCCCTCCTAGATTGTAAGCTCGAAAGAGCAGGGCCCTCGATCCCCTCATGTTTTGCATTGTATTGGTATTGTTCTGTCACATGTTCTGTCCCCCTTTGTAATGTACAGAGCTGAGCGAACTATTGGCGCTTTATAAATACTGTATATAATAATAATAATAATAATACCTTATCATGGATGTGACCTCTGTTGAGGCTAACCCTTGGTCTTATTTCATTTGTTACATTAGAGGTCTTGCTAGGTGATAAATCTGTCTCAAAATGGGTCCTAGTGCTTCTGTTTAGCATTTCTTGCCTTTCAACAACTTTTGATAAATGTCTCCCTTTGCAATCAGGCAAATAAATCATAAACCTACACTCTATTGTCAAAAGTCTATGAACAGCTGACCATCACACCTATGTGCACTTACCATCCCATTACATGATCACGGGCACCAATATGGCGTTACCCTAATTCCATATTAGTGTTTACTTTTTGGCATTACTGAAAACGCCGTTTAACCAGACTACCTTCCCAAAGTTTTACCACAATTCATCAGCAGGCTAGTCATGAGGTTAGCTCTGATTACACAATATCTTCAAGGCTGCTGATGTGTTTCGTTTTTACACTTTCCCACACCTATTTGTGCAAAGTCGCGGTCAAGTATTTTCCAAACAAAGGCTCATTTAACCACCGCATGTTGATGTCCCTTGGTAGTGCCTTGGAAGAACGCTAAGGAGGGCTGCCATTTCACAATGTCTGGCACTGTCTGACAGCACAAAGCTCGGAAAGTCAAAAAAATAGAATTTCCCCACTACAGATGAAGACTGCCAGAACACCCGAGCCCTTGCATATAACCAATTGGTGCTCCTTTATTGCAGGGGTTAAAATTTCGAGTCTAGACCTACTAGCCAGTCACAAAACTTACTCTCCACCAGTTGCCCCACCAAACCTTGCCCAGGTCTGCCTCCAACCCTGCCCCCGGCCCACCCCCAACCACGCCCCTTTAAGGCTTATGAAATTACATTTTTATTTAGAATAAATAGTTCAAATATACACAGTAATGTATATCCCCCCCCCCCTGTACTCCATTATAGTGATATGACGTGTATACAGTAATGTATATCCCCCCTCCCCTGTACTCCATTATAGTGATATGACATGTATACAGTAATGTATATCCCCCTCCCCTGTACTCCATTATAGTGATATGACATGTATACAGTAATGTATATCCCCCTCCCCTGTACTCCATTATAGTGATATGACATGTATACAGTAATGTATATCCCCCCTCCCCTGTACTCCAATATAGTGATATGACGTGTATACAGTAATGTATATCCCCCCTCCCCTGTACTCCATTATAGTGATATGACATGTATACAGTAATGTATATCCCCCTCCCCTGTACTCCAATATAGTGATATGACGTGTATACAGTAATGTATATCCCCCCTCCCCTGTACTCCATTATAGTGATATGACGTGTATACAGTAATGTATATCCCCCTCCCCTGTACTCCATTATAGTGATATGACGTGTATACAGTAATGTATATCCCCCCTCCCCTGTACTCCATTATAGTGATATGACGTGTATACAGTAATGTATATCCCCCTCCCCTGTACTCCAATATAGTGATATGACGTGTATACAGTAATGTATATCCCCCCTCCCCTGTACTCCATTATAGTGATATGACGTGTATACAGTAATGTATATCCCCCCCTCCCCTGTACTCCATTATAGTGATATGACGTGTATACAGTAATGTATATCCCCCCTCCCCTGTACTCCATTATAGTGATATGACGTGTATACAGTAATGTATATCCCCCCTCCCCTGTACTCCATTATAGTGATATGACGTGTATACAGTAATGTATATCCCCCTCCCCTGTACTCCATTATAGTGATATGACGTGTATACAGTAATGTATATCCCCCCCCCTCCCCTGTACCCCATTATACTGATATGACATGTATACAGTAATGTATATCCCCCCCTCCCCTGTACTCCATTATAGTGATATGACGTGTATACAGTAATGTATATCCCCCCCCTCCCCTGTACCCCATTATACTGATATGACGTGTATACAGTAATGTATATCCCCCCTCCCCTGTACTCCATTATAGTGATATGACGTGTATACAGTAATGTATATCCCCCTCCCCTGTACTCCATTATAGTGATATGACGTGTATACAGTAATGTATATCCCCCTCCCCTGTACTCCATTATAGTGATATGACATGTATACAGTAATGTATATCCCCCTCCCCTGTACTCCATTATAGTGATATGACATGTATACAGTAATGTATATCCCCCCCCTGTACTCCATTATAGTGATATGACGTGTATACAGTAATGTATATACCCCCCTCCCCTGTACTCCATTATAGTGATATGACATGTATACAGTAATGTATATCCCCCCTCCCCTGTACTCCATTATAGTGATATGACATGTATACAGTAATGTATATCCCCCTCCCCTGTACTCCATTATAGTGATATGACGTGTATACAGTAATGTATATCCCAGCTCCCCTGTACTCCATTATAGTGATATGACGTGTATACAGTAATGTATATCCCCCCCTCCCCTGTACTCCATTATAGTGATATGACGTGTATACAGTAATGTATATCCCCCTCCCCTGTACTCCATTATAGTGATATGACATGTATACAGTAATGTATATCCCCCCCCCCCTGTACTCCATTATAGTGATATGACGTGTATACAGTAATGTATATCCCCCTCCCCTGTACTCCATTATAGTGATATGACATGTGTACAGTAATGTATATCCCCGTCCCCTGTACTCCATTATAGTGATATGACGTGTATACAGTAATGTATATCCCCCCTCCCCTGTACTCCATTATAGTGATATGACGTGTATACAGTAATGTATATCCCAGCTCCCCTGTACTCCATTATAGTGATAGTACATGTTTGTATACAGTACTTACTGTCCCCCCGGCGGTGGAGAGGGTGTCTCCTCTCAGCGGAGAAGAGCGGACCTCTCCTGCACCTGTCTCCTCGGTGGCGGTGCCGCAGAAGCCGGAAACTGGAAGTTGAAACCCGGAACTCGGCTTCACAATGAGGCGTGGAGCACAGGTGCAGTCGCTCCATGCTTCATCTGTGCTCACCGCTCGCAGCCGCTCACTCGCATTTGGCAAGCAGGCGAGCGGCTTTTTTCAAGCCCTGCTTTATTGCATAGCTATATTTTTCATTTTGGTTATAACCCCTGTAAAGTTTATTTTAGCCATCTGTGTCCCATTGGGGAGATTTACCTTACTTCTGTTCCCATATGGGACAAGAAGTGAAGAGGAAATCCCTGCAAATTAAGGGAATGTCTTAGGGCCCCTTCCAAGTCCCCAGAACTAGTGTCCTCATTGAAAGATTTCCCCTCTATTACTTTTTGGGGACAACACAAAACTTGAGATTTTCTTTTACTTTCACTTTCAATGAGAACAGTAACAGGACAAATAAAGAGGGTGAACCTCCCTAAAAGGGTTACCGGCAGCAATAAAATCTGATAGGGGATCTAATCCCTCTCCACTCTGTTCAAAACTTCCAGGCAGGCAGATACTGTATGTATACTACTTTGTGTGTGTATAGCACACTTCTCACTTTAGTAGCAACACCTAAATTCTCAACCAGTTTTCATCAGAGTGCCTACTCTGCAAGGAAAGGAAAACAAGTGTGTGGAAGAGTTGTAGAAAATTACTCCAGGGATGGTATACAAGGAAGACACACAATCTGATCACAGGATGATTATTGATGAGATCTAACAATTATTGTCTTGTGTGTATAAATGTAAACAACGACACTAAAAACACCATTTGGTAATAAAGGTGGCCATACACGGTTCCAATTCTGGCCAGTTCTGTTGGCACTCCACCACTACACAAAAGCTGATAGACTTTTGTCGAAGGAACTGGTCAGAAAATTCTTGACCGAATAGTGCCTGCGTTCAGCCAGATGCAGTCACTGTTTGGTTATTAAAGCAGAACTAAACCCATCGATTTTAACCGTTTTATAAAACAGTTACTTTCCTGGCATGCCGAGAATGCTGTCACATTTGATTGAGCTCTCAAGCAAACTGTCAAAGCATCAAATGGCTGGATTCAGAGGTGTAACTAGAACCTTCAGAGCCCTAGTGCAAGAAACCATAAAGGGCCCCACTGATCCCCAGTTGGGTCCCCCCCACGGTGGCGGAACACAGTGCAACCTTTGCGACCCTGTTAGACCTGCCACTGGTGTCAGAATTATTTTATTTTTGTTATTTTTTTTCTTTACAATTTTTTTTTTCCTTTATAATTTTTTTAGGTGCCCCATTGGGGGCTTTGGAGAAATAACAGGGTCTAAACAAACATGATGTTTCACTTTTGAGACAAAGAAAGGAATATTAAAGACAGAACCTTCAATCTCCTTCTCTACAGCCTCAGCAGCACAGAATGAATGGATAGGAATAGATCTGTACACAGTTTCCTGTTCATTCATAAATTGAAGCATAGTAAACAGTTTCCTATGCCTCAGTTGTAAATGAACAGAGTCAGTGATTGGTACTGACACATTTACCATCCCTTTCCCACTCTGCATCCTGACAGATTCCCTACAGCAGCTGTCGGGAGGGACTCGGCAGCGCTGTGGAGGACAGGGGCGGGGGGGTTTGGGGGTGGCAGGGAAGAGTACACAGGAGTCTGGTGCAGCAGGAGGTGGAAAGGAGGGGCAGCGGGGCTGCATGTAGAGGAGCTTAACCCTCCATTTTCCTGCAGAAAGAAAATTGAGGGGATCAGTTCCTCTATATGCTGCTTCTACTATGCAGGTGTACAAGGGACCGCATAGGCCCCCTGGAGCATGGGGCCAGGTCACACCTGCAACCCCTATATGTATGCCCCTGGCTGGAGTCCTAACTGATCACATGTGCAGCACCATGGCAGTTGCAAATCAAACAAAGACTAAGATGGCAGCTTCCGTGGCTGAAAAGGAAAAGAGAGTTTAGTTCCGCTTTAAGCAGCAGCTGTTGAAAACAATAGCCAGCAACAGGGACTCCTCTATCCAATGCTGTTAAGCATGGATGGAGGAAATCCATTAATTTCTCTCATACAGCTCAGGGGGGAGAGAGATCTATACATGTATGGCCAGCTTAAGACCGTTTACCCTTTTTATGGTAAAGTATATAAAGACAAACTGTTGTGTGTACATACAGCTGGAACAACTAGGGGGAAAAAAAATATACTTTTGCACTTGCGCAAATTACCAATTTGTTTTTTTTAATTGATCTGAGTAATAGGGTTTTTGATGCAAAAGGTGTTGTTTTCCTATGTTTAATGTGCATTTTGAAATGGAAAACAATTACATACAACTGGAACATTGTGCAGTCAAGCAAGACTAATTGCTACAACATGCATCTTGTGCAATTTGCAAGCAGTTTGGAGACTTCTCTACTACGGTCAATAAATATTGGCAACGATCCTAGCAGCACAATTAAAGAGGAACTTCGCCCAAAGAGGGAAGTTCCACTTTTCTGCCTTCCCCCCCCCCCTTCCTCTAAAACACTTTCTTTTTTTTGGGGTGGGGGGGGGGGGCAGGTACTAGTTTTGTTAGGTAGCCACTTCCACTCGGATCACCTAGGCAATCTAACTAGAAGGCACCCCCCCTACCTCAGCCTGCAGCCTCTAAGGACACGTCACAAGTCCCAGAAGGCTGCAGGGCCATTCACAAAACGCAGTACGGCTCGTATATGCGCAGTGGGAAGCCGGCTATGAAGCAACAAGAAGCCACAGCCGGCTTCCTACACCAAAGATGCGCTGGGGACCCAAATACCGGTGATGAACTGACCAAGGTGAGGATGGCACTGGATCCTTGGAAAGGTAAATGTCATTTTATTAAAAAGTCAACAGCTACAGTATTTGCAGCTGCTGATTTTAATTTTTTTTGTTCCTAGGCTTCATAGGTCTAGCCTTAGGAGAAAGGAATTAATAGTACTGTATATGTACTGGACATTTCCTAGTAGAGGCTCAGTGACAGCTGCCGTGTCATAAATAGCTCAAGATTCTTGAAGAGACGCAGCGTCATGTTCTGTGGATGTCATGATGGTCTTTTCTTCATACAGCATAGCTCTACCAAGAATTTTCCTTCAGACAGGCGGGATGAATACATCCTTAACAAACATAAAGCAACTCCTTTTTCTTTTATACACAGTTTATCCATTACATTGATCATGCAGGCAGAGTACTCACCAACCACCTGCCATTGTTTGACGGATGGTAAAAAGAAGCAATGCTATTGAAGAGCCCCGTTAGATGTTTCTGTACGGTCTTGCTTGGTCCTCCCTGCACAGAACAAAACACATATCATTATAGGTTTATGATCAACGTGGGGGGATGTAGAAATCTGAAGCTGTCAAACCTAACAGCAAGCACACTCTTTTTTTTTTTTTGTATCTACTTAAAAACATTGAGATGTCTAAAAACTGTGCACAGCCGCAACAAAAAAATCTTCATATTTCATCCATTACGAATACTTCCTAAGATCCTCAGTGCCGTATCGTGTCCATAATGCTCTATTATCCTGATTGTAGTAGTTTGGGAAAATTTGGCTACTGGATGGCGCTAACGTCTGTCACATTCATACATCAAACTGTGGTGAGGGATTGGAAGCCCTGTCAAGTTTTTATTGCTTTCTGTCTTCATTTACTGGAGTTTATTTATTTCAGGTACTTATATAGCGCCGTCAATTTACGCAGCACTTTACATATATATTGTACATTCACATCAGTCCCTAACCCTCAAGGGGCGTACAATCTAAGGTCCCTAAACATACATACACATACTAGGGACAATTTAGACAGGAGCTAGTTCACCTACCAGCATGTCTTTGGAGTGTGAGAGGAAACCGGAGTACCCGGAGGAAACCCACGCAGGCACAGGGAGAACATGCAAACTCCAGGCAGGTGGTGCCGTGGTTGGTATTTGAACCAATGACCCTAGTACTGCCAGGCGGAAGTGCTAACCATTTAGCCACTGTGCTGGAGTTGATTTACTAAAGGCAAATAGGCTGTTCATTTTGCAAGGAAAGTTACATTTTGCAAGAGAATTTTCCCCCACAGCTTAGTGAATGTGGTGATATTTTACTTTGCAAAGAATACCTAATCATGTGCAAAAAAAAAAAAATTTTTTTTGCTTGGACATGACTGGATAACAGGAGTCAGCAGAGCGTAAAAAAACTAATCATTGGGCAAAAATAAAAGCCAACCATATTCACAATGTATTAATCTCTCCAAAATATACTGTATATTTAAAAGCAGTGCCATGCATACTTCCTGTTTTTTCTTATTTTTATTTCAAAATGTCTGTTAGGTATTCATTTGCAAGTTTGCAGGTATGTGCTCAATTAAAAAAAAAATAAGTGTATTGCTTAAAAGCAACAAGTGTCTGATTTCAACTTGATACCAGCCTCTTGCAATCTCCTGTGCAGCAGAGCTCTGACTGAGAGTAGGAGAAGCTGCATTGCAGTGTTCATGTGCTAACAAGGAACATGATGCTAGCAGGTGAGAGCAGAGTGACACAGATGTCACATGGCTGCTTCCTCACCTAAAGAAATGACAAGATCTAGTTGTATTTATTTATTATAGGTACTTATATAGCGCCGTCAATTTACGCAGCGCTTTACATACATACAGCGCTTTACGTACATTCACATCAGTCCCTAACCCTCAAGGGGTGTACAATCTAAAGTCCCTAACTTACATTCATACACAAACTAGGGACAATTTAGACAGGATTCAATTAACCTACCAGCATGTCTTTGGAGTGTGGGAGGAAACCGGAGTACCCGGAGGAAACCCACGCAGGCACATGGAGAACATGCAAACTCCAGGCAGGTGGTGCAGTGGCTGGGATTCGAACCAACGACCCTAGTACTGCCAGGCGGAAGTGCTAACCATTTAGCCACTGTGCTGCCCCACTAGTTGTAGTTGTATTACAGTAAAAAAAAACCTGCAGTCTCCAGTCCCCGGCCTTTGCTGTGTGGTATGGTGGTGTAAATCCCAGCAATGAAAGTAAAGAAATACAAGTTATTAAGGGCTCGTTCACACATGACTTTTTCCACACTGGATAAACACCAGTCACTGTTAGGGCATATTACAAAAAAAAAATCGTTTTCTATCTGCCCTGTTAGGACTGCAGCACAGCCCAGACAACTGCAGAGGGTTAGGCACTACGTGTCACTGCACTGTGCTGCTGTGCATTGATATGAATGGAGTGTCACTATCTGCACTTCAAATAGGGTTAGCAAAAAAAGAAAAGGAAAAAAAAAAAGGAAATTGTGTAATGCGCTGAAAAGCGAATCACACTGCCCCCTCACCAAGGCACACCGCAATTGAAACAGGCAGCTGTCCGCAAACCAGACTGGGTCATTTAGTGTGCGGGCCGCGTGATAGGGCCCTTAGCAGGTAAAACAGTTCTTATATATGCATTTCATCTCTGCACCCAGAGTTCAGCATTACATTTACAGTAGCTTCATACTAATTCTGTTCATATACATTAGAAAAGGAAAAATAAAGTCGAAACTTCAGGAATTCAGCCACTTTGTAAAGTGAAGGCATGCCCAAGGAAGGGCATGACATCTCCTGAACTTATCTCTTATTTATATCTGACAGGTTTATGGCTCTGCAGTAGCATACACTGACACTTGAGGCTGTGAGAGAGGAGAGAGAGGCACACAGAGGAGCCATGTCTGCCACTCCCCTCTGCTGCCCATTCAAAGAAGTCTTTGTATTTTGTGAATGAGTTCACTTAATACAAAGGCTTCTGTGATTGGGCAGAAGGAGAGGAGGGGCAGGCACAGTAGCTGCACCGACTCTTATGTCGAAGATGCTTAGACCTGAAGCATCAGTGTCGGGCTCCTGGAAATACAGCAATAGCCGTAGACAGGGAGTGCAGTAAAAGGGTCAGATGTAAATAATAGAGATACGCCCAGGAGATGTCATGCACCTCCTTGGACCTAACTCATAGTGTGCCTTCACTTTTTACAAATTCCTGGATTTCAGCTTTAAAGTTTACAGTGATGCTGTACAGCATGATACAGAAGCACCAATTCAGGCTGCAGCCATGTAGTACCAGTGGGTGGATAGTGAACTATTCTCTGTAATGGAGAGCGAATCCCAAATGAGTCATTTCCTTGCTGTGGCATTAGACGCAGGTGCTGTTCCAAAGGGCACACCGCTAATGTTTTATCAATTGACTTAAATATAACCTTTACATTTTTCTAATGCAACGTCACAAATGCACAAAACGTAGCACTATGCAAGGACTAATTCATTACAAACAGGTGCTCAGATACACCCATTCTAAACAAAGTTGGGTGCAGGGGCGGACTGACCATTTGGAAACTCAGGCACTGCCCTCGGGCCCGGGTTCAGTAGGGGGCCCCCATGAGATGCCTCTGGTACCTTTTTCATAGGCTTTTTTGAGTTTGGGCAAGGACACAGGGGCCCCATGATCCCCTATTGTCCCATGAGTTGTCAGTCCGCCCCTGGTTGGGTGTATTGACAATGTATTTCTTTCAAGCTCAGGTACTCTAAAAGCACTAAGCGGTCATCAAAAAAGTGTGCAATCATCTGGATCTCATGTGCACACAGCCTTGGAGTGCTACAGCAGAAAATCCTACCAATTGCAAGTGCCAAAATAGATGATACAATTTTCTTTCCTGCAACTATGGGAGGGGGACGGGGAGAGGTGTGGAAAGCCATCCCTGCCAGAGAACATATTGATTAATGCTAGCGGCTATAAACACTGGCAATAGTCCTGTAGTACCCAAGTCGTTCAGAAATTGAACTGGGTACAAGCAATCAAATTGGGTACAATCAGCCTGCCCACAGATGGTTGGAATATCATCCAGTCTCTGCTGGACAAACCAAGATTCATACCATCTATGGCAGGCTTTACAAATTACAACATCCTGCACAGCCAAAATTTTGTTCTTAAAATAACCTCTAAAATAATTTTACTAAAACCAAATCACTGGGGATCAAGGACAAAAAAAAGCCTCTAATTAGCACCACCCTTACCAGACAACTAAAAGATCATTGGTGTCATGCTATTGGTTTTGCCAAGTGGTGTTGGTCCTTGATGGGAGGTCAATGTGCCACAGCTCAAGGAATCCCTAGCAACCTTTGGAGGAAACTTGAATGAGAATGGCTGGTCTAGCCTATCCTTTACCTATCCAGTACTGGAAAAATTGCTACAGGAAGCAGACAAGACCCAGCTGGTAAACAACAACTAGGCAGCCCCATCTGGCTCTCCCAAAACCTCCATTTGCTCACCATTCCCCACATGGTCAAGCTCTGCTCCATTGCAATCCTTGGCGCTGGCATGCAAACCACATAACCTCCGTACTGGGGAAGCTGCCTCCTGCTTAGGGTTTATTACATCTTCCCGGCTGAATGCGGGCAGCCTGCCTCCCCACTGTACCTGCATTTGGATTCACCAAGTCTCGGTGGGCACGGCGTAATCCTGCTGTTCTTGGGCTCCGTGCCCACTGAAGACAGACTGAACTCCCTTGCATAGCCAGATCAGAGGTGGCGTGACTTAGGTTGCCTAGCGAAAGGATAGCAGCCAGCCCTGGAGATAAATACCTGACTGGGGCCCGGGCGCAGGCAGTTTCCCTGCTCTCTATCCCCCTGTGCTGTGTCCTGTGCTGTGGCAAGACCCCCACACCCCTCTTACCAGGACTCCATGGACAGTGACAGACCCCTGCCTGAGCTGCCTCTGACCAAATGCTCTCTACTGCTGGCTGGGAAGTCACTTAATCCCCCTGCCATCCTTGCTGTGTCCTTGGACATGTTGCCTGGACTATGGACTTAGTCCCTGTTGTGCTGGACTCTTGCCCAGCCCCCCCCCCCCCCCCCCCCCCCTCTCTGCTGTGTGCTCGATTTTTATCTTGTACTAAGGACTTAACCTTTGCTCTGCTGGGCCCCTGTCAACCCTTGCTGTGCCCCGTGATAAGGACTTAACCAATGTTGTAATCAGATCACTGCCTACCATTGCTGTGTGTCCAGAATACCTCCCTGTGTTGTGGACTTACCTTTGCTGTGCTAGTTTACTCTGATCCTTACCCATTCTCTGCCAGCCCCAATCGTTCAATAAAAAGCCTTGCGGTTAATCCTGCTCTCCACATGTGTTCTGTCCCACCTACACCTCTATCACAGGTACTTTTTATGCTATATATCAGAAAGCCAAAAAAAGTGGCATAATCACAGCTTTTACATTTCTCAGATGCAACCTGCAAAAAGTTCAAGGACACTTCTAGTGTCTCTGTTATCTTTTAGGGACCAACCAACCATATTTATTACACTCTGCTCAAATGATATAATCTGGGCATACACCCCTCTCAACTGTTTCCCTGACTGTGGAAAAACAGCAGACTACTTTCATGCTGTGTGGACCTGTCCACTAGTGCAATTATACCAGACTGAAGTTAACAATTTCATTTCAACTTCTTTAAGGGCTACAGTAAAAAGACCACACTCCATGGAAATCCCACCAGTACGTTTATTCTGCATAACTGGTTGTTAACACAGTCCCCAACGTTAGGCTGCACCCCTGACATATTTCGCCCCTACTAGGGCTTAATCAGAGAGGCATACCTCTAGGATTAAACTCTGAGAGGGGCGCAAAATGTCAAAGGGTCATAGCCTAAGGAAGGTCTGCTTGATGGCTTGACAGTCTAGCCTAAGCCTAACCTCAATCATTATAACTTGATAACTAACAATCACTATGTCTCAATGCCAAGCTACAATGTTTAGTTGATGTAGTTGGTTATGTGGTATCATCTATGTCTCTCATTCCCAATGCAGGGGCAAGGACTACAAGAAACTAGGAAAGACTCTATGCAGTCTAAGCATAACCAATTATGACAGTTCCAGATTACACCCATCACAGGGAATATATGCAATGTTGTGGGACCAAAGAGTGGCAATAGCAACGAGTAATAATACTGATCATTGTATTGTGGGATGGACAAGGACTTGTCTGATCTCTAAATTGGGCTTGAAACCAAGAGCTGCATACTAGGCTTGAAAGGGTTAGGGGATGCTGGGGCTTACAGGGGAGGAATGTTCACAAGCTATTGCTATGTGCTGGCAGCTTCAGGTGCCTGCCATCACACAGTAATGTTAGCATTTGCTCTGTAATAAAAACGGTCTGTATCATCCAAAGTCACCTGTCTTATTCCTGTGTTTTTCCCTTTCTTTTTCCAAAGCCTGCATGAAAGCAAAGATCGTATTCAGGGAGTAGTGGTTAATGATTCATACTCTGATTGGTCTAGGCTTGTCAGTGGTGTACCCCAAGGTTCAGTGTTGGGACCCTTACTTTTTAATATATTTATAAATGATATAGGGTCTGGGATTAAAAATTCCATTTCAGTCTTTGCAGACGACACCAAGCTGTGCCGTGGAATAACGTCCTTACAGGATGTCTCCAACTCACAAGCCGACCTCAATGCTCTGTGTAATTGGGCAACTATGTTGCAAATGATGTTTAATGTTGATAAATGTAAGGTTCTGCACAATTGGGGGATAAGAATATGCATGCATCATACATACTGGGGGAGGTACAACTGGGGGAATCAATGGTGGAGAAGGATCTGGGGGGGGGGGGGGTCAATGGTAGAGAAGGATCTGGGGGTTCTGGTAGATCACAAGCTTAATAATGGCATGCAATGCCAAGCTGCAGGTTCTAAAGCAAGATAAATCATCTTGTATTAAAAGAGATATAGACTCCAGAGAGAGAGAGAGAGAGATCATTTCCCCCGGTACAAATCATTAGTAACACCTCATCTGGAATATGCAGTTCAGTTTTGGGCAACAATTCAAAAAAAGAACATTGGGGAACTGGAGAAAGTACAGAGAAGGACAACCAAACTGATAAGAGGCATGGAGGAGATCAGCTATGAGGAAAGATTAGAGGAACTGAATTTATTCTCTCTTGAGAAGAGGAGATTAGGGGGGATATGATTTCCATGTATAATACATAAGGGGGGGATATGATCTCCATGTATAATACATAAGGGGGATATGATCTCCATGTATAATACATAAGGGGGATATGATCTCCATGTATAATACGTAAGGGGGGATATCATCTCCATGTATAATACATAAGGGGGATATGATCTCCATGTATAATACATAAGGGGGGGATATGATCACCATGTATAATACGTAAGGGGGGATATCATCTCCATGTATAATACATAAGGGGGATATGATCTCCATGTATAATACATAAGGGGGATATGATCTCCATGTATAATACATAAGGGGGGATATGATCTCCATGTATAATACATAAGGGGGGATATGATCTCCATGTATAATACTTAAGGGGGGATATGATCTCCATGTATAATACATAAGGGGGGATATGATCACCATGTATAATACATAAGGGGGATATGATCACCATGTATAATACATAAGGGGGGGATATGATCTCCATGTATAATACATAAGGGGGGGGGGATATGATCTCCATGTATAATACATAAGGGGGGATATGATCTCCATGTATAACACATAAGGGGGGCTATGATCAACATGTATAATACATAAGGGGGGATATGATCACCATGTATAATACATAATGGGGGGATAATATGATCTCCATGTATAATACATAAGGGGGGATATGATCTCCATGTATAATACATAAGGGGGGATATGATCTCCATGTATAAATACATCAGTGATTCATATAGTGAACTCGGTGTAGAGTTATTCACACTGAGGTCATCAAAAAGGACAAGGGGGCACTTTACGTCTGGAGGAAAAGACATTTAATCTCCAAACATGGAAAGGTTTCTTCACAGTGAGAGCTGTGAGAATGTGGAATAGACTCCCTTTAGAGTTGGTTCTGGCCAGCTCAGTGGATTGCTTTAAAAAAGGCCTGAATTCTCTCTTAGATACACAGAATATAACTGGATACTAACATTTATAGGTAAAGTTGATCCAGGGAATATCCTTTTGCCTCTCGGGGGGATCAGGAAGGAATTTTGTTTCCCTGCAGGAGCAAATTGGATCATGCTTTGCTGGGGTTTTTTTTGCCTTCCTCTGGATCAACTCTGGGTATAGGATTATAACTTTTTTTTAATGGTTGAACTTTTGTCTTTTTTCGGCCAGACTATGTAACTATATATGTAACTATGTAAAACAGTTGCTATAAAGCAACAAGGACTGCTTTATGGAAGATACCGAATAGAAGAAACACTTTTTTTTTTTTTTTTTACATTACAATGCGAGTAACAGCTGCTAGTTAAAAAGACTTTAATCCATCATACAATCCTTCTTTGCTGCCTACCATCATTGCAGATATCCATATCACAGCATGTCCAATGTCATAAGCATTAGCCAGTTGTCTTGGTACAAGCACTTGACTGCTTCCTACGGGGAGATTTAAACTACGCAGAATCCTGGTAAACACCTGTAATAAAAGCACATGTTGAATATATGCCAGAAAAAATCAAAACGCATAGTTTGTAAACAAATATTACCAGCCTACGTCCTGCAACAAGTCCGTACTGGCACGTTACCCGTAATGTGTAGTGGGCAGTGGATAGGACATATAAATAAATCAAACCTAAGCTTGAGTAATACAGCTCTGGCTCCAATTTGTGATCAGGGCTTGGCTACTATTTGCTTAATATTCAGAATCCACAGAATAGTTAGCCGTGTGCTGATGATAGCAGTCGGTCAGTCTCTTGCAACATTGCAGCAGTCTCTAGCAGGTCTAATTTGCCTATTTAATCTAAATCTGTCATTGGCATCCTTAAGGATTAATTGTGCAAGGGTGTGGGCATAGCAGCAACTTCAAGGTTTATAATTGGTATTGGAAAAGTTAGAATCACTCGGTGTTAGGGCAACTGGGGCAATCTGGAATCTCAGAACATGTGCAAGCACCTCTAGGTGTCTCCTCCCAGTCTTACTAGCAGTTTACCAGCTTTAACCTGTACGCAGGTTTGCTTTAGTCACACCCTAAAAATCAGCACTTGGCTAAATACTCTGGGTCACTCAAATCAAAAATGCTCTATAGGCTATAGTGGTTAGGTCTGAAAACCAATGTTCTGGGTGAATTCAGCCATAGATGCTATTGAAGTCAGGAAGGACTCAGTTACCAAAAGCTTTCACGACATTAACTGCAACTGCTCTTTGCAGCCTACAAGTCCAAGATGACAAAGAAAAGAAGGAACAATGGAAGTGCAAAGAAGGGACGTGGGCATACCCAGCCTATCTTGTGCACCAACTGTGCCCGCTGTGTCCCAAAGGACAAAGCTATTAAGAAGTTTGTGATCAGAAACATTACTGAGGTTGTAGCTGTCAGGGATATCACTGATGCTAATGTCTTTTATTCAAATGCACTGCCTAAGCCAGCCCTGGGGTGCCTTGAGGTTTCTTCAGGGGTGCCTTGGCAAAATGTCTAAAAATTGCCCAGACCGTGTATACAAGCCAGAGGGTGGAACACGCCTGCCTTTTAGCCACACAAGCCACAGGTTTTCATTGTGCACCATTACGAACTTCTAGCCGCCGGCATCCTGACAACCAATGACATCATCAGTTGATAAGGAGGATGTCAGCTGCCTGCACAACATCCTAATTTGCCACTCCCCTGCCCCTCTCCATCAGTGCTGGGGTTATCTCAGTGATGGAGAAAACTGAAGAAGAAGAGAAACACTGGAATACTACCCAGTACCAGTGTGCAGAAGTGTATTTGCTTTGGAAGAATATATCACCTCTAATGTTGGGTGTCCTATGTGTGTGGATGTTGCTGTGTTATATAAAACGATTAGAATAGTTTTTCACATTTTAGAATGGGGTGTCTCATGATTGTCCATAATTTTAAAGGGTGCCTTGACTTAGAAAAGGTTGCGAAACACTGGCCTAAGCTAAATGTGCTACTTTGATAGCTGTGCCATTTACAGCAAGGTGGTTGGAAGCCACTCCCATAAGGCACGTAAGGATCACAAACCACCACCACGGTTCTGGCCTGCGGGTGCACCTCCAAGAGAAGCTCCCAAACCATTGTAAGGAAATCTGTTCAGATGTCTTGTTTAATAAACTGTCAACAATTTAAAAAAAAACTGCAAAGAATTTTATACATTATAAAACCAGACAAACTACAAATCGCTTACCTTTGGAACATATGGATCCCAATCAACGTACCCAATGTTATCATTTGCCAAGCGTGCAAAGAGATTCACTAGGTGCTGTGGTTTGAAAATAAACACAAATTTTAAACTTCATTAAGCTGTATTCATACTTTATATGCATACAAACTGTACTGAGATCTTTAACAGGAGTGTATGGGGTGCATCAGTATCTAAACTCCCATATCAACCAAAGCTGAGCACATAACAAAATATCAATTTTTATAATTTTTTTTAATTAAAAATTACTTATGGCAAAACAAACTATCCCAGCAAACAAGTACCATATAGTATATATTTGAAATGTTTTCTATTTGTCATTAAGGTAGGGAACACAACTCTGATGACTTGTTTAATTGCATGTATATGTATAGGTCATATATAGAACAGTTAAACTCAGAGAAGGACCGCAGTGCTTCTGCTGTGAACTCTAGGGATGAACTGCTCTGCAACTACAGAGGTGTAGTGAGGGCTTGTTTTAAAGCGTTATTTAAAGGCATATTTTTATTAAAATAATAAACATGTTCTGCTAACCTGCTCTGTGCAAAACCAAGCGGCCCCAAACCTGCTTTTCTGGGGTCCCTCAGAGATGCTCATTGCTCCTTCTCTTGTGTGTCTGCCCCCACAGCAAGTGCTTGCTACAGGGGCAGAAGTGTTGGCTTGCTGCTGAGCTAGGCTCTGAATGACCATAGACACATATAGCGTGACTTGGCCCCCCCTCCTCCCATGATTTGATTGACAGCAGCAGAAGCCAATGGCTCCTGCCTCTGTGCCCGTGAGGAGAGAGAGAGAACAGCAATGCTGCGGTCTGGCATGGAACTGGATCGAAAGAGGAGCTGATAGGAAGGTTTTTTACCTTAATGCACAGAATGCATTAAGGTTTAAAAAACTTTAAGCCTTTAGAACAGCTAAAAATGTACAGTTGTGTTCAAAATAATAGCAGTGTGTTGAAAAAAGTGAATAAAGCTCTAAATCCTTCTAATAGCTTTTATTTCCATACACAAAAATGCATTGGGAACACTACACATTCTATTCCAAATCAAAACATGAAGAAAAATAGATCAAATTTGTGTTGTTCCTCTAAAAAAAATTGAAGAAAAGTGAATATTAGACGGTTCAAAAAAATAGCAGTGTTTGTATTCTTCTTTACAAACTCAAACATTCACTATATAAACTGAAAAATGTTTGAAGATTTTGCTTTCCTTTGAATCACTTAATGAATATTTGGTTGTAGTCGCACTGTTTCTGAGAACTGCTGTACATCTGTGTTGCATGGAGTCACCCAACTTCTGGCCCCTGTGATCAGGTATTCCAGCCCAGGATGATTGGACTACATTCCACAGTTCTTCTCTATTTCTTGGTTTTGCCTCAGAAACGGCATTTTTGATGTCACCCTCACAAGTTTTCTATTGGATTAAGATCCGGGGATTGGGCTGGCCACTCCATAATGTCAATCTTGTTGGTCTGGAACCAAGAAGTTGCACGTTTACTGGTGTGTTTGGGGTCGTTGTCTTGTTGGAACACCCATTTCAAGGGCATTTCCTCTTCAGCATAAGGCAGCATGACCTTTTCAAGTATTCTGATGTATTCAAACTGATCCATGATCCCTGGTATGCGATAAATAGGCCCAACACCGTAGTAAGAGAAACATCCCCATATCATGATGCTTGCACCACCATGCTTCACTGTCTTTACAGTGTACTGTGGCTTGAAATCAGTGTTTGGGGGTCGTCTGGCAAACTGTCTCCGGCCACTAGACCAAAAAAGAACAATCTTACTTTCATCAGTCCACAAAATGTTGCACCATTTCTCTTTAGGCCAGTCAATGTGCTCTTTGGCAAATTGTAACCTCTTCAGCACATGTCTTTTTTTCAACAGTGGGACTTTGCGGGGGCTTCTTGCAGATAGCTTGGCTTCACATAGGCGTCTTCTAATTGTAACAGTCCTCACAGGGAACGTTAGACCTTCTTTCATCTTTCTGGAGCTGATTGTTGGCTGAGTCCTTGCCATTTTGGCTATTCTTCTATCCATTCCAATGGTAGTTTTTCGCTTTCTTCCACGTCTTTCAGGTTTTGGTTGCCATTTTAAAGCATTTGCGATCATTTTAGCTGAGCAGCCTATCATTTTCTGCACTTCTTTATCTGTTTTCACCTCTCCAATCCACTTTTTAATCAAGGTACGCAGTTTTTCTGAACAATGTCTGGAACGACCCATTTTCCTCAGAATTTCAGAGAGAAATGCACTGTAACCAGCATGTACAACATTTGCTGCCTTCCTTCCTTAAATAAGGGCAATAATTGCCACCTGTTTTTCAAAGAATGATTGACCTCACTAATAGAATTCCACACTGCTATTATTTTGAACATGCCCCTTTCAATGAGTGATTCAATGACACAGAATCAGCAGCGTGCATGTCATGACTGTTGGGTCTGTTGGATTTCTATTACTTTACTACACCTGCTAGTAAATTATTTGCCATGTAGAAATATAATTTCTAACAAAAACAGTGATTGATCGGGTTAGTGATGTCTGACTGCTATTATTTTGAACACAACTGTATGAACGTCTATAACCTGTCCACAGGTTCAATTTAAGACCACAAGCTACATTTTCATTATTTCTAAATGGAATACTTACCCCTTCCCACTGAGGAAGATTCTGAACTGAAAGCCAGAGGCCCATGAATTCATCGAACCACAGTCTAAAAGAAAAAAAAAAAAAATTTATTTTTTTAAAAATGTTAACACACCACAAATTTAATTTCTCATGTATCTTTAGTCAGTTACTCACTTAAAACCTTTATGATGAAGCTCTGGAGGCAGGGAGGTAGGCAAAAACAATTCAAAATAACTAATGGCCTTTTGCATGGTTACATCAAAAGGACACATTAAAGGCCGCCATTCTTCTAGCATTTCTGCAGTTGCATCATCAGGAAAATAACTGAAAAATAGTAAAAAGCAAAAAACCAATGCTAAATATTCAGAGTTTTCTTACATCATTTCAGATATTACAAGAGCAAGGAGATTTACTATTCTAAAAAAAAAAAAATCCAAACCGCACACTGGCATAAACTGTAACAAGGCTGGGTAAGGCCTCTATCATACAGTGGGTATTTCGTGAAGATTCAGTTCCAATCAGCAGAGGATCCACTCACAGATCCCATTCTGATAGCAAAGAAGCCAGGCGACACATTTGTGTCCGCTTGATTTCTACAGAGTGGACACGGACAGAACTCTTCTACGGGGCAGTTCGGAGTAAAGGGACTCTGCTGTCTGTTTACACCAGACTACCCTCCATTCTTAACTGCTTAAACAGAAGAGGATGGATTCCCTTCCAGTCTGTTAAAAAAAAAAAAAAAAATGGATCAAACCCAGTAGTAGGTGGTTGTAAACAGACAAGTCCGTTTACATCCGCCTATGCATAAGAATACATGGACCTTCCGATCTGGTTCACCTGAAAAACTAACAGGTGAACCTGATTGAATGGCCTGTGTGAAAGGGGCATAAAACTTGACATTACAATAAAGAGATGATAATCTGACTCCTGGGGGGTTGGGGGCAAAGTAAGCATCAGTAGGTTGGAGAGCTCCTGTACACAATGTCACCTTGCCCTCAATGAGAAAGGTGCCTTGTTCTTTTTAAAATATAACATAAATCAATAAATGGAATATACATTTAACCCCAAGGATCTGTTCTTGGACCTCTCTTATTCTCCATCAACATCTCCTCCCTGGGTCAGCCTCCCATGGTTTTCAATATCATTTCTACTCTGATGACACCCAAATCTCTCTACACTTCAGCTCACAACATAATTTACTGACCAACATATCAGCCTGGATGTGACACCACTTTCTCATATTCAATCTATCCAATACGGAGTTCATAATATTTCCTCCCCCATGTGCCCCTTCCCCAGACTTCTCCCTTAATCAACAACCCATCCCCACATGTCAGAGTACTAGGTGTAATCTTAGACTCTGAACTCTTCTTTCGGCCTCACATACAATCGCTGTCCAAGGCTTACCACCTCAACCTCTGCAACATCTCCAAAATACAAAACACCTGCGCTTGGATGTAACGACAATGTGAATTCAAGAATGCAAATTAATAGGGAAAAGCAGCTTGCACACAAAAGGCAAATATAAAAATAAATAAAAAATGCAGCGCTAATAAAGTATCAACATAAAAGTCCAAATAATTCTCAAGTGAATGAGACAGGTTGCAGAACAAGATTCTGGCGTCATATACCGTCACCAAAACACCCGAATAGATAAGTCCCTTACCGGATGTTCAGACCGTATACTGGTCAATATATGCAGTAAAAATGAATCACTGAAGCAAGTAATTCTCACTAGGAATCCTCCTTTAAGATGATGAATACTACTCCTCTTTAAAGATCTCAAAGAGCAGGAAAAACGGAGCTTTGGTGTGTGACGTCACCACGTTCTGGAGGGACGGCGGCCATATTTTCGGTTTGAAACATTTCACATTCATTGCTGGTTGTTTTAATGCTTGATGTACATGGATCCTTTATTAGATTGATCAAAATTGTACTGAATTACTACACTATGAGTTGCTTTTGTTTTATATCCCTTATTTGATTATTGGATGGGAGTTTTTCCTGCTTTTGAAGATCTTTAAAGAGGAGGAGTATTCATAATCTTAAAGGGGGATTCCTAGTGAAAATTACCTGCTTCAGTGATTTCTTATTTACTGCGTATATTGACCAGTATACGGTCTGAACGTCCGGTAAGGGGGCTTATCTATTCGGGTGTTTTGGTGACGGAATATGACGCCAGAATCTTCTTCTGCAACCTGTCTCATTCACTTGAGAATTATTTGGACTTTTATGTTGACACTTTATTAGCGCTGCATTTTTGGTTATTTACTTTTATATCTCCAAAATACGCTCCTTCCTAACCAATGACACCACAAAGCTAGTCCACTCCATGGTCATCTCTTACCATGACTCCTGCAGTGTCATCCTCATTGACTTAACTTTACATAGGATATCCCCCCTTTAGCCCACCATGAATGCTGCTTCCAGATTCATGCACCTTACCAGCCACTCAGTGTCTGCTACCCCTCTCTGCCAATCCCTTCATTGGCTGCCAATCACCCAACACATTAAATTCAAAATACTAATAACTTACAAAACCATACACAACACCCCCAGCTATATCACTAACCTAGTCTCAAAATACTAATCAAATAGCTCTCTTCGTTCCTCCCAAGACAACCTGCTCTGTAAATTCCCGTCACCTCGTCCTATGCTCACCTTCAGGACTTTTCCCAAGCCTCTCCCATCCTATAGAACTCCCTACCCCAATCTGTCCAGCTATCTTCTACTCTGTCCTCTTTTAGGTGATCCCTAAAAAAACCCCTTCTCTTCTGAGAAGCCTGTCCCACCTCCTCCTAACAACTATATTTCCACTTTCTCCATCAGCTCAACCCCCACAGTTATCACCTTTTGTGTCATTTGACCCTCTTTTTTAGATTGCAAGCTCTAATGAGCAGGGTCCTCCGATTCCTTCCGTATTGAATTGTATTGTAACTGTACTGTCTGCCCTTACATTTTAAAGCGCTGCACACACTGTTGGTGCTATAAAAACCCTGTATAATAATAATAATAATTACTTTTCAGTAAAGTTACTTACGGTCGACAGGCTTTCACTAGTGTTTTTAGGACACCTTCCACAGAGCTGGAAAAAAAAAAAACAAAAACCGTTTTTAATGATCTGTTCATAAACATATACCCATACATTATCAATACAGTAGGGAAGGGTTAGCACCTCAAACTTCTACTGAGGTTGTCCTTGTTGGAAGATCTCCTCATTTCCTGTCTCTGTGACAAAGTCACACACACACACACCATATTTTTTGGGGAAGCGTTAAAACCTAAGATTTTATTTATATGTGTGAAAACTGGATTTGGCTAGAGTTGGAATTACGATAGCCAAACACTAGAAACAGTCGGCAATATCGCTTGACTTAGTCAAACAAACTTACTTGGATCATGATCAATGATAAACTTGCTAGTATCCTTAATAACAATACCTCTAAATTTGAGAGCACTTGGGATCCATGGATCCCATATATTTCTGTTATTAAACAGATTTCTGACCGACCCTCTTTTTACTTTATTCTTTTCTATACTTTCCTTACTTTTTATTTCTGTTTACGGTTTCAGTGATATTATTCCCACCATCCCACTTGTACAATATGTTGATATCTGACTTGAATTTGACTGTTTAGTAAGGCGGTATTCTTATTGCATATTTTCAATCACAAGATTATTGCCTAAGGTTCTACCTTGGATTTTTAGCATGCACTCAAGAGATTGATGCTTGTACTCTTGCCTACTTTAATCTGTTCTTGGACTTTGTTGTTTTGCTGTCTGCATCATTCTTGAATGAATATTTAATTATTTCAGGTACTTATAAAGCGCCGTCAATTTACGCAGCGCTTTACATATATACACATTATATATATATTGTACATTCACATCAGTCCGTACCCTCAAGGGGAGTACAATCTAAGGTCCCTAACTCACATTCATACATACACATACTAGGGACAATTTAGACAGGAGTCAATTAACCTACCAGCATGTATTTGGAGTGTGGGAGGAAACAGGAGTACCCGGAGGAAACCCACACAAGCACAGGGAGAACATGCAAACTCCAGGCAGGTGGTGCCATGGTTGGGATTCGAACCGAGGACCCTAGTACTGTCAGGTGGAAGTGCTAACCATTTAGCCACTGTAATTATAATCAATAGGTTCATACTGGCAATAATAAGTATACATGGAGGTGGTCATTGGCTATATGACATGTTAAAATAACGTAGCGTGGGAGGAAAACGGGAGTTCCCGGAGGAAACCCACGCAGGCACAGGGAGAACATGCAAACTCCAGGCAGGTGGTACCGTGGTTGGGATTCGAACCAACGACCCCTAGCACTGCCAGGCAGACGTTCTAACCACTTAGCCACTGTGCTGCCCACTAGAATAAATGTATTGCTTGGCATTTTTTTTTTTGTATTCGGTTTCTAAAACTACTAAAAACATTGACATATAGAACTATGTATACCTTTGGAATGGTGGCGAACTATGGCACCTATAAATCACTATAGGTGACGTTTAAATGCCTTTACAGGTTACTAGTTTTCTTCGTGGGGTATTTGGAGTTCCATTTCAAGTGTTATTTCATGCACTATTATACAAGTGTGGACTTTTTGAACTTTTACTATTATGTCTGGTTTGGTTTCATTTTATTTCACTTGCTATATGTGTATAGCTCAGAAAACTTTTCTGAACTTGCAGGGTCTTTAAAGAGATAAAACATGGGGAAATGTGGGTTTCTTCTTTGCCTTGACATACACCTTTTTGCAGACTACTGTAACATAAACAGGGTACGACATTGCATAATGGGAGTTGTGTGAAATCTGATTTTATAAATACAGTGGGGCAAAAAAGTATTTAGTCAGCCACCAATTGTGCAAGTTCTCCCACTTAAAAAGATGAGAGAGGCCTGTAATTGGCATCATAGGTAGACCTCAACTATGAGAGACAAAATGAGAAAAAAAATCCAGACAATCACATTGGCTGATTTGGAAAGAATTTATTTGCAAATTATGGTGGAAAATAAGTATTTGGTCAATATCAAAAAGTTCATCTCAATACTTTGTTATATATCCTTTGTTGGCAATGACAGAGGTCAAACGTTTCCTGTAAGTCTTCACAAGGTTGGCACACACTGTTGCTGGTATGTTGGCCCATCCTCCATGCAGATCTCCTCTACAGCAGTGATGTTTTGGGGCTGTCGTTGGGCAACACGGACTTTCAACTCCCTCCAAAGGTTTTCTATGGGGTTGAGATCTGGAGACTGGCTAGGCCACTCCAGGACCTTGAAATGCTTCTTACGAAGCCACTCCTTCATTGCCTGGTCGGTATGTTTGGGATCATTGTCATGTTGGAAGACCCAGCCATGTTTTATCTTCAATGCCCTTGCTGATGGAAGGAGGTTTGCATTCAAAATCTCACGATACATGGCCCCATTCATTCTGTCCTGTACATGGATCAGTTGTCCTGGTCCCTTTGTGGAGAAACAGCCCCAAAGCATGATGTTGCCACCCCCATGCTTCACAGTAGGTATGGTGTTCTTTGGATGCAACTCAGCATTCTCTCTCCTCCAAAACACGACGAGTTGTGTTTCTACCAAACCGTTCTATTTTGGTTTCATCTGACCATATGACATTCTCCCAATCCTCTTCTGGATCATCCAAATGCTCTCTAGCAAACTTCAGATGGGCCCGGACATGTACTGGCTTAAGCAGGGGGACACGTCTGGCACTGCAGGATCTGAGTCCCTGGCGGCGTAGTGTGTTACTGATGGTAGCCTTTGTTACGTTGGTCTCTGCAGGTCATTCACTAGGTCCCCCCGTGTGGTCCTGGGATTTTTGCTCATCGTTCTTGTGATCATTTTGACCCCACGGGGTGAGATCTTGCGGGGAGCCCCAGATCGAGGGAGATTATCAGTGGTCTTGTATGTCTTCCATTTTCTAATTATTGCTCCCACAGTTGATTTGTTCACACCAAGCTGCTTGCCTATTGCAGATTCAGTCTTCCCAGCCTGGTGCAGGTCTACAATTTTGTTTCTGGTGTTCTTCGACAGCTCTTGGTCTTCACCATAGTGGAGTTTGGAGTGTGACTGTTTGAGGTTGTGGACAGGTGTCTTTTATACTGATAAAGTTCAAACAGGTGCCATTGATACAGGTAAGGAGTGCAGGACAGAGGAGCCTCTTAAAGAAGAAGGTACAGGTCTGTGAGAGCCAGAAATCTTGCTTGTTTGTAGGTGACCAAATACTTATTTTCCACCATAATTTGCAAATAAATTCTAAATCAGCCAATGTGATTGTGTAGATTTTTTTTCTCATTTTGTCTCTCATAGTTGAGGTCTACCTATTATGCCAATTACAGGCCTCTCTCATCTTTGTAAGTGGGAGAACTTGTAAAATTGGTGGCTGACTAAATACTTTTTTTTGCCCCACTGTAAGTGATGTTTTCCTTTATCCTAAGAGCCAAAAATTGAGCAGACACTAAAGGATTGATGAGAACATTTCCTTCACTCTAGTACAATGAAAAAGGAAACAACTCTTCTATTTATGAAATCAAACTGAAGATAGAGGGCCTGATAAAGTACAAAAAGAAATTATGTACAATGACCAAAACGCATCCAATCAGAAGTCAGTTGATACCCATTTTCTTTCTTTTTTGCTGATCGCAATAAAAAAAGTAATATAAAAAACTATCCACTTCAATTATTTTGGAATACAATCCCTACATAGTTCATAGAAAGTGCATGGCCATGAAAACAATACTCTGCTTACTCACCCATGAATTTAATATGTCAGTGCTGAGTAGGTCTGTATTCAGAAAACAAAACAAAACAAAAAAAAGGCCATTTTCTCCTTTGCGTCATGATGCAATGATCAGGGACGGCAGAGAAGTATTAAAGGCCTGTCTCAATGACCTTTTGTTTGTGTCTCTACCCATACAAGTCAATGAAAATGCAAAAAGCAATTCGAAGTAGGTTGACGCAGCTTAGAAGGCGGTTAAAGAGACACTAAAGCTTTTTTTTTTTTTTTTTTCTAAAATAACAAACAGGTCTGCTCTGTGCAGTGACTTTGCACACAGCAGCCCCTAGCCTCTTCTTTTTGGGACCCCCTCCGGTGCTCCTCCTCGCGCAGTTTTTCCTCTTAATGCTCGTCCTCGAGATGGTGCTCTAAGCGTCGATAAGACAAAGCCGCAGCTCGGCCCCGCCCCCTGCTCTCACCTCATTGGCGGCTCACTAGCTGTGATTAACAGCAGCTGGAGCCAATGGGCTCCTGTTGCGTCTCAACCAATGAGGAGGAAGAGTCCCCAGACAGCAAAGACTGTTGAGAACGTCGATGGACCCGAGGGGCTCAAGTATGGATGGGAGGGGGTTGTAAAAAAAACCTTGAACCTTTAGAACCACTTTAATTGCAGGTCAGAACAAGGTCAAATATACATGAATGATCTTAGAGGAGCTTCAAATAGATCTCAATGCAAACAAGCAAAAGCAAGCTGCACCTGTCCATCCCATAGGCCCTAATTCAAGGATTCTGGTTCAGAAGATCAGCCGTCACATGGACGGTGCTGACCAATCAAAAGACCTCTAGCCCAAACGGTCATCCCTGCAAGGAGGGGAAAAACAAGTGGCGGAGATTTCAAATCTGTGCCGCTTTCTCTCCTCTCCTACCGCTGAGAATATGTAGCATCTGCCACCATAGTATACATCCCCACTCTCCCACTGTCCACTGTGGGAAACCTCCCTGCACTGCTCCTGTGTGAACTCGGGCTATGACAGCCTGGGTTCACACAGGAGCAGTGGTGAAACCGCATGCGATTTGGACAAGAATCGCTTTCCTGTTGAAATCATATGCTAACTTTTGTGGTGGAATACATTTTGTATGGACGCAAATCGCACCGTAAAGTATAGATAATGGCAAGTACTTGACTGAAAGTATCGGTGCTCATACTCTCCGATAAAGAAAATGGTATTGGTGCATCCCTATATTATATACACACACACACCAGCCATCATGGCCATCCACCTAATATTGAGTAGGTCCCCCTTTGGCCATCAAAGAACCCTGACCTATCAAGGCATGGACTCCAC